AAGTCGGGCGATCCTCACCAACCCCGACTAATCCAAGATGGCAGCGCAGTGCATCAACAGTAAAGAGTAACAGTGAAAGCTCTCGTAACGTATTATTTATTAGCGCTTCTGTTTTGTTTTTGTGAAATTAAATTAGTGGTTTATGTTGTACTGCCCAACGTCTAACTGTGAACACGGTGCTATGATGTTTGTAAGAGTAAAATACTGTGTTATACGTTCTTTACAACTGGTATATCGAACAACAACTAACAACTGCTAACAGTAACTGACAACAGCTGACGACAGCTAACAATTGTTAACAACAGCTAACGGCTAATAGTAGGCGTCCCTCTTGGTTGTGGATGTTGAGGTCTAAGATCTTTGCCTTTTACTAGGTTGATCAGAAGGTTGATTCAGCATTTCCAGTATGGTGACCACCATCTTTGGGCTTCTAATATTTCCGAGGAAACCAATCCCAGCTCCTGCAGTTCAATATTCTCCCAACAGCCCCACGTTACCCACATTGAGCCCAATGTGCAAATGAACACTGTGATGTGACACAAAAACACACACCCTGTTTTTGCCGTTGTAACTCAATGACATCCTAACCATTACCTCATGTACTGCTGGCCTCTTCCTGTGAGGTTTCCCCTGCAGGTTTACCCCTCATAAAAATGTGTTAACGCGTTGTGACGTGAGTGTGGGCGGTGTTTATTTTCAGGCGAGGTGTCAGTGTGATACACAGTAGGAGAAACCCGACTGATAAATTGATTAATTCTCTGCAGCTTCACCTTCACAGTCACTTTCTTATGATACTAACTGAGGCTGTGATTCGTGTTAACCTCAGAAAAATATGACAAATATATTCTACGGGGAAGGTCATGATTAAGGGTTTGTGTTTAATCGTGTTAATGTGTATTTTTGCAAACTCATATGGAGTCAATAGCATGAATTACTCAGATATATTTACACCAGTCATTATGCTTCACTTTTACTTTAAAGCTGCAGAGGTCTGTTATTTTATAAACATTGTGATTTTAATCAAATGAACTTGTGAAAACACATAGAAGCTGTGAAATATAATAACTGCATCATAAAGTCCCTAAAGGCAAATTTAACTATTTTGAAAACTCATTAAAAGAATTTAAATGGTATTTTTTTTTATACATTTTTGATATTTTATTGTTCTCTATGTTTGTTTTTTTTGTGTTCCTTTTTAATATAATTGTATTTTTTTTCTTTTTTTTATTAAACCGCCTGTAGAAGCAGTTAATTGTTCGTTATTGTATTTTAATTTATCATATCATATGTTGTAAAAATCCTACTGTATGGTATTATATGCCCCTCCAATAAATGTGTTTCTATGACAGACTGTGAAACATTCCCTCGCTGAATATAACTGATAATGATCTTATGATATAAAGTAAAAATTTATGTCTTTATAGCATTTGTCCGTATATAACTTGAAATTTTACTTCTGCGCATTTCAATGAAGAACTTATAATATAATTTTAATCTCAGATCTTTCCAAACTTTCCTCCCATTTAAATCTAAACTCAGACTCTATTGTGCTTTTGAGTACTTCTGTTCTTGATGTACTTTGACTCTGTGAGTCCAACTTAACTAGGACCTACTCCTGCACTGTTCCTCAGTGTGTATTCATAAACTACAGAGCCAATCAGCCGTTTAGACTGAAAAAACTCTGAAAAAAATAGACAAAATTGAGAGTATTATAATTCTCAGAGAATATATCACCACTAAATAAACAGCTGCCAACAACTGACAGAGTCCCGACTGCAGCTGAAGGTGTTGACAGAGCTAGTGAGCGACAGCAGGGTGAGGAAACATCTGCATCAGCAAATCTAGCCTCTCCTCCTCTCCCCTCCCAGGGGCGTCTCCAGCTAATTTTAGATAAGTGATGTTGTTGGGTCTTTCTGTCCTCATTAAGCCGTCCGGGCTCGAACACATACACATGAATCATAAAGCTCATCACTAATTTAATGCAGTGGAATTTGTTTGCTGCTCTGCACACTAACACACCGCCTCCAGATACAGTCTGTCTGCACGCACCACAGAAGAAGAAGCTGAGGCAACAGCTGGGATCAACTCTTTATGTCAACATAGTGAGAGAAACATTTGTCTGAAAATGTTCTCTGCTCTGCATCCGGCTCCAAGGGAGGATGACACTAATGAAGAAATTAAGACACAACATGTTTTTAACACCACAAAGTCACATCTTTTTAAAGTTTCAGGGCAGCCAGTCATATCTGTGAAGAGTTTAACTCATAAAGACCTCCCAACTGCAACCACACAGACGGAAAATAACGTATAATCCTGCCAATAAGATATTAAGTCTGTTTTCAATCTACAAATAACACCTTTTCCTCTACGTAAAGTTGTGTTGATTGCTCAGAGTGTGCTATAAATTCCCAAAAAGTTCCAAACTTGGCTTCAAATCTGCTGAGATATAACAAAATGATACTGGTGTGTCCAAGTGTTTAATTTAGATTTAGCAAGCAAGGCAAAACTTCACTTTTGCACATGGATGAGAAATAATCTGTCATATTTTGTTCAGCGAGACTCAAATGTTGATGTATCACAAGCAGACAACATATTTTTGGCTGGAGGGGCACTTTAAACTTGACAAAATAAAGAAATGAAGCGTAGCATTTTGTGCTTAACATGAAAGCGTAACTAAATTTTCCCCGGCTCAAACTGTTGTAAAGCTCTGAAAGACAACATTTTCTGAGCTACACATCAAGCCTTACAGGGCCGTGGTGTTTTACTGCAGCTGACAGCAGACTGACACTCTGCATTCACTCATAATCTTCAAGCATCACCTCTGAAGAAAAGCTGTTCACCTCTCTGCTGTTTCTCTCAAGTAGCTTTGGGAATGTTTACACCAGACGAAAGATGAAATCAGAGTAAAACAGCCTGCATTTCTGTGAGTTTTATGGTGTAAAGCCGCTGTTTTTTCCCCCACATCTTCTGTAGGGGGCGTCCCCATGAAGAGACAGCGGAGAGTTAAGAAAGCACTATCATCAAATCTAAAAGACTCTTAAACCAAGCTGTACAGCCGGGGAGAGAGACTCAAACATAGCAACAACAACAACACCACTTGAGAAGACATTATCTACCCAACAGGTGGTATGTAATCTCATGAATGTCGCACCTTTACCCATTTGTGCGCAATCCACCACCATCTTGGATGGATGTACCTGGACATCTCAGATCCAATCTTTTGTCCAGATATGCTTCTATCTTTTTTGACAGACAGAAAAGATGGCTCACTTTTCTGAACTGCTTTCAGACAGCAATACTTGATGTTATTGAAGTAATTCAAATCATTCCTTTCACCCGGCAGTATTACCTTCAGTCTTTGTTAAAAAAGCAAACCTAACCTTTATTTTCCTGTTGGTCTCAGTTCTCCAACCCCTTACAGAGGAAGAGACCAAAGCCTGCTGAACAAGGATCATGTTGAGGAGTTGATACTCAAAGTCTCTGAACCACCCTATCTTGACCCCCCAATCATCCCACCCTTAATCCACCCTGAGTTGCTATTCATCACACTCCACCCCAAACTCACTTATCCTACTCGACCATGACCCCTTTTACTTTTACTATGCCTCAAACGCTGTTAATCTACCCAACCTCAACACATATCATCCTACCTTGTCACCCCTGATCTCAGCCTCCTTGAACTCCAGTAAATCTTTACCTTTCTTGACCCTTCGAAATGTTCAAAATTACGACTTTAAACCTTACAATGCCGTGGCCCCATCATGAGAAGGCAAGTCAAGTTTACCTGCACTGACTATCAAGGGAATAATGGTTCCAGGCACTCATGGTTGAAGATTCAGCAGCTTGATTTTAGGAGGGTATGTTTACTCATTAAATGCTCCCATTACACTCCTTCCTGTTAGTTTTGGTATGAGCCAGGTTTTCTGTTGCATCACAACGTCACACACAAACTTGATGTGACTTGTTGTCTATGGACAGGCTCCCTTGTCCTCATCAACTCTAATGAACAACATCGATTTTCCTCAGCAACTACAAGCTGGGATACACTAAGACTCATTTGGCTGAGAGCACAGCTGAGACTGAAGAAATAGCTTGACCTTTTTCATGACTTAAAGATAAAGCTAGCCAAAAATTTGTTCCCAAAAGTTCGAGCTTGGCGGCAATTGCAGGATTCACCTTAAAACATCATAAATATCATTCATCGGCATTCCCTTACCTTGAACAGTCGCAGGATGTTTGCCACCATGATTGAGACCGAGCTGGCTGATGCCCCGATGACGCCCACCACTTTATCCGGCTTGGCAAAGATGGGTGGATCTCCATTGGCGCAGCGGACATCAGAGCCATCCCTCTCAATGAGTGCCTGGACAAAGGTGAGTGACTGTTCCAGGGCATAGGTGTCGCGGGAACATGTATCCAGGATGCGAGCTCCAAGTGTCACATTGGGCAGCAGCTCTGGGTCCTTGTTGATGAGGTCAATGGCAAACAGCATGGCCTCTAACCGATGGATTCCCTTCTCCTTCTTCAGCTCACCACAGGGAACACCTCTCTCACCGCGAGCATGCACAGGGAACAAGCCACCCAGGATAATGTCCCCATCCAGCCTGATAGAGTGAGCGTACTCCTGCTGGGGCTGCTGGGAGTCTGCTAAGACGGCAGGCTTTTGGGAGGAAGAGCCCAGCAGCCAGCAGCTCTTCAGCATCAGCAGAGAGAGGAGGCAGTGGCTGGTGACTCTCGGGGGTTTCAAACCCCTCGCCATTTTTGGTGACGTGGACAGCAGAGAAAAGGAGCAGTGATATGATCAATAGGCAGGCGGCTGAATCGGTGGACGCAGGTGGTGTGGCGAGGATGGATCGAGGCGGATCATGGAGTACCCAATCAACAAGAGCCTGGGGAAAGCACAGTAAGGAGGTCTTCTCAACCAGGACACTGACCCCTTGGTATTCCTGCAGTACAGGGTCCTGTGTCCGACATGTCTGAGGTGATAAGGAAGGCAAGCTTCAGGGTATCAGGAGCTTCACATTGTTCCAGAAACCTGATGGAGATTCAGAGAACACAAAATAATTGAAACTTGATTCGTGCACTCAAGATCTCTCAGCTAGAAACTGCATGGTTAGAGGCTCAAACAAAAGAACAACAGATTCCCTCAATACACAAAGTTCAAATTCCCTCCAGGATGTCACTTAACTGATATGTCGGAATAATGGAAGAAAAAAACACCTGGCTTTCATGAGTGCCTGTAAAATATAGGAAACTGGAGGTTGGTGGAGCCTTCTCTGCTAGTGGTGGGAACAACTTGACATCGTTAACCTGCTGACTCAGGTTTAGTCATTAAACAAATTGTGCTCAATTTTGAATCATCTCTTACCTTCAAAATAGACCGATTTTGAATTTCAGTTTAAGTAACACTGTGCATAAATTTTAGCCATATCTGGCAGTCACATTCCAGACTGAAATGCTCCCTTGCTCACCCACAAATATAATCCTCTATCTGTAACGTTTTTCCATCAAAAACACATCTTTTGCACACAGCAACAACCCCTCTTTTCTTCTCTGTTTTCCATTTGCTGCATTTGTGTTAGCCTCTCACTAAATACTACTGTAGAAACAAGATGGTGGCCTTGATGGAGGGGGACCCACTCCAATATAAATATTAAAGACTCATTAAGAAAACCATTTTTATCTTCATGTGATTTTACACTGATTGAAGCATATTTGTGAATGTTCCTGGTCCAGATACTTTAGGTTATGGACTCCATTTAGACGCATGACAGCTGAACTCTTAATATTCTTTTATTGTCTGGTCATTGTCTCTTCAGTTACCTGTCCTAGCTTCAACCAGATTTTCTTATAATACGCAGAAAAATAAGTAAAATGTACTTTTTTATGTCCCCATATTTTGATAATTCTGTAATAGTTTTAAAATGTGCGTGAAATACGAAAAATGGGATTTCTTTTCCCATTATTCCCATTATACTCACAGATTCTGTCCATATATAAAACCCCTCCCTCGATTTCTAGCCCTCTCCCTCATATTGCATATTATTCTTCAACACACACACACACACACACACACACACACACACACACACACACACACACACACACACACACACACACCTCCTCAGGAAAAAGCATGTTCCAAACGCTTTGCGCGCACACTGAAGCTTTGAGGACGCGTGGGCATCACCAAGAATTACGCACACCGCCAAAACCTGCGTGGACTCGTGTCTGCGCAGAAACACCGTTTGTTATCATCTTAAATACACCTTTAAACACACTTGCATGCACGTGAGCGAGGGAATTCGCACGAGCTCAAGTTGCATTCCAGCAGATTCAGTTGAAGTCAGTAAATCTTGAATCTGATCTGAAAGCAGCTGGAACAAACGCCAAAACTCATCCCTCCAGCTCCCCGTCTGTCCTGATATTGACTGATAGCCCACGGATCGATACAATAATTAGTTGATTGATTTTGCACACAGAGGGATCAGACAGAGAGAGCACGGATCTCATTAAAGCAAAGTACAACCAATGATGAGTTAATGATAATAACCTTCAGTCAGTTCTGTCATTGATTAACGGATTTTTGGACCTGTTCGAGCTTACATGGTGAATGCTGTGGTGCGTTCAGGTACCTTTTCTCTCCGCAGCTGGAGCAGGTGTTTCCTCACTGTCGGTGTCACAGGTCACACAGATGATTTCTGTCTCCAGCTGTTCGTCACATCACACGAATTTTTCCTGCTAAATTCCCCCAACTGAGACTCAATCCTGCTCCACGTTAGCATCCATCAACGGAAAACAATTACACCATCCAAATCCACTTTTCGAAGCTGCTCCTGGTCCTCGCAGAGAAGCGGTAAATTCCTCCAAACAGTGGCAGGGTTGAACTCGGCGTGGCTCCAGAGTCCGGGTCCCTCTGCTCCCGCACTGGTCGCTCTGGGATCAGCGTGCAGGACTGATCACCAAAGTAAAGACATGTTCATGTATGGACCGAGTGCTTTCAGATCACAGAAGTCACTGACGCGCTTTTTTCGCTCCTCGGAAGAGTGCGCGGCGCGGCGCGTTAAAGTGCGACGCGGTTGTCCTGCGTCACAGCCAACACGGGAGGCTCCCGGACTCATCACACCAGTGGAGTCCAGGCTGAGGGGACCCTGAGAGTCTCATTAAGTTCCCCAGGTCACAGGTCCGACCTGGGACGGCATAATCCGGGTCCTGGAGGAGGGACAAGTCCGCCGAAACATACACATGAACCCACGGAGGATGCGCGCGAGCGTGTGTTGCTCGAGCAGTTACGGCTGAAGTTAATGAGCTTTATTAGAAAGAGAGACACATGGTGAGAATTTGAGCAGCAGAGGTGGAGGACGGGCGCCACCTAGCGGGCAAACACAGAAACTACAAACCTCCTGTGCCACTCTTCTCCACTGTCGTCAGTTTTCTTCAGATCTACCTGCGTTTTCAATTTGATCTTGTGTTGTTTACCTGGTGAAAACACATCATGACACATATATAGGCAACTTACACACACATGAGCCGGTAGTGACTCAGTCAGTGGGTGTAGCTGGGAATCCTGGACCCCACGAAAATAAGATATCTTCTGTGCCAAATCACCACTGCCTGAGCCAAGCCTGTAAAAATATTTAAAACCACATTCCTGTCGTGCAAACAGTCTCATTAAACATTTAGATATCTTCACTATTTTTTTGAACAATCCATGAAATCAGGAATAAGTCAGCTCATCTTTTCAGTGCCATCCTGATATCTGTTTTCTTCATCTCTGTCAGGTCCCTGCTGTCTTCACTTTCATCATCCGCTAACACACCGTGTTCCTCTCCATCTGCTCCAAGAGCTGAACCCTCTACAAGCATGAAGCAAACACTTTCATACACCTTTACATATAAATACAGTATAGACTGAGCCCCATCCTGTAAGGTCAGACCCACTCAGATCCATCTTCTACCATGAGTGAAACACTTTTATCAGCATTTATCAGGTTATAGTAAAGGACAAACTTCTAACAGGCAGAAACCTTGAGCAGGACCAGACTGATGTCAGAGTTTTAAACTGGTTTTATTTCTATTTGCAGGACAGATGTTTTAGTGTGGCTATAGGCAGCTCACAATCATCAGTGTGAGGCTGACCTGTGGGTTTCCCCAGGGGTCGGTCCTTGAACCAGTCCTCGTTACCTGGGTCGTTTCATCCATTTAAGTTTCCACTCATAATGCGGGTGATACCTCGCTGTACCTGTCTTTTAATCCCAATGATTTTAACCATTTTAACACAATAAATAACTGTATCAGAGACATAAAATGATGCATGTCTCAGAATTTCCTGCAGCTAAATTTGGATCAAACTGAGGTAATGATTATTAGTCCAGGCTCAGCAGGAATGGTGACTCATCTGGACTCTGTCAAAAAATGTTAGACATGATTTTTGAGGAAAAACCTCAGTCTAAACCAGAATGTCAACATTACTGTGCAGTCTAGATTTGGAGGAGACTCTCCAAAGTTAGGTAGTTTTGATCCACAAAAAATCTGGAGATCATTACTCATACTTTTGTCTCTACTAGCGCAACTCTTTGTTCACACGTCTGAACCAACAGAGTTTACACAAGTTACAGCTAGTCCTGCAGCTCACCTTCTGACCAGAAACAGAGATCATATAACTCACACTTTGGTCCTACACCAAAGTACATTTCTGATCTCCTCACTCCGTATCATACACCCAGCTCAAAGGGTTTTGGCCTGCAGCATTATAATTTTTCTCTCTGATTTGAGTTGTAATGACTTCTAAAGAAGGTTTGTTGGTTAAGAGGTGGCGTTCACTTTCTCTTCTGTTTGCAGTCTGCTGCTCCGGCTCCAGATTTTCATGTTTTCTGTCTTCACTTCTTTCTAATCCTCCTCTCAGCTTGGTTCTGATTTTTCTGTGTGTGTGTATGTGTGTCAACCAGCCTGCAGTCTCATGAGGACATGACATTCATCAGTTTAAACAAATGTGTGAACACCTGTGCAGGTGAGGAGAAGTTTCATGAATTTGACTCTGATTGTTCGGACAAACTTTCTGATCAATACAGTGAAGAAAAATGTGCTGAATGAGGCAGGATTTTCCCCCCATAGAGACAGAAATCAGTCCAGTTCAGTGAGCCAGTTTGATATGGAGTCCTGCTCTTTGATAACAGACATTCAGACTGATGTGACAGGATCCAAACAGTCAGATAATCAGCTGAAGTTTGTGTTTGTGTAGAGGGCCAACTGTTCTTCAGCTGCTGTTTGTGTTTGTGGTGTTTGTGTAGAGAGGAGGAGACTCTCCCTCCTACACAGAACACAAACTCACTGAGGAACCAAACCAGAGCCCAAACCCAAACCCAGGATAGAGAGGTTGAGTGAAGGTGGTGTTGAAGGTGTGGAGGGGGATCACTATGCCAGAATAGATGCCGTTGAAGGACAGAGTGCCAGCATAACAGTCCACATACACTGCTACTCTGTGAGAGACACAGGGGAGACGGAGGTCTGTTCTTCTGTTATTGTGAAGGACAGAGTAACCTTCATCAGAGCAGATCAGACTCCAGGACTGATCATTAGATCCGAACAGACAGTCATCGCTGTTCCCTTTCCGTCTGATTCCTCTGTAACTCACTGATATATGAACCTTTCCTCTCCACTCGACCTCCCAGTAACAACGACCAGTCAGACCATCTCTACACAGAAGCTGAGGCCAGGAGACAAATCTGTCTGGATGATCAGGATATGACTGATACTCTCTCACATATGTCACCTTCCTGTTGTTTTCAGACAGTCTGAGGTGTCTGTATGCTGTGTTTGAGTCCAGTGTGAGTTCACAGAAATCTGACAGAGAGAAAAAGACAAAACACAGCAGCAGGTTATCATCAGACACACCTGAAGGCTTTCTTAGTTGTTAGCTGACAGTCTGCTGTTTGGTCATCAGGAGTCAAACTGATTCCACACTTACACTTCCTCAGACCAGGATTTAACCTCTGCTCTCCACCATGGTCCACCCTGGAGGAAGAAACACAATGACTGAGTGTCCAACATGAGTCCTACCTGCTGTCCAACATGAAGCAGAGTTCCTCAGTTTGTCTCTGTGACAGAGAAACAGGCTGAAACTCATCTGAGCCAACAGTCTCCATCACTCTGTCACTTTTTCTGAGTCTTTCTGTCAGAAATTCCCAGAAAAACAAGATTCAAAGAGCAAAGGTTGGCTGTTGGTCTGTCCTACAACATGGAGACTTGATTTGGACCCTTTGGAAAAACTCATTCATTTCTTCTTTTAGGGCAGCTGTCCACACTTTGGTCTTAAAAGCTCCTTCTAAATAGACTTGAGACCTTGTCTGCAGATAGAGAGATGAAGTAGTGGGCTCTTTTCTTCTAAATATGAATGAAGATGAAATGAAAGCTCTCAGATGAACTCATGTGAGTTTGTGAGACTCTTCTTGGATCATTCAGAGTCAGCTATAGCAGAGGGAGTAAAGCATCACACCTGGAACAGCAGGTGGATTTCCTGTAGCCTGGCTGGGCCATCCAGTTGCATGAATCACTTGATGTTCCTTCCCGCCACAGTCTGGACTTCGGCCCATAGAGAGCGTGTATTCCCGATCAGAAAATAACCGGGCCGATCAGAGACCGTGTTTCCACTGTTACCCGGACAACAGGGAAAGGCAGCCCCTAATTGGTCAATGTGTAGTGGCGACGTCTAACACATGCTGCGGGACTTTTCAAAGCCCTGTTCATTCAGAACGCCGTTAATTCTGCAGTTGACTCTGCAAAGTCGGCAGAAACTGTTATATTATAACTGTTATATATAGATGTAATATTATATATATATTACATCTTCTGCAGATATACACTCACCGGCCACTTTATTAGGTACACCATGCTAGTAACGGGTTGGACCCCCTTTTGCCTTCAGAACTGCCTCAATTCTTCGTGGCATAGATTCAACAAGGTGCTGGAAGCATTCCTCAGAGAGCTTGGTCCATATTGACATGATGGCATCACACAGTTGCCGCAGATTTGTCGGCTGCACATCCATGATGCGAATCTCCCATTCCACCACATCCCAAAGATGCTCTATTGGATTGAGATCTGGTGACTGTGGAGGCCATTTGAGTACAGTGAACTCATTGTCATGTTCAAGAAACCAGTCTGAGATGATTCCAGCTTTATGACATGGTGCATTATCCTGCTGAAAGTAGCCATCAGAAGTTGGGTACATTGTGGTCATAAAGGGATGGACATGGTCAGCAACAATACTCAGGTAGGCTGTGGCGTTGCAACGATGCTCAATTGGTACCAAGGGGCCCAAAGAGTGCCAAGAAAATATTCCCCACACCATGACACCACCACCACCAGGCTGAACCGTTGATACAAGGATGGATCCATGCTTTCATGTTGTTGACGCCAAATTCTGACCCTACCATCCGAATGTCGCAGCAGAAATCGAGACTCATCAGACCAGGCAACGTTTTTCCAATCTTCTATTGTCCAATTTCGATGAGCTTGTGCAAATTGTAGCCTCAGTTTCCTGTTCTTAGCTGAAAGGAGTGGCACCCGGTGTGGTCTTCTGCTGCTGTAGCCCATCTGCCTCAAAGTTCGACGTACTGTGCGTTCAGAGATGCTCTTCTGCCTACCTTGGTTGTAACGGGTGGTTATTTGAGTCACTGTTGCCTTTCTATCAGCTCGAACCAGTCTGGCCATTCTCCTCTGACCTCTGGCATCAACAAGGCATTTCCGCCCACAGAACTGCCGCTCACTGGATATTTTTTCTTTTTCGGACCAGTCTCTGTAAACCCTAGAGATGGTTGTGCGTGAAAATCCCAGTAGATCAGCAGTTTCTGAAATACTCAGACCAGCCCTTCTGGCACCAACAACCATGCCACGTTCAAAGTCACTCAAATCACCTTTCTTCCCCATACTGATGCTCGGTTTGAACTGCAGGAGATTGTCTTGACCATGTCTACATGCCTAAATGCACTAAGTTGCCGCCATGTGATTGGCTGATTAGATATTAAGTGTTAACGAGCAGTTGGACAGGTGTACCTAATAAAGTGGCCGGTGAGTGTAGATTTCTGCCGAGTTTGCAGAGTCAACTACAGAATTAACGGCGTTCTGAATGAACGGAGCTTTGAAAAGTCCCGCAGCATGTGTTGGACGTCACCACTACACATGGACCAATCAGGGGCTGCCTTTCCCTGTTGTCCGGGTAACAGTGGAAACACGGTCTCTGATTGGCCCGGTTATTTTCTGATCGGGAATACACGCTCTCTATGGGCCGAAGTCCAGACTGTTGTGGGAAGGAACATCAAGTAATTCACGCAACAGGATGGCCCAGCCAGGCTAGATTTCCTGCAGTTTGGGATGGACAGAAAGTGGAGCAAAGTCAGTGCATGTCCTCAAATAGCCCCTCAGCTTACCTGATCATGACTGACAGGTCTGCTGCTGCTCTCACTTAAAGCACCTGTGACAGTAAAGCTGTAGAGCTCAGCTGATGAAGCTAAATGAAGACTATTTGATCTCTTATTTAACCCACTTATGCAGCCAGTACTTTGAGTCCATATTCCTGACTGAGGGCGGATGTATGAAGGAGGTGTTTCTCTGAAGCTCTGAGGGTTTGTTTGATGGGTCACCAAATAAGAAGAGCAGAAAATCAAGAAGAGAAGCCAGTTGATCCTGGTCTGTATGAATGAATAAAAAAAAGGATCTGGAGGAGATCTGAATGTTGCTCTGCTCTGATCATTAAACTAGATGTGAACCTTCATCTTGTCACATCGGGTGTACTAAAGCATCTTCTCTGTGTTCTGACATAGGCTAAAGGACCGTCAACTGTGTTTTGAACTTTAAATATGAGCCCATCTCTCCTGATCATCTCTGTGTGTCTGTTCATCAACCAGGGAGCTGTGAAATAACCAGGGTCCGAGTATCCAGGTTCAGACCTCTTTACACCTGGAACACTGGATAAGGTCCATTCTTCCTCATCTTCCACCATCTTCACCTCCCTGCAGACATCTGCATGTAATACACCTGGTTATAACCAACCAGAGAGCTTGTTTCATGGCTCATCTGCATGGTTTTACCTGGTTTTATTCCAGGTTTGATTTATTCATTCAAACATTAGGCTTTTAGAGTTTTTGTGCATAATGTACATGGTTGTTCTTACTCTTTTAAGTATTTACATCCATTTATTTATTTACCTTTTTATGCCACTACTGCAATTTATAGATGGACCCACCAGCTGTCTGAACATTAACAAACGTGTGAATATGTCAAATGTCCTGTCCTTTGCTACGACCCATGTACTGCAAACTGAATGACCCCTTGGGAAAAATAAAGTGATCTAAATCTGAATCTAAATCTACATCAGAAAGATGGTCCACAATGATGATATTCTAAGTAAAGACCTCAGGCAGCAGAAACCAAATATATTTGTAATTGACCCATTTACTGTCTGGTTATACCTCAGGGTATCCAGTCTCCATAGAGGATCCTTCAGTCCAGCAGAAAGCAGTTTTACTCCTGAGTCTCCTGGATGATTGTAGCTCAGGTCCAGCTCTCTGAGGAGTGAGGGGTTCGAGCTCAGAGCTGAGGCCAGAGAAGCACAACCTTCTTCTGTGATCAGACAGCCTGATAACCTGGAGTCAGAAAAATATATGAAACAAGGAAAAGTTACCAATTTTAGACAATTTCATTCAAACAGCTATCAAACTCAATCAGAAGAGAAACTGACCTGAGAGTTTCCAGTTTACAGTGAGGACTCTTCAGTCCAGCAGACAGTAGCTTCACTCCTGAATCCTGCAGGTTATTGTGACTCAGGTCCAGCTCTCTCAGACTGGAGGACTGGGAGCTGAGGACTGAGGACAGAACTTCACAGCTTCTCTCTGACAGGTTACATTCACTCAACCTGAAGAAGAATCAGTGATTAGCACAGACACAATGTTTCATGAACAGTAAAGTTTCATCTCTCATGTGTCCACCTACAGAGCTTTGTTTGAGGCTTTGACCACAGGCAGCAGCCTCCGAAGAGCCTCCTCTGAAGCAGAGTATTTCTTCAGGTCAAACACGTCCAGATCTTTTTCTGATGAAAGTAAGATGAAGACCAGAGCTGACCACTGAGCAGGAGACAGTTCCTCTGTGGAGAGACGTCCTGATCTCAGGTACTGTTGGATCTCCTCCACTAGAGAAACATCATTCAGTTCATTCAGACAGTGGAACAGATTGATGCTTTTCTCTGTAGACAGATCCTCACTGATCTTCTTCTTGATGTACTGGACTGTTTCTTGATTGGTCTGTGGGCTACTTCCTGTGTGTGTCAGCAGACCTCTCAGGAGATTCTGATTGGTTTGCAGTGAAAGACCCAGGAGGAAACGTAGAAATAAATCCAGGTGTCCGTTCAGACTCTGTAAAGCCTTGTCTAAAGCACTCTGATAGAGATGTTTCCGATTTTGTTTGACACTGAAGATTTTAGAGATCGAGGATGTTGTTTGTTGTTCATCTTCCAGCAGGTTGACTTCAGAGTTGGTAAAGGTCAGGTGGACATGAAGAGCAGCCAGAAACTCCTGAACACTTAGGTGGATGAAACAGAACACCTTGTCCTGGTACAGTCCCCTCTCCTCTCTAAAGATCTGTGTGAACACTCCTGAGTACACTGAGGCTGCTCTGATATCCATGCCACACTGACTCAGGTCTGATTCATAGAAGATCAGGTTTCCTTTCTGCAGCTGCTCAAAAGCCAGTTTTCCCAGAGACTCAATCATCTTCCTGCTCTCTGGACTCCAGTGTGGATCAGATTCAGCTCCTCCATCATACTTGATGTTCTTGATTTTGGACTGAACCACCAGGAAGTGGATGTACATCTCAGTCAGGGTCTTGGGCAGCTCTCCTCCTTCTCTGGTCCTCAGCAGATCCTCCAGAACTGTAGCAGTGATCCAGCAGAAGACCGGGATGTGGCACATGATGTGGAGACTTCTGGACGTCTTGATGTGGGAGATGATTCTGCAGGCCTGCTCCTCATCTCTCAATCTCTTCCTGAAGTACTTCTCCTTCTGAGGGTCAGTGAACCCTCTGACCTCTGTCACCATGTCAACACACTCAGGAGGGATCTGATTGGCTGCTGCAGGTCTTGTGGTTATCCAGAGGTGAGCAGAGGGTAGCAGGTTCCCCCTGATGAGGTTTGTCAGCAGCACATCCACTGAGCTGGACTCTGTAACATCAGTCAGGATCTGATTGTTGTGGAAGTCCAGAGGAAGTCGACACTCATCCAGACCGTCAAAGATGAACACGACCCTTAAGTGTTGAAAGCTGCAGATTCCTGCTTCTTTGGTTTGAGTGAAGAAGTGATGAACAAGTCCCACCAAGCTGAACTTCTTCTTTTTCAGCATGTTCAGCTCTCTGAAAGTGAATGGAAATGTGAAGTGGATGTCTTTGTTGGCTTTGTCTTCAGCCCAGTCCAGAGTCCACTTCTGTGTTAAGACAGTTTTCCCAATGCCAGCCACTCCCTTTGTCATCACGGTTCTGATTGGTTCCTGTCTTCCAGGTGAGCCTTTAAAGATGTCTTCTTGTCTGATGGTTGTTTCTGGTCGCTCTGCTTTCCTGGATGCTGTTTCAATCTGTCTGACCTCATGTTCATCATTGACCTCTCCAGTCCCTCCCTCTGTGATGTAGAGGTCAGTGTAGATCTGGTTCAGAAGGGTTGGGTTTCCTGCTTTAGGAATCCCCTCAAACACACACTGGAACTTCTCCTTCAGGTTGGACTTGAGTTTGTGTCGGCACTCTGCAGCAGCAGATCCTGAATGAAAAAAAAAAAAATGTGATGAATAATCTGAAGCTACAATCAGTCTGATGAATTTACACTTGAAGACATCAGGATGGATTTGATTTCCCTTCTCTCTGAAATCTCTTCAGCTCATCAGCTGTGATCAGTTTCTCACAGTTCATAGATGTGATACAAATGTGTGCATCACATGAACAGCAGAGTCTGAACTATAAACCTCTCCCATGTTGTCTCCATTTCTTCTTTCCATCATGTTAAATCTCTTTCAATCCTCTTACTGCTCTGCAGACAGTCAGCCAGCTCCTCCTGCTTCATTCTCCTCAGGAAGTGCACAGTGATCTTCACAAATGCCTCTCTGCTCCTCCTCTGCTCTTCATCCTCATCCTCCCTCTGGCTCTCTAAGCATGCTGACTCATGAGGACTCAGAACTCTCTGGATCTCCTTCAGCTGCTCCTTTACAAAGCTGATCATGTTCTCCTGGAGCAGCTGGAACAGAACAAAATGTAGAACTGAACATCAGAACATCTGTGACAGACAGAAAGTCTGCTGCTCTGCGGAGTCCAGCATGGAGACTGGATCACAATGCTGATTCAGAATTGACTTGGTGGATGGTCCTGTCTTCTACAAGTCCAGTTTCTATGAAGTGAACCTCATATTGGAGAAAACTCCTGATGTGGTTTCATGGAGAAAAAGTCTGCAGTGACTTTAGAGGTGATGTGTTTATTGGAATGAAGCTGAAAACAGCAGCTGTCATCGACATGAACCAACGTCTTTCTGTTCTTTAAACCTCAAACTGCACTCAGTTAGTGAACTCTGCTCTCTGCTTCCAAAGTCTGAGTCTGTGTGAGAACATCCACCATAACCTCTGACCTCTGATAGGTCATAAATTTAAGGCTTCATCCAATCAGTCAAACTGTGAGTTTGAACATATTTCAGGCAGAGATGGTGTTGGCAGTGTCAATAGGAAACAATCCAGAAACCTCCAAATATACTGAGTGTCTGCTCTGATGATCAGTAGGAGCTGTGCTTGTACATTTACGCGTACCATAAATATGGAGTCCAGCTGTGTTTGATGCTCCTGGGCAGACTGACCAATGGGAACCTCTGATCTCTGCTGCTGAACTCTGTGGAACAAACAGAATCTAATGTTGTGGATATGATATAATGAGACACAGGGTTACATGTGATAAGAGTCTATCTAGTGGATCCTGATAGAAACACTGCTGGATCCTCCTAAAAACACGGGACACACATGAAGATACATGCAGAGTCCAGTTCTTTGCTGCTCAGGTCCTGTTTACTGCTGGTGGATCCTGATAGAAACACAAACCCTGAAAAATCTTCACCCTCACAGAGAAAACTCTGACCACAGTTAGGATGAAAAGTTTCACACACAACAAAAGAAAGTTCAGTTTGAAAGGCTCACCTTTGCTCATCACAAATCTCTCCTTCTTTGAAATTAATAGGTCTGCCCATTGACCAGTCACTCTTTAAGGACAGACAGCTAGATCCAGGTCCAGGTCCAGGTCTAGGAGAGTCTGGTCTCTCATGTTTGACTCTGACAGAAACACAAACTGTGATGAAGAAACAAGAACATTGAAAATCTTCCAGGTTTGAGTGCTGCTGTTATAGATTATTACTTTTGACGATCAGACTCATGTCCATCTTTCAAATTAAGTGATCTGTCCATTGACCAGTCACTCTTTAAGGACACACAGCTGGAAGCAGGTCCAGGAGAGTCTGCTCTGTACTGCTGCTCAGGTCTTAGATAGACAGAAGGAAAGAGGTCTGAGTGTGAATAATAGTAATAGTGTAGTGATGTGAGTGCTTAGCTCTGACATGGAGAAGAGTCACAGAGAGTTGGAGATCCTCATCTCACCTCTGAGCTTTGGTCTGGCTGTCATGTTCCCCCCACAGAGTGGTTTTAGAGGGAGGGGCTCCCTCCTCTCTGTCCTCACACTGATTCATAGCAGAGCCCCCACCTTCACACAAACACAACAACATGCTCAGTCAGTACAACAAGCTTTTACACCACAGGACACTTCAGTTCTCATTCCTCTCAATAACATGACACAAATATTCAGGACTGACAGAAACCTTGTTGGAGCCTGAAACAGGATCTGATGAGTCCAGAATGAGTTACAGCCCCCAGACTCTCCCATAAGTACACTGTGGTCGTCACAATAATCTATTACATAAACACTATTGTTAAAATGAGTAAGAGTAAAATTAAAAAAAAAAAAAAAGTCTATTTAAATCCACATTTTTGATAAGTTTGATAGAAACTTTTAAAATTCAAAATTAATACAAAAATTAAACATTGACATAGGATGGTTCATCCTATGACAGCTGAGGGGGTCTCAATCAATCACTGAGACCGCTTCCACCCTGGGCTGGCTGTGGTCCATCTAAAATGATCTGAAACCTATGGGACCACTGAGACTTTGATGCTGCTATGTCTCCAGCGAAATTGAGTCAGTCTCAGTGTTGAAGGTGATCTGACCTTTGAACCCTTTACCTCAGAATATCAACAGTTTCAAAATTAAAGCACCTGAAGTTTATCCAGGCTGTCAGACCAGTTCAGACACTCCCTGCATTTTTCCCTGACGGTGTGACTCAGATTACTTTCAAACTGCTGCTGAGTCGACTCCACAAACACCAACTATAGAGCAGGTGGATCTGTCTGAAATCACTGCTCTTTAACTCAGAGAGAAATTCTACAACATATTTCAAACAGCCAATCAGCATCAAGAAAGATTTCTACGGTTCAACAGTGATCCAGCACCACGTGAAAACACTGATCCTGATCCTCAAACATGAACGGATTTCTCTGGAAGGATCCTCACCTGTTGAAGTGAGTTCAGGTCAGCTTACAGACACTTTCCACCTTCATGTGAGGAGAGAAGAAGCTGCTTGTTCGTCCCTCGTCAGTCCTGGTGTTTGTGAGAGTTTAATCTAAAGATGCCGTCACATCCTCATAACTTAGGTGACATCAGAACCAGTCCAACCAGGAACCCAGATAGTGCAGATTAACCACAGATCACATGATATAGTTCTACTATCAGACCACTAGATGGTGCTAATCACAGCCTATTCTTATAGTTTAAACGGCTCAGACAACCACACGACTTTAACCATGTAATTACTTACTTGACTTTGGTGAGAGTTCTTGTTACAATCATATCCTTAGGTAGAGACATGTGGAGGATTTTAGAGGGGCAGGACCTCAAACTCACAAAAGGGCAGTTTAATTTTTAAACAAATCAATACACTCCTGAATAATTTACCTTTATGACACTGTTGGAGAGACTTTAAGATATATATACGCAGAAAAAAATTGATTCAATTTTGTGATGATCTCATGTTATAGCTTTTCCTAATAGCTGTTGGTGGGTATTATGATCGTTTCTTGTATGTATAACACAGAGAAATATAAGATTTTTACCAGGATCCTGCCCACCCCAGCTTTAACCATTTATGCGAGCAAATGAAACTCCCACGCACTCATCAAACACTCTAAACCCCTCTGTCATGTTCTTTAACATGAACATAACAAGTATTACACCACGCAGTAAGACATTAACATCAACATGTTTACTTAAGAATGAACTAAAAGTACATTATTCTTTTTTTTTTTTTGGTACCTACAGTTAGCATGCTTGTTAGCGCTCAAAAAGTCAACTGTACTCCTGAAAGTTCAATAGAAACTCCGCTTACCGGCAGGAATCCCTCAGTTAACTGCTAAGTCTACACATACCTCCTTCAGAGATAACGTTCTCGGCTAGCCTGGCCGGGCCATCCTGTTGCGTGAATCACTTGATGGTGGGAAGGAACATCAAGTGATTCACGCAACAGGATGGCCCGGCCAGGCTAGTTCTCGGCACGATCTCACCAACCCGCGTCCTCCGATGGGCTCTCAGCCATTTTCACGCGGGAAGAGGTTGGCGGTCTCTCTGCTAAAATGGCGGCGGCCTCGTTAGCACAGCTAGCTCCTGCTTAAACACCCGCTCCGTCGCAGAATACAGCCTTAAACGTGTGCGAAACAAAGCATAGTGACAGATTTACACTTTAACAACCAAATTTCCATGAACGACAGAAACACTCAGTTAAAGCGGACCACAAAGAGTTTTCCTCCCTTCTCCATCTGTGTCATTCCACCTCAGTTCTTCTTCTTTTTCCCGGTTTTCCTTTCGTTCCTCCTCTCCATCCCTGATTGGTTCAAAATGTGGCGAGTGACCGCGCCCCTCTCCTGATTGATACCTGTCTACCCCAATTAACAACCCTTATCAGTCCATGATAGGTTCACTGTGACAATTCACAGTATTTTACAATTTTTCAATGTTTGCTGTGTTCATTGTGGGATATCACAACAGAAATGTGGTTTGTAACCTGTTTCAAAAAAGCACTACAAATTTTTGCATGAAAAATAAGGAAACCTGTGACAATTAATTTAAGTGTTGACATCAGTAACAGGGTATGACATGTTGAATGTCTTGAATGAGTTCCCATTTAAATAAAAAAAGACAACCAACCCCATAGTGTGTGACAGCTAACCCTGTAATGTGGACGATTGTCACAATGTGTTAGAGTGTTTTTGATTCATAATAAAGTACTGTAAAACTAAAAAAAAAAAAGTTAAAAATTAAAAGGATATCAATTCCAACCCAGCACATTAAGCTTCCCTGTAATGAAGGAATAACTTTTCTGAGATGTGTTGATGGAGAGATATTCATGCAGAAAATACGACAACCAACGCTACTCCTCCCAACTGCACATAATTTTATGTCGATCATGGTTTATTAATTCAAGTCCAAGCACAGCAACTTCAGAATAACATAACTCAAGAAGTAGGCTTATACTGTTTTTTTTTATTTTCCTTATTGTTTTTTAGAAGATAATTAATAACAGCAGATCTAACAGAAAGGTATCTGCAACCTCCTTGTGAACATATTATTTTTAGACTGCTGTAAGGTTATCCAGTGAGCTACCAAACATTCACACATACAAATCAACAGACAAAACACACAATTGACTCACTGATAAAACCGCAAATATCCTCTGAGTCCCGTGTGTCAGTTGGAGCATTTTACAGCAGAAAAAATAAATTTTGTCAGTTTGATAAGACAAAAATCGAGGGGGAAAAGGCGATTCTTCTCTCACATTTCCACTTTATAAGCAGAATTCCTATCTAGAAGAACAACAGCTGTCAATCATGGTGATTTTTGAGGATTTTTGTATCAACATTAACCAGTCATTGGGGGGTGCTGTTCTCACGGTGGCTTCTTCACCCAGCAAGGAGGCAGAAAACATCCATTCTATATACAGTCTCTTGGCAGGACATCAGGTAAGTGAGAAAAGTATCATCATAGCTGCAGTAAGTTTTCACTCTGGACTCAAAGAAGTGCCTCACACTATTTGTCAGGAGAGTCTGTCTTTGTTTGACATATTTAGCAGTTTAGAGCTGTCCTGCATGCTCTCTCATCAACCCTGAATCTGCCAGTAGGTTAGTGTCCCAGGAGGAATCAGTCGAAGATGGACAGCAGAGTTATTGTGTCCTAGCCTGTGCAACACCAGCAACTGTTACTATTTGAACATATCCGCCTTCTACTGAGAAGGTATTAGTGGATAAGGAAGTGAAGGGAGGTAGGCAGACATGCTGCCAGAAGAAGAGAATTTTGTGTAGTTCTTCTCTTTCCCTGCCTCAAGGTAGAGGGTTTCTACCTTAATCAGCAGTGACTTCCAAGAAAGAGGGAAGTTAGCTGACAAATTCTGCTGAATCTTGACTCCAGAAATGGCTCATAGAAATGATATGGATGGATCATTATTAACTGTCCTGCATCAGTATTTAAACTACCCTAAGTCTCATGAGTTTTCTCTGCGTACATATCTCCAAGTCTCTCCAACAGTGTCATAAAGGTCAATATTTCAGGAGTGTATTGATTTGTTTAAAAATTAAACTGCCCTTTTGTGAGTTTGAGGTCCTGCCCCTCTAAAATCCTCCACGTCTCTACCTAAGGATATGACTGTAACAAGGACTCTCACCAAAGTCAAGTAAGTGATTAAATGTTTATAGTTATGTTGTTGTCTGAGCCATTTAAACTATAAGAATAGGCTGTGATTGGTACCATCTAGTGGTCTAATAGTACAACTACATCCTTTGATCTGTGGTTAATCTGCACAGTCTGGGTTCCTGGTTGGACTGGTTCTGATGTCAATAAAGTTATAAGGGTGTGACGATGTCTTCAGATCAAACGCTCACAGACACCAGGGCTGACGAGGGACGAAAAAGCAGCTTCTTCTCTCCTCACATGAAGGTGGAAAGTGTCTGTAAGCTGACCTGAACTCACTTCAACAGGTGAGGATCCTTCCAGAGAAATCTGTTCATGTTTGAGGATCAGGATCAGTGTTTTCACGTGGTGCTGGATCACTGTTGAACTGTAGAAATCTTTCTTGATGCTGATTGGCTGTTTGAAATATGTTGTAGAATTTCTCTCTGAGTTAAAGAGCAGTGATTTCAGACAGATCCACCTGCTCTATAGTTGGTGTTTGTGGAGTCAACTCAGCAGCACTTTGACAGTAATCTAAGTCACACCGTCAGGGAAAAATGCAGGGCATGTCTGAACTAGTCTGTCAGCCTGGATCAACGGTCTACCCTTCTGAGGACTTCCTGGTTGAGTCGCCAAATGTCCCTACCCTCAGGCTCGCGTCACGACTAACTTGAAGAAAAGCTGCGGAGCACAGCAGTTGTTTTTTAATTGTGCGACCTTTCATACATACAATACACACACTAAACAAAAGACACAGACACAAAACAATAAATACATACAAGCACACAGGGGTTACTACCAAACAACAAAGTGGCAACCAAAAAGAGGAAAGGACTTTACAGATCATTTACACAAAATTCATCCAATGGTTGCATGTTTTGTATGAAGGAGTATGAGGGCCACATTGAGAATTCTGTGCTTCAGTGTAGGTTTCACAAACAAGGAGATACTTCATCCTTTGGGACATCAGCATTACATTGTCATAAGTATATGGACTTTAAAAAGAATATATGAGAAATGAATCTTTTCCACAGAAGAAAAAAAAAGAAAAACAGGTGGACTTGGAGGAAATCGCTGCTTTTGTGGAGGCAGATACGGATATGCAGAGGATATATCTGTCAATGCAGCCGTAAATAGCCGTGAATGACACTGGGCTTTAGTTTATGATACGAATACATATGGCATAAGGCGTTGTTGACGCTGCAAGTGTAGGTTACCGCTGGTGTCAGAGACGTGGTGCGGAGAATCACAAATGCTGATCATCAGTTGGATTGTTTCTTGAAAAACCACAAAAGCTCTCTGAAAGACCTGCTGATGCATCCACCGATAACCCTGCAGCTGACCAGTTCCACCCATTTCCCCTCCACAAAAGCAGCTTTATGACTTTATTTACTCTATGACTTTATTCTTTAGAAGTTTACAACTTTAATCTCTAAGTCTTAAAAAAAAAATTGTCTCGATGTGGCCCTAATACTTGGATGTAGTTTTGGCAGCTTTCTTATTTCGAATGTTTTTGATTGTGGAAGCAGAGCGGATCAGTTCTTTTCTAAAGAGTATGATGTTTGGTTTGCAGATTTTAGTGAGTTAAGAGAGCACGCGCTCATGGAGCCTGAGTTGACTGTGTTTTTGGATTTCCTTTATAATCTTTGAAGAGGAGCTGCGTCTCCAAGCGAGTGCGGCCTCTCACCCAAAATGCGCAGCTGTGCAGCGGCACACAAAGAATTCTGGGGATTCCAAGGCCACAAGCGTGCATAAATGCACGCTTGAAAAAGGGGCGGAGGCAGGGTGGTTTTGGGACCACAATTTAAGCGCTTAGAATCACAAGCCAAATGGGACACTGTTAGCGCCGTGTGATGACATCACACACACTTGGAATCCACACTTTGACGGTGCAGACCCTGAATTGAGACACAGCCTTAGTTTTACTGGAGACCCTTTAGCAGGGTCAAAGTCTCAGTGGTCCCATAGGTTTCAGATAATTTTAGATGGACCACAGCCAGCCCCGGGTGAAAGTGGACTCGGTGTTTGATTGAAACCCCTCAGCTGTTAGGGGCCCCTATGAGACAGAAAATGAACCATCCTAGGTCAATGTAAAACAAAAGATTTTTTTTAATCAAACTCATCGAATATGTCGATTCGAAGAGACTTTTTTTTTGTTTCACTCGTTCTCATTTTAACAATAGTGTTTATGTGATAGATTATTGTGATGACCACAGTGTATAGGAGAGTCTGGGGGCTGTAACTCATTCTGGACTCATCAGATCCTGTTTCAGGCTCCAACAAGGTTTCTGTCAGTCCTGAATATTTGTGCCATGTTATTGAGAGGAATGAGAACTGAAGTGTCCTGTGGTGTAAAAGCTTGTTGTACTGACTGAGCATGTTGTTGTGTTTGTGTGAAGGTGGGGGCTCTGCTATGAATCAGTGTGAGGACAGAGAGGAGGGAGCCCCTCCCTCTAAAACCACTCTGTGGGGGGAACATGACAGCCAGACCAAAGCTCAGAGGTGAGATGAGGATCTCCAACTGTCCATGACTCTTCTCCATGTCAGAGCTCAGCACTCACATCACTACACCATCACTATTATTCACACACAGTCCTCTTTCTTTCTATCTGTTATTCTGTCTGTCTAAGACCTGAAGAGCAGCACAGACCAGACTCTCCTGGACCTGCTTCCAGCTGTGTGTCCTTCAAGAGTGACTGGTCAATGGACAGATCACTTAATTTCAAAGATGGACATGAGTCTGATCGTCAAAAGTAATAATCTATAACAGCAGCACTCAAACCTGGAAGATTTTCAGTGTTCTTGTTTCTTCATCAGTGTTTGTGTTTCTGTCAGAGTCAAACACGAGAGACCAGACTCTCCTGGACCTGAACCCAGCTGTCTGTCTTTAAAGAGTGACGGGTCAATGTTCAGACTTATTGATTTCAAAGAAGGAGATATTTGTGATGAGCAAAGGTGAGCCTTTCAAACTGAACTTTCTTTTGTTGTGTGTGAAACTTTTCATCCTAACTGTGGTCAGAGTTTTCTCTGTGAAGGTGAAGATTTTTCAGAGTTTTAGTGTTCCACAGAGTTCAGCAGCAGAGATCAGAGGTTCCCATTGGTCAGTCTGCCCAGGAGCATCAAACACAGCTGGACTCCATATTTATGGTACGTGTAAATGTACAAGCACAGCTCCTACTGATCATCAGAGCAGACACATATTTGGAGGTTTCTGGATTGTTTCCTAATGACACTGCAAAAATCATCTCTGCCTGAAATATCTTCGCATTCACAGTTTGACTGATTGGATGAAGCCTTAAATTAATGACCTGCACAGAGTCAGAGGTCAGAGGTTATGGTGGATGGTCTCAAGCCGCGTTCAGACCAAACGCGACCTGAAGCGACCTGTGTGTTCGCACCGGGTCCAAAGCTGCAGTCACGGAGGTCGCAGGATGCGGCTGGTCGCCGCTGACCCGCTTCTCCCACCTTCCTTCGCCCTCCTTTTCTCCCTCATATATACAACCCGCAGCCCCTTCCAGTGCTTGCGACACACATCCACTGCAAAGACACACACACACACACATTGAAACATGTAGCCTAGCAAGTAGGGGAAGTTTGCTATGTTTTCAGAAAATAGTCTACTCACTGAAATAAATAAACAAACTTAACAGAAAGCCCGACATCATGGGCCACCTTCGCCCATGCCTCCTCCTTGGAGGTGCGGTCCCGGTAGAACGCGTACCCCATGTCGTACAGGACCGGGTGATAACTCACGGCAGTGATAAACTGCTCCTCCATTGTGATTCTTCTCCTTCTCCTTGCTTCGCCGATTTGTTGACGTCGGCAGAGCCCTGATTGGCTGTCGCGGCACGAACTTTGGGAGCGACGCGACTTGGCGTCCTGCGACCTTGGGCGACGCGAACTCGGCGACCATGTGTGACTTGGTCGCCGGGGTCCCTGACGTCGCGTCGCCGGCAGCTGGTGGTCGCGTTTGGTCGCGTTTGGTCTGAACACAGCTTCACATAGACTAAAGGGGCGTTCAGACCAAACGCGACGCGACCTGGTCGCGTCGCTTTGGTCGGTCACGTCGCGTCGCGGGGTGCTCTGGTGTGTTCACACCGGGTCCAAAGCTGCAGTCGCGGCTGGTCGCCGGTGACGTCATCCATGTCACTAGGTCAGTTTTCATTTCATCAGTGCTGCCGCATATCTGTACATCCGCAGTAGAGGCCGCCGGCGTTTATGGGTGCATGAAACCATCCGGAGGAGGACAGAGCTGGGTGAATTTCACCGCTTGCTCCAGGAACTCCGCCTGGACGACGGCCGCTTCCAGCGGTATTTCTGTGTGTCGACGGCGCAGTTCGAGGACCTCCTCGCCCAGGTGGGAAGCAGTATCTCCCGCCTGTACACGAAATACAGGCGCTCCATCTCAGCTTCGGAACGCCTGTCCATCTGTCTGTCCCTCATATAAACGTCCCTAAGCCCCTTCCACCGCTTGCAGCACACATCCACTGCAAAGACACACACACATACGTTGAAACATGTAGCCTAGCAAGCAGGGGCAGTTAGCTATGTTTTCATAAAACAGTCCGCTCACTGAAATAAATAAATAAACAGTCTCCTCCTCCTACACAAACACCACAAACACAAACCTCAGCTGAAGAACAGTTGACCCTCTACACAAACACAAACTTCAGCTGATTATTTGACTGTTTGTATCCTGTCACATCAGTCTGAATGTCTGTTATCAAAGAGCAGGACTCCATGTCAAACTGGCTCACTGAACTGGACTGATTTCTGTCTCTATGGGGGAAAAATCCGGCCTCATTCAGCACATTTTTCTTCACTGTATTGATCAGAAAGTTTGTCCGAACAATCAGAGTTAGACTCATGAAAATCTTCTTCACCTGTGCAGGTATTCACACCTGTGTTTAAACCGATGAATGTCATGTCCCACACACACACACACACACACACACACACACACACACACACACACACACACACACACACACACACACATAGAAAAATCAGAGCCAAGCTGAGAGGACGATTAGAAAAAAGTGAAGACAGAAAACATGAGAATCTGGAGCCAGAGAAGCAAACTCCGGCTCCAGATTAGAAATGACAATATCAGGTGAGGCTCCAGGTGAGTCTCAAAGTAGGAGACCAGACACACCAGGCACGACTTTAGGGCTTTCCGTCTGGTACCCTCTGACCCATCCACACCACTCTTTGAAGCATGTAAGTTTAGCTAATTCTTTGTTGTCTGAACTTTGTTCAAACACACTGCTATGTTTTTGTTATTATTATCGCTACTACTAATATTATACTGTTATCATTGTTACAGAAAAAACTAGTTAGTAATTACAGTAAATGTTGGTCTGAGTCAAATAAAATAAGTTTTCTTTGTACTGTGTGTACTACCTATACTTATGACACCAAAGAGTTAATGCAGTGATTTTGCAGTATGGATGTACTGTATGTTTGAATACAGCTACAAGTCAGACTGAGCCTCCGACATCTTGTAGCAGCACCATCTCTATCACATCAAGCACACCACTCAGCCCCTGTGAAACTCAGGCTGAAGCAGGTGAGTTCTGTAATTGTTGCTACAGCTGCAGTCACATTACTTATGTCAATACGACCAAACGGAGACACAGTTTGGTTTAATCCTATCAATAATTAACTCATTTTCTATCACAATGTTTACATCACAAATTAGTACAAATCATCTTGCCCTTTAAATCTGGAATGTTTTAGTCCATTTACAAACATAATCTTATTTCCTTTTTATTTGTTAAAGAGGGACAGTGTACATTAATGAACATTTTAAAAAGATAAAATGTAAATGGACCCAATTGTAGCCACAAGGCTAGTTTCCATTGGTAGTCCCCCTGCCAGAAGGAACATGGCTGTGATGAAATGTTTCCTACATTCTTGTATCATCTGGTAACATGCACAAGAAAATGTATTTGATGAAGTATACAAGGGAATATAGATAACTGAAATACAATTCAGATTAGACTGCTCAATCAAGTTGTCTATAGGACACATGAAAGGTAGGATAACTTATCCCCATCAAAAATTATAAAACTGGATTCTTTATCTTTTCCTCATGTAACAGAACAATACTACTTTTATCCATATTTTATGCTTCAGATGTGTTTATTTCCTGATGTATTGTAGTTTGTAAATCACTGTGAGCATTTGCATGTATTTTCAATTGCTTGCAGGTGAAGGACCAAGCACACTCTCCACAAGTTGTCCTTCAGGTCGTTATCTTTATAATGTTTGTGTTTTTTATCAAAAAGCACTCTGTTCTCCGACACGTAAACAATCAGCCGGTCGGCCATGTTGGATATACCGGTGAATCTGACGTTGCGACAGCACGCAATCTGATTGGTCAGAAGTGGACACACAGTGTGCAAAACTTGAGAAAATTCAACTGCGATATGAAAAAATAAATGCTGCAATATTGCAGGATGGGAAAATTTCGCTGATGTGAACGTTTGTATTGACAGGATAGGGGTTCGAAGAAAAATACTGACGTCTGAAATAATCGCATGAAAAAAACGCTCCTGGTATGAAAGAACCTTTAATCTAAATCTGGGCTTTATCTGTACCACACTGTATATCCCTCAACAGCTATCATAATTATTTTGGTTAAGTACTTGGAGATAAGTTATGCAACTCGCAGTCGCTTTTTGAAATAAATAGTAATCGAATACTGGGTTAAAGTGCAACGTCTAGATTCCGTCTATACAGGATCTAGACTGTTGAAATTAGGTCTAAAACAAAAAACTAGACGTTAACTCACCATTTATTGCTCAGTGGGAGATGAGGCATATTTGAAAGGTATTTGAATTTTAAGGCATCTTTGAGTAAACTTTGATTATCATTGATGTATGTCGAGTGTCCTGGTTTTCAGTAATCAAAATGGCCGCTCTTCTAATCATATGTCTGAGGGCTGAGCGAATATCACGTGTCCCGGAACTGAGCGCTGTCAGCCCACGTTGCCATGGCAACTTGAAACAAATGTCGTTAGCCGTTAGCATATTCCTTGTAACTGAAAAAAGACATGTCACCCTTAAGTTTGGCCTGTTAATCGGCAAAAACCTTTTTTTCCAACCGGTTGCGACACATCGATGAATATGAACACACACGCTGAGAGCATGAAGAAAACCAGTTTGACGCTAAACTCGTAAGTTTCACAGATTTACAAGAAGAAACACCTCACTTTTGCTAACAAGCGAACGTTTGCTTTGCTTTTTTATGCTTACTTCGCTTTCTTCCAGGTCTTCACGAGGAATGACTAACTCGATATCAGGACTTCATAAGGTCGGTTTGAGTTCGAGACACAAATGGAGCTTCACGGGTTCACTAACCCGAAAAGGCTCCATCCTGGCCGGCCGCAGGGGCAGCAAACTGAGCGTCCTGGATGATAGGAGTGAAGTTCCCAGAGCTGTTCAGGTGACAGAAGGATGAGCAAAAGATATAGTCAGACTGAAAAAGTAGACACTCAAACTCAGAGAAGAGAGACAGTTTTTGGTGCATTTGTATTATTTTGATGTTGCAGCGAGTGAAGGTGCAAATCTGAACTGTTTTGTGAATTGTAGGGCAGGTAGCTCAAAGATATTTTAATGATTAATTGTGTTTTTTCTTTATATCTTCAGTGATTCCAAGTGAATAATTGTTTGAAAAGAAATTCAAAAAGTTTATAAGTAAGAGAAAAATAAAAGTTGCAATATTTACAACAGCTCTCTGTTAATGCAGAAATTTCTGGTCTGTTTTAAGTAAAAAATATAATATTATATAAAAGTTCTGGCAGTTACTGACATTATCTTTGGTGGCGTGTGAGACAGTTGAATAGAAAATGTATTCTTACTCAAACTTAAAACTCACTCAGTAAGGGTTAGGTCACCCACACAGCATCCAAAATCATCAGCCTGCCCATCACAGACCTCTCACACTTCAACAATATCTCCATCACTCGCATGGCCCGGACTATCAGCACAGACTCAGACCACCCTCTCCACAGTCACTTCTGCCTGCTGCCCTCTGGCTGCAGGTTCAGGACTCTGCTCTCAGTAAGAGCTTTGTCCCTTCTGCCATCGCTGCTCTGAACAGTCTGCAAAGCTAATCCTGTACCTCATCTGCATGTGTGTTGTCCTGTGTGCCCCTCTGTCTGTAATTATGTGCCTTGTTGTCTATCTATCTATCTATCTGTCTGTCTGTCCGTCCATCTATCTATCATCTATCTATCTATCTATCTATCTATCTATCTATCTATCTATCTATCTATCTATCTATCTATCTATCTATCTGGTTCAGGTTGTGGTTATCTTCTTTGCAGGTCTTGAATGAGGATGGTAATGACGTCACTCCTCTGCCCCTGCATCAAGAGGAGCAAGGAGACAAGTTCAAACAGGGCACATTCTTCCTGGAGGAAATCTTCTCCAGCACGAGATCTGACCACTTAAAATCCACGTCAACCTTCAATCTGCCCACTGCCAGGTACCTGATGGTAACTTTCATTCGTATCCTCTGCTCAGACACAATATTCAACCCCACAAATCTGAAACCCGCTACTCATTAGCCTGTAGTCAATACAGCCGTTGTCCATTTTTCCAGTTCTTTTATGGGTAGCAGCCCTACATCCAGCATGAGAGCTTCAATGACTAAGGAGAGTGACGATAGTGTACTCGACATACCGACCCGACCTCCAGCTCCATATGGTGACTACTTATTAAATTTTTAAACCATTCATGGCCCGTATATTTATCCGTATCTGTGTCATTCACTCTGAATATTGTTTGTGCTTTGTTTCCTCCAGAGGTGCCAAGAAAAAGAGAGACCGTGGAGCAGCAGCTGACTGAAGAGATGCTGGATGAGGTAATAGATGTTTTGCTCCATGAGACGGACACTATGACCCTGCTGGACATACCCAACACTTTTGTTTCAGTGGATGCTGAGGAGGCAGAAGCTGTTGAGTGAGTAAAATTCTGAACTGATTGTTAGTTTTGTTAAATTTTGGGCAAGATAATAAACTCAGAATATTGAGCCTTACAGGACAATTGTAATAAAAATTGTAGTAACAATCATGCCAATAAAGCTTATCAAAATTGAATTTGAAAATTGAAAACAAAGTATTGTAGTCGTAATAAGCTGTTGTTTTTTGCAGAAAAGCAAACGTTCACTATGCAGAGCTTTGCAAGAACAGATTGGGCAACGATAAATATGTAGACCGACCATCACAGACATTCAACGGAGCCCTTAAAACCAAACAGACCCAAAGTGTTGAGGTCGTGACTGTGGATGAAGGTACGCTAAGCTGTGGTCAACTTCTCAATGAGGTCGGCAGGTTAATTTCTATCAGCTTGTTCAATCCTAAAGCTGTCAACGCTGCTGTTGTTGTCTCTTGCAGTGAAGCCTCATCAATGAAATGAACAAAAAAATATGTCGTAAAACATAATGTAATTAGGTTTAAAAGCTCATACTTTTGTGTGCTAGAATTACAAATAGGTACAATGTGTTGTTTCAGGTTTATTATAAATCAGTTTCTTTAAGTTGAGAGTTGGCTGAAAATCTGTCGCTTCCACAGGCACAATGGCGACAACCTGGGAAATCTACAACTCATTCTGTGACAAAAATGAAACAGCTGAGAGTGAAGGAGCCGATTTTCTAGAAAGTGCGGTCAACACCAGCAGTGATCAGGAGAGGAAAGATGACAAAAGCAGCAGCAGCTGCACAACCACCACTGGTACCAACATCTGGGAGAACACCGACTCTGTGAGCAGAATGCTTGGGACAGCGGGTAAACAAAGCAGGCCTGTTTTTAGATCTTTTTGCATGTGGTCGTATAAACTGCAGGACCTGAACTGATGTACAGCTTTGAAAGTTTGTTTATTTACTTCACATCTGCAGGCAGTACTGTTAGCTCACTGAATGAGAGGGAGTCAAACAGGAGCAGTGCAAACGCTGAACCCAGCACACAGCTGATTCTGTCGGAGTCATTCCAGCAAAGCTTAATAGCGATGGAGAGATGTGTGGTGGCAAACCTCATCCAAACCAAGCTGGCTGCTTATAGAAAGCTTCCTATACTAGAAGGTAAACTCTGATGATCCCCGCTTCCTTATCCCACAAAACTGAATGTGAGAGGCTAATGTCCCAACTTTACATTTGACAGACCCTGAGAGCACAGAGAGGCCTGAGGCCGAGGAGCAGAGTGAGGAGAGCTCCTTGTCTCCAACTGTGGAGCCTCTTTGGTCGCTCAGCTGTGAGCTGACCAGAGGATGCAGTATCACCTGCATGGCCTTAAACAAGGAGAACCCGGTACCGTGCTAAAAACACACAAGAGCGACAAAATGTAGCTTCAGCTTTACCCTAGCATCTCTGTTATGTTTTCTGTTATTTTGGGTCTTTTCCATTAACACTGAAGACATCTAAACCTCCATTTTTCATGACGTTTTATGGTAATAGCGGCTATAATAGACAGTTTTTACTCTTCAATAGTTGATTCACAGCTCATCTTTTGTAGTACTGGAAAAAAATCTAACTCTAGTCTCTCTTTTTGTGCTCTGTACTCTCCGAAAGGATCTCCTGTCTGTGGGCCACGGTGATGACAACACTTCTCTTCTGAAACCAGGTTTTATCTGCTCCTGGTCCCTGATGCACCCCTCAGTAAGTTTTTCTTCCCTTTGTTCTAAATTTCTTCTTCGCCAACATTTGCCCCTGCCCTATGTCAGCTTACTGATCTGACCGAAACACAGTTGTTGCTGCTCTGTTTTCTGAGTAAACCGAGTTTCTTCAGTTAGACATTGAACCCTAAATTGTTCCTAATGGTTTGGGACTGACAGTGATCGTGAAATATGTGTCCCTGTGCAGAGGCCGGAGCGCATCTTCCACTGTCACAGTGGTGTAACGTCGCTGGATTTCTCTTCCAAAAACTCTGGCCAGCTGGCTGTGGGGATGTATGACGGCACTGTGGCCATCTACAATGTCACAACTCCGAACGGCAGGGCATGTATTGCCAGCAGCAGGTGAGGACTGTGTGAAAGACCTCAACTGACCCCTCTCATATTCAAACTTAAATGTCTTTACTTGTTTTATTGCAGTGCGTGTTCCAAAAGACACCGCTATCCAGTGTGGCAGGTTAAGAATATCAAACAAGAGTTGAGTGAAAAAGATGGAATCAGTTTCGAAAACATCGTCGCCGCATCAAATGATCGCAGAGTCACCCAGTGGCTCCTCTGCGACAATGTTCTTGACTGCATGGGTATGGTGTTTATTTTTTCAATAATTATAATAATTTAATTTAAAAGAGAGAGAGATGTCCTTCAAGCACTGGGTGGATATTTGGGTTATAGTTGTTGAAAAGCAGATAAGGGATGTGTAGCATGTTCCTTTTCCGGCATTTACTGTTTACAATTAAATATGACTATTTATTTTCATCATAGTAAAATGAAAAGTGGACAACATACAAAAACTTAATACTACAGATTAGGCCTGGACGATATAGAAAAAAAGCATATCGATAAAAAATAAATCATATTGATCGATATCGATAATTATCGATATAATTATTATAATTATTTAACATATATTTTAATTGCAGCCCTGGATGTTTTATGCTATTGCTTAATGACCTACTTTTAATTTAGAACACACAAGCACTGAATTCAAATTCAAACCTTTATTCAACCACCTTTTTTATTTTACCACAACTGAAAGTTTTTTTAAAAAGAACTAAAAAAAAAAAGAAATCAACTTAAGTGGCCTGAGTGACGTCAGTAAATACTGACAAACATAAAGACTAAAGTGACCAGAAAATCTGATAAATAAATACTTAAATAGTCTTTTGATGAAAATAAACAAAACAAACAAATATATAAATAAACAGAATAGCTTTAGGTGGGAATAGCATACTACCAGTTTTAACTTTGTGGGAAACTGCCCACAGCCTGGTGTCTGAACACTGAAATATTTCTCCCGGGGTCGGGAGATTTATTTTTTTTAATTATCATGTGATTGACTTAATACACAAACTAAGCACGAGAAGCAGGACTCATCCACGCCGGTGTTGTGTCGTAGAATGCACCCCTGCCGAATGCACCCCCTGCTAGTAGCCATGATCCACATACTCGCGTCTTTGTAAAATATGAGGTCATTTTCTTCCACTTTAAGAAGCTAATGAGTGGATGGGATGCAGGGGTGCATTCTACGGCACAACACCGGAACGTATTTCCTCCGCACCCTTCTCACCTTTTCAACCCCTGACCCATTTTCATGCCTGAAGCGCTGTGTTTGAGAAATACTTGCGGCCGGGCACTTCATATCGCGGGTCGAGAGTGGCTAGAAGCTGGTCGAAGCCAGGCTTTTCAACGGTAGTTATTGGCAGTATGTCCCTCGCTATGGAGCATGTCACTGCATGGGTGATGTCCTTATGCCGCTCGGACGCTTTGTCGTATTTTGGCAAGAAACCAAGTCCAGTTTGGTCTGCTTCACATGCTTTGTGCTGGCAGCGGTTCCAGAGGATTCCTCCTCCGACGACGACGTGGAGCCGCGGCGCGGCCGACACAGCTCGTACTCCTGCGGGTGCGATCGGTTTAGATGGTAAAACAAGTTGGTTGTGTTACCAGACTTGGTTTTTACTAATTCTCTGCAAATTTTGCAAACGACCGCTGTTCGCTTTTTGTCAGACTTCTAAAAACCAAAAACATTGCCATGCTGGTGAACTACTGAAACCTTTTTTCGGGACAATGTCCTCCGCTTCTCCTTGCTGTATCATTTTTTCTAATACACGTGCTGTCTGTTGTGGTTTGATAGGGGCTGGGCTTGGTGCCGTAGCGTACCTGGGTCTGCGTTTGTGATTGGTCGGGAGGAAGTAATGACTGTAGTAAAAGCTACATGATAGGCTATGATGAAAAAGAAAGGGAAACTGTGTTTTTCTATCGAACTTTTTATCGACCCGTTTTTTTTCTATCGCACCACACGTCTATCGATCGATATATATTGTTATCGAATTATCGTCCAGCACTACTACAGATACAATAGTGATGGGCACGGCAGTTCTTTTAGATGCACTGAATCACTCAAATCAGTTCACTGAAAAGATTTGTTCAAAAGATTCGTTCACGGAATCATTCAGCGCTTGGCGGGAGGAGCCTGCGACTCCGACTTCCTGAACTGATACACAGCTGAACGATTCAGGATTCAGTTCAGATCATAGACTGTATATAGAATGGACAGCGTCTGCCTCCTCGCTGGATGAAGCCACTACGAGAACAGCACCCTCTGTTGATGGGCTGCAGTATAGGTCATAAATCCCGCCCCCGCCAGCAAAGCTTATGGAGCTGTGGACAAACTTTAGAAATCAATTACACAGAACACAAATTTTTCTCCCCCTGCTTTCAATGTTGACATGTAGTTACTCTAAGACTGGTTTGTGCTCAAGTCCTCTTTTTTCTGTGAAGCTCCGTTGATACAGCCGATTGGCGTTCAGGGATTACGTAGCTCACCCGGGGGATACGCTGTTTGAGCCGCGCGTCATCACAGCGACTCTCCCGCCGACTGCGCGCAATGCTACTGCGCAGTGCTGGTTTCAGGAAATTAAGAAAAATCGCGGAAATACAGAGAGCTTTTTGGCTTCAAATCCGTATACAGGCGGGAGGCGGAACCAAGTTGTCCGTAGTATAAACAGTCTATGGTTCAGATCATCGCTTCTGGGACTGGGAGACGCGAGTGTTGTGGCTGTGCTGCTTTGACAAACAGGTTTGTAAAAATCAACTCGAGGTTTTAAGTGTACTGTCCAATGGTATGCTATTTATCTATTCGGTAAATTGGGCTCGGTGAGTGATTCGTCCACTCAATGTTTACCCCACAGTACATTCAGTGAAGAATTCGCACCGTTCCCTCACAAATCGCCGCAGTGACAGAATTAGACAGTCACGCATTTCTCGAACTGTGGGTTTTATACACTACTTGTTGCACACTGTGTCCTACTGTCTCCCTCTGTTGCTCCTATCAAGAGCTTGCTACAGTCTCACTCTCTTCTCATTACTGCCAGCCTAACATTTTAAGTTTGTTTAATTGGGAACTAAATCTGTTAAAACCACCAGGAACAACGGCCACCATGAAAGTGACATAAATGATTCGAGAGAGTGTAGTTCACTGCGTGATTCGTTAACCAAGTGATTCAGGCGTCAGCGCGTGAAAAAATAAATGCCGCAATATCGCAGGACGGGAAAACGTCGCTGATGTGAACGCTTGAATTCTGTTTTTATTCATATTTTACAAAGCATCTCAGCTTTCAACAAATGATCCAATTTAGTAATTCATCGTGATTATATCTGTGTCTCTTCTGAAAACTGTCTGCAGAGCTCTTTTCGTTCATAAGGCCTGGAGAAGAAAAGCCAGGGGGACTCGCTCTGCCTGCAGTGTCTTCTGTTATGTGTATCGACTTCCATCCAACGGTGAGTAAACCACACAGAGTAGGTTACACTGAGCCTCGTCCTGCCTGTTTTTGTCGGTCATGTATTCCTCTGACTGTAACACAGTTTTTTCTCGCTCTGCAGAATTCGAGGATCTATCTGGTCGGCACGTATGAAGGGAACATCCACAAGTGCTCCATCTATGACAATCAGTCTTTTGTGAGCACTTATAAAAAACACAATGTAGGTCCTTTATTATCAAACTTTGACTCTGTGGGAATGCAAATAGCGGTGAAATAAATCGTAGAAATACTGGAGCGATTGATCGCCACAGCATATCCAATCGTGCTTTCTTTCAGGGCTCTGTGAACGACATCCAGTGGTCTCCATTTTGCCCTGATGTGTTCCTGAGCTGCTCGTCTGACTGGAGCATCCAGCTGTGGAGGCAGGACCTCCTCACCCCTGTGCTGAACTTCGAATCCAATAAGACAGCTGTGTGTACCGTCAGATGGTCCCCACACTGGTCTACTGTATTCGCAGCCATTACAGGAGGACAGCTGGAGATCTGGGACCTGAATTCAAACATGTGAGTCAGACCACACAGGGTGCCTCCAGCTCTGTCACATTTGATCTTTCTTTTCTGCTGCGGCGTAAATTAACCCTGAAAACAAACATCCTCTTTCAGCCTGAAACCCACCATCGTGCAGCCAGCTCCACCTGGTGTGACCTTCACGTCTCTGCTGTTTACCAGAGAGACGGACTGTCTCTTGGTGGGGGACAGTGACGGACAAGTTACTGTCTACCAAATCAAGAACCTCAACGTGGGAGATGGCAAACAGGTAATGCTGACAAAAGGCTAGGAGATCTTTAACATGCAGCCTGTCTCCAAAATGCTGAGACTACAAAGACTACACTGTTACAGAGATGCAAAAATGATTTAAATCCCATTTTTAGTGCTAATTGAAATTTCCTTTAATGCTTTCTTTCAGGTCAACGATTTGGAAAGCATCATTTCCTCTCGGATTTCTAGGTAGCTCCAGTTTTCTTGTGATAATCTGTCAGTAACAGTATTTCATTTAAATATAAAAGGAGCTGTCGGTCAGTTAAAAAGAGATAAATGAACTGGAAAAGGAGTGTAGAGAAATAAAGAAGTTTGGGTTCAAATATTAGATTCCATTGCATTTATTATGACGTTTGGTATCAAAAAAAAAAATACATAACACATAAAAAATAGACAAATTTAAAGGCTCAAAACAAAATCTGCAACAAATCTGTTCAATAAAAAACTACAAAATAAGAAAAAGCTACCTACAAAACAATTATAGTGCATGTATGATCTGCACATAAATATACTCCAATATCTACTTAAAGACCAGATATCAGGTTTTATCAGGTAGAGAAACAGTCTCATAATGAACTTTAAAAAAAAAAAATCAGTGAAATTATTTGCAAGATGGCTGATAGTTTTAGATTCAGATTCAGACGACTTTGTTAATCCCCAAAGGACGATTCATTTCACAGTAATCCACCTTGTTATTAAACAACCAAGAAACAGACAAATGCCAGATATTCACAGCAGCAAATGGCCTAAACATTCCCCTGTCAGCACCACAAATCAGCAATAAATATATAAATAGATGATAAATACATGTGCGATATGTTCAACAATGGGTTGGCTAAAATACGTTAAGAAATAATGAGATAAAAGAAGTAAAATAAAAACTAAAACAATCCTGAGACCCCAATTTCAACACAGACCACCAATCCGCTGCTTCCCAGCATTTAGCAGCCTGACTGCTGAGGGGATAAATGAGTCAAGTACCTATTTGTTTTCCTTGGGGGAGCACAGTAGCGCCTCCCAGTGGGCATAGGAGAAAAGGATGTGTCCAGGTTGGTCCATGATTCCTTTAGCCTTCTTGACCTCTCGTTCCTCCCAGAGAGAGCTCAGGTCCGTCAGCTGTACTCCAGTAATTTTGGACTTTTACGATCTGGTTCAACCTGTTTCTGTCCTTTACCGATAATCCATGAAACCAGCAGATGAAAAGAGAATTTTAAAATACTTTCAATAAAAGAATGATAAAAACATAAGACAGGATGCCCTCAGAAACACTAAAAGATCTCAGTATTCGCAACAAGTGAATCCTTTGTTGACCTTTTTTTAACTATTTGCCTCTGTGTTCTGAACAGACTTTAACACCTAAAGCTGCTGTGAGAGTGTAAGTGACTCTTTTACACTCATCCATGTATGTAGAGTTTAAACAAAGACTTCATATCTTCATACTCATACAGGAGTGATCTGAAGCATCAAGAAAGTGTGTTAAAGAGACTTCCTGAATGAACAACTGGCTGGCAGTTTGTCGTAATCGTATCACAGTTGAGCTGTGCACAGGGCTCAAGAATGCGTCCGCTAGCTCTGTTATTCTGAGTGACAGTGCTTCCTTTCATTCTCTCTCCGGCTCCGACAAATTGCATCACGCTCTCTGCGCCGGCTGGTATGTCTATAAATGACAGACTCCAGACTGTGAAGCTGTGGAGACTCGTACTCAGATTCCTCTGAATGGAGCTCCTGACGGCGGCGTTCAGATCTCAGAATAAAAAGCCACGTTGACATGTGCAAAATGTCTTGATCCGATTAAAAACTTATTTAAAACTTGTATTTATTGATTATGAAGTTTTTAGCCAAAATCACATAACTTGCGTCATTTTCAAGGGCTTTTCTTCTGCAGAGCTCCAGTAGCTCATTGGCAATTCATCTCTAAGTCGTGGGCGGAGACAGAGGCGCTGTTCTACACACTCCTCTTCACACGAGCTTGTTGTAGCCTAGCATTGTCGGTGTAGTAGAAGTGGCAGGTAACACAGAAGCTCTTCAGCTCTCAGACATGAATGCCTTTGGAGACGTGATGAAAGTTAAAATCATAATTAGTTTTCTTACGAGAATTGCAGTTCGCTAACACACATGCTTGTTCCACGATTGTCCTCTCTACTTTTCTGAGTGTGGCCCTCATAGCAGGGCTCCAGGGGGCGGGGCTTGGATTTGTGACATAGGAAATCTCACTGTATCTGATCCTGCCGTTTGGGTCTGCCAGAGATTCACGTCGATTTGAGTGCAGAAATACTCAGAAATGCAATTTTGCACTTATTTTTCTCATGATATGTCCTGTAGCATCAGAAAATGAACATATGAACAAATAAAAAACATGATTTTCATCGGAGTGGGTCTTTAAAGCAAAATTATTTCAACTGAAGCCAACAAGCCTAGCTTAAATAAAGGCCTGAAATTAAAACTCCTTTTTTTTTAAATCAAGTTATTAAATCGAAACTCTCCCAGTCTTCCAAACTGAACACTAAGATGGTCAAATAATAGAAGAATTGTAAGATTTAAATTCTCTAAATATATAGTCAGTTTTTTTAAAAGGGAAGTGCTGACACATAAAAGTACAAGGTAAAGTATGTCAGAGCGACAAAACTCGACCTACTTCCCTCTTTCCTTCTTTGTTAATGTGTATTTCTCAAATCTGCTGACGGCGTGACTTTAGGCACAATGAGCTTTCACTGTCGGCACAATGATTCACATGATTTGTAGTAAAAACGCAGCGATGACACAACACACAGACGTGTAAACGCTGTTATATTTTTACCCCTCTGTGATCTATGACTCTGTAAGGTCACATTTCCTCACAGAGCTGCTTCAGTAAGCTCTTCTGTCTGCTTAAATTAAAACTCAGTGAGCAACAAAGGGGATGGGAAGATATAAATCCCATGACAGCAGGTCACAGGCCACAGCATGTGATTCTGCACATGGAAAACTATCTGTGTGCAGATTTCAGAGAGAGTTAGAAGGAACATGACTTTTTATGCATTAAAATGGCAACATATTGTTATTTTCAACACTATAGCAGGCACTTTCTCCTCCTATTACTTACAAACAGGCTTGAAAGTCACAGTAATGGAGTTTATAGAGGATGTGGGTACAGTTTTGTGTGGTGTGGTCTGGGTTTAGATCCCTTTTTATGTCCAATGGATGATTGACTTTTACTTCTGTAGAGCACACGGGAAGTGAAGCTGGATTTGAAAGAGACGTGACGTTACGTTCTGGTTTTAAACATTTCAAACTTTATTTTTTTGACCCTTTCACTCAGAACACTGAATTTATCAGCCTCTGATAGTGTGAATTCATATTTAAAAGTTATCAAGTTGTATGTGCACCAGTTGTATGTGTTACACATAAATAGCAACAAAAGCTAAAAGGTGGACCTTGAGTTGAATTTATTTAATCATTTTGGATTTTTTTTTAATAATCAAGAATGTTTATAAGTCCCTCCTTCACTTATTCTGTTAGATTTTTGTAGAATCTCATCAGTAAACCTGTTTTTATTATTATTATGGTTTAAATAAAAGGAGGTGTTGGAGAAGGAGGTAACACAAACACAGTTAATGTGAGTACAGATACAGATTATAAAGATCATGAACTCTGCTCACCTGGGACAGCGTAACCACTCTGCTCACTCTGATAAACTTGCGGTGAATTTTCCTGAACTTTATGGGCTGCGTTCCTACATCAGCATTTCCCTACCTCTAATTTATCTCACCAGAGTACAGGCAGGAAATCGTCTGAGAAATAAAGGCATAAGAAACGTGTTTGTTCGTTAACACAAAGACAAAGGAGGGAATATTCATTATTCATGACATTTCGACATTTTGAAATCTCGAAATTTCAACTTTAATCTCCTAATTTCATTTTTTTTATCTTTAAATTTGGACTTTATTGACATAATTTAGATTTTCTTAATCTCGAAATTTTGACTTTAATCTCCAAATTTTGACTTTAATGTCCAAATTTCAATTTATTAATCCTGAAATTTCGACTTTGACATAGTTTTGATTTTTTTATCTCAAAATTTCAACTGTAATCATGAAATTCTGACTTAAATCTTCTAATTTAAATTTTTTATCCCGAAATTTTGACTTTAATCTTCCTCCTGTTATTATTTGTTTTCTCTTAATGTGGCCCTAATCCTCTTTCGAATTAAAGGGATGGATCAGAGCCCATATAGTAGGGGAGAGTGGGGTAAGATGAGCCATTTTTCATATTTCCGATCACTACATCAAGTCAATCATAGTTTTGTCTCTAACTAGTGTATCTGCATATATTTCAAGATGTTGTTCATCCCTGCAAACCAACAGAATGAGTGTAAACATAACTGTCTTGATAATATAGCATGCCAAAAAAAAGTGGTCTCCTATGATCAACTTACCCCGTGTATGGGGTAAGTTGACGGGGTAAGTTGATCCGTATCCCTACTATCCCTCCACTCTCCACCCCAGCCCTCCCTCACCTTCTGTCTCCCTAAATAACAGTCACTTCTTCACATTCATGTGTATTTTTATCTATTATACATTATTCAACTGGTACAATAATTCTTCTTCTTATTATTATTATTATTATTATTGCTCATATCTGCTAAAAAGCTGTTTTGTAAAAAGTCATTTTAACATGAGAATGTCTTTAAGTGATTCAGAACATTCACAGCTGTATTTTTGAAAAGAAAAAGTCAAACATTTCAACAACCTGAACTGAAACTCTGATCCTCTCATCAGACTCCTTTACTTTCTCAGTTACCCCAGAACTACTATTATGACTTTATTAGTCCTCAATTCTAAAATGGTGGACCTTTATGCTCAGTTTCTGACCTCATGTTGTAGCTCATAGATACCACAATTGATGTATAAAACAAATTTAAAATGATCTTTTTTGGTCTGAACACAATTCTAATAAAACTTACAACAGACTAAATCCATTTTCAAGACTGAAAAAATGGAAACAAATGTCTAACCCCTTCACCCATGTGCTTCTAACCTTCACAGACTCCATGAATTGATGCCCATCTCCTAAATATTTGGTCACATGATCAATTTCTTTTACCATTTCCAACCAACAGGGGGTGGATCAACTTACCCTCTGGCTCAACTTACCCCACTCTCCCCTACTCTGGACATTATTTAGACCCTGACCTCTGCAGTGGAAACACAAAAAGAGCTCCTGGTCTGTGGGCAAATCCGAGAAAAAAAATCTGATTATGTATTTGTAATTTGATCAAAGTCTTGAAGCCTTTATTTTCATGCAGTTACTCAACAAGAGTGTGTCTGACTCTTGGCACAGTGCAGCTATAAACACACTAAAGACAAACTAGTAAACACCCACATGCTCTCTGCCTCAATAACAGCAGCATTCAGTCAATCCCTGTAAACAAAACCGACTCCAGCCTCTCGTTGTCGCTCAGTCCTGGAGTTATGTTCTCCATAAATGTCGGACTGCTCCTTTAATGTGCCTGGATGAGCCTGTCTCGCGCTCGGGTTTGTCCAATTAGTGTGTAGGTGGAGCCCACGAGGAAACCGAGCAGACACGGTGACTTTGGTTCAGTTCCTGGACTAGGAGAGGAAAGTGAGTGGAGGTCCCTCACAGTTTGGAGTCTGCGGCACAGAGTTGATCTGAGACGGTGAAGATTTCCAGATGATCGAGGTGTCGATCCCCTCCATGGAGAGGGAAGTGGATGAGTCGGGAAAGTCCAAAAAGGTAAGGACGCGGTTTGAAGTGTTTTCCCACCGTTTTTCTTCACTCGCAGCGAAAATAAGAACACTTAAAATTCACTTTTCTCTGGATATCACTTCTTATTTTCACTCTGTTTTTGGAAAACGACGTCTTATAAGTCAGTTTAACAGGTTGGAACTTTAACGCCAGGTGAGCTGAGGCGGTAACCTGCAGGAAGAGTGAGAGGGATTCAGCTCAGGTTTATATCCGGAGGAGCAGGAAATACACCCAAACTACAACAGGATTCACTTTTTTCAGAGATTATGTTAAGTATATTTTTACACCAGTATAAGAAGTGTCGAGATTATGAGTGACAAAACCTCGTTTAACTCGTCCTACAACCGGATTCAACAGTCCTCTGTGTAAACACCTGAGCAACAAACAACCTGTGATACAGGAGGAAGCAGAGGGAAGAAAATGCTCTTGAAATATAAGAAATAAATCATCTATAAAGCCCTAAAGGACACTTAGACCCTTTTTGATGGCTTGCTTATCATATAGTTTACAGATTTTAATGAAGGCAGATCTTTAATAGGCCACTTTAAGCAGTGACTGTAGGTCTAACTCCCTCTTTTTTCCTTCATATCAGCAGATTACAAAATGACACAGTGATCTGTGTGTTAAAAGTTGACCATAAAAGTCACTACTAACTTAAATTCAGGCTGAAATATAGATTAAACCCACTGAGCATTTTTGGGTCTAAAAGAGGTCTAATAGACGTCTGAATGTTGCCTAGACGACTGGTCTAAAATCAGGCTACCACAGGTCTAAAAATGAAAGTTTTTAGATGTCTAAATTTAGACCAAGTTTAGACTAGCCAGCTGTACAATACTACACTGAATATCGCTCAACGGCTATTATAATTATTTTGGTTAAGTACTTCGAGATCATCTATGCAACTCACAGTTGCTTTTCGAAATAAATAGTAATCGAATAATGGGTTAAAGTGCAACGTCCAACGAATCTAGACGGTTGAAATTAGGTCTAAAAAAAACAGACGTCTAATAGCCATCTATTGCTCAGTGGGAAGTGTACTCAAAGAAAAGTTATTCCACTAAAATGTTCAGGTCGTTTTCAGATATTTCCTCAAGCAAGTATCTTCCAAAAGCAATCCTCAGTCCTCGGTGAAGAGTTATCCCTCTGAAGTTAAACAAATTCAGGTCCTGCCTGCAAAGTCTGTAATAATAAGATGCTGACTCTTTGTAAAATCACTACTTAAATGATCAAAAACTTTAATATTCATCGTTTAGATGAAGTGTCTCATGGTTTTCGGTGCTAAATTTGACGTAATGTATGTGATGGTTAGAAGTAGAGTTTAGCAGTCGTTTACGCCTTATTTAAAAAAGTGAATTCACACAAAAATTAATTAAAACTGCAAATGTCCATCAAAAAGCAGTCCAAGGCAAGCTGTAAAACTGGTTTGAAATTACTTCTCTTTATGTTAAATGGGAAATATCTAAGAAGAAACGAGCCAATGAGGTGTGAAACTCAGATACAAACAACCATGAGAAAGTGAACATGTCATAGTTAAAGTTATTAAATTTTGTTAATATGAAGTTATTAAAAACTTGTTTTATCTTCATAACTATACATGTTCATTTTTGTAATTGCTATTTCTGCCATATTTATTATCCTTATTCTCCTACACAGAGACCAGAGTGGTGCTTCACAGTCCTTCCTAAAAGCCATGAGAGACTCTGTCCAGAATGAAAAGTATTTTTCTCTGAAAGGTTTTGTAGTGGAAGTAAATTTAGTGCAAAATGAATGCGCTTTAGTGAACTCTGTACTTCAGTGTTTGGGTTTGTTGTAACAAACTGAAGGCTTAATATGAAGAGGAATTTCCTGCAGATTATGGTCCGGCTAAGTGATACACTTCTAATGGCATAAAAACTGTGTAAAGTATCAATAACAGTGCTGAAAGGTTCAATTGTTAATATTTTTTGTCTGGTAAGCACTCCAACGGAAGTCTCACAAAACTGAATAGTTGTATTTAAGCTTTATAAAACTTTTACTCAGGTAGAAAGAATGAACTTTTTCTATGTAGTTTTAGATATTTTCAAGAGTGAAAAGATCTGTCCAATAAAGGGTTAATCTAGGGCTGGGCGAGAAACTAAAAATTTACTGATACCAAAATTTACGACAATAACCAACGTCATTTCGCCCATATCGGGATACAGCCTCAGAGTGTTATTTGACAGATATCTTATCTATGGACTATTTTTGGCTTTCTTTGCTCTACACATGATGTTTTATTCCTAAAGTGTGCATAAGCTGTTTACAGGAACAGCTTATGCACGCTGAAACATCATTAACTGACACTAAATATACTGAAAGCCCAAATCTAGGGCTGGGCGATAAGCTGAAAATTTCCTGACACAGCCTGCAGAGAGAGAGAGAGAGAGTAGAATAGGATTAAATAGGGCTGGGCGATAAACTGAAAATTTACCGATACCGAGTTTTACGACAATAACTAACGTCTTTTTGCCCATGTCAGTATATTCTGTGTCATATAAATAAATAAAAGTTAGTTTTGGATGTGTGTAGGTAGGCTATGGTGTGTCATGTCCCTTCGGAGACGTGACTCCACCCCATCCAGTCCGTAACAAAGAGGGAAAGACAGGTTAGGAGATGGAGGACGGTTCAGAAGTTGTAGCGGCTGAAGTAGACGAAGTTAATGTGGGAGGGGGTGAGCAGCTTGTGGAGTAGTTATCGTCCATTTATGGTTATCGAGATGAACTGTTTAATAGATCGTGAAATTGATTTGAGGCCGTATCGCCCAGCCCTAGGTTAATCCCACTTGAAATCTCCAGACAAAATCAGCTGGTGAGTATCGGAGTGTGGTTTGAATAATTATGGACATCAAATGTATTTAATCAGAATTTGACTCACAGTGGGGCTTTAGAGTTGGAACCAAAGACTCTGTAACAAAGCTTTAAAAAGGTAAAATAAACATATCTTCTGTTTAAATCTACTTTAAGTGCTCCTAGAGCTCCTTACCATGGCTACAGCTAAGTGCCAGAGAAGAATCACCCACTTGTGAAGTTGTTATAAATTGTTTTCGCACCCACATCTCAAAATGGTGAAAGACTGACACTGGTTTGAGGAATTTACTCCAGCTGGTGAAGAGGATAGGCTGAGGGTCCTCTGTTAGCGCCCAACAGGGATCATTTAAAGCTCCTGTAAAGACATTTCTGCTGATCACAAGACAGAGTGGAATTAAAATGAGTGCTAACTAACTCTACCATCAGGATGACCGTCTATAAAGTTATTTTTAATGCCTCAAACTGCTGCTGGAGTATAGGTGAAGCTCATGCCTCTAAAAATGGGTGATAAAATTTACTGATATCAGGACAAAATGGTGAGATTTTCTCTTAGAAAACAAAATCTTTGTATTTTACAGAAAAAAATATCAAAGACAAAATCGCCAGAGCATGTCTATGACAGAGGATCACAGCAGAGGATGAGAGGATCACAGCAGTGACTTATAAAGAGAGGATTTACACTTTTACTACCTTTTGTTATCTTGATTTGTTTATGCATTTGCAAAATGTGCGAATTAATATCAACATAATTCCATCCTAATCATCATTATGTTGTCAGAAATTCTTGATGTTTTATTTAGTATTTTGTTGAGTTTGAGTTTGATGCTCTGTGTCTCCACCTGGTGGAGAACAGAAGCGCTACACTGTCTGATTCTGTTCAGCGCAAAAATAAACTGCCACTTATCTGAGTTAAAAAAAAAGAAGTAAATAAAAAACCTGGTTTATGAATTTTATTTCCTTGTCATCCCCTGCAGATTAACAGCCATGACAGTTAAATAAATATATGTGGGTTATTTCTATCATCATTTGTAAAAGAACAACTCCTCTGGCTAAGAAAATCAACCTAACCTAAGAAAATCTGTCTCCTTGTGTGTTTCGTCTGCAGCTCTTCAGAGTCGAAGTCTTATTCAATGAGAGGAAACACTTTGTGCTCAGAAGAGGCAGCGAGTTCCAGGCTCTGCACAGAAAAGTGAGTCAATGGGCTGAAGTCAGAGAGAGCTGCTGAGTGACTGTGGGCTGGTTACAGAGTACATACATATAAAATCAGAGGGGGGGCTTCATTACGATGGTCTCTGAGGTGTTTTTGTGACAGAACTCTGCTCTTTTTTGGGGGGCTAATCATTTTCATACTTTAGTGCATCTAACTCGGTGTTATGGTGTTTGACAATAACCTAATTTTACGCTGGAATATCCCTTTAAGGCCTCGTGTTCTCTCTGCAGCTCAGGAAAATCATCCAGACCCCAGACTTTCCCAGCAAAAGGAACCCCCACCTGAGGACCAAACCTCCAGAGCAGAGGAGGCAGGAGCTAGAGGACTACATCCAGGTAACACACCTTCAGCACTCGTCTTTACACTTGATATCATGAGCAGTAGTGTCCTGTTGAAGTTCCCATGTGCGAGGCAGCCCTCTGAACACTGTACAGGCAGGTAAATAGTCGAGGTGATCACAGAAGGACAAAAGAAAGAGCAATGCTGTCAAAAAGCAGAGCGAGGACTTGAGTTAGGGATGAGCGATAGACCGAAAATTTACCTATACCAAAATTTACGACAATAACCGACATCATTTTGGTATATTCAGTGTCAGAAAAATAAATAATTATAAAAGTTGGTTTTGTTATTGCCATTTATGCCATAAACTTCAGTGAACTCTGTACTTTAATGTTTGGGTTTATTGTAGCAAACTGAAGGCTTAATATGAAGACGGTTTTCCTGCAGATTAGTGATACACTTCTAACACCGATAACTTTCCAAAAAGGTTCAATTGTTCATATTTTTTGTCAGGTAAGGTACTTTTAAAGCACTCCAGCAAAAGTCTTGCATGACTGAAGGGTTGTATTTAAGCTTTATAAAACTTTAACTTAAGTAGAAAGAATGAACTTTTTCTATGAGGTTATTATGCACTCAGTATTTTGAAGAGTTAGAAGATCTATACAATAAAAGGTCAATCTAGGGCTGGGCGATAAGCCGAAAATTTGTCGATACTGAAATTTACAACAATAACAGACGTCATTTTGTCCATATCAGGAGATTCGGTGTCAAATAAATAAATCAAAGTTGGTTTTGGATGTGTCCTATGTCAGAGACGTGACTCCACCTCTTCCAGTCTGTTGTAACAAAGAGGGAAAGACAGGTGAGGAGATGGAGGACAGTTCAAAAGTTGTAGCGGCTGAAGTAGACGAAGTTAATGTTGGAGGGGGTGAGCAGCTTGTGGAGTAGTTATCGTCCATTTATCTTTATCGAGATGAACTGCTCAATATATTGTGATATTGATTTGAGGCCATATCGCACAGCCCTAACTTGGATAGATGGAGACAAAACCAAGCAATGAGTCACCTTTTTTATTCTTGTGGTATTTATTTGCATTTGTAGAGAAGCAGAGCAGATTTCACTCTTTATTTTAATCATATATAAACCTTAATAACCACAAGCATTGATGCCAAATTCTTTAAAAACAAAAATATTGATTTAATTTCCTTTTTTTCTGTCAGGACATCATCTATCAAAATGAAGACGTGCCTCAGGTGCTGCTGGACTTTCTGCACGTTAAACATTTTCACACGGGGAACAAGATCAGCAGCATGGAGTGAGTCCTTCAGCCCCAAGATGTTGTTTCTATATTTAGAGACTCTATTTTTGGATCGGGGGCAATGCGGCAACATAATAAAACACTGAACACATTTCTCGCTGTGATGCAGCATTGCGTCTGACCCCAAAATTCGGCCAATGATAAATGAAGGGGAGAGTATAAATGCAGCAAAGTCAAAGGTTTGGAGAGAGACAGAGTGGTACCAAATATTAATAACCAATTAAACATAAAAAAAACATATATATAGAAGAATATTTTTATGGGTCTGTTTGATATATATGTAAGACTTACATCTGTATTCATTCCAGGTCACTGGATGAACTGGACAGTCATGACGACAGGTAAGAGCTTCACCAGTCTTTCCAGTTTCTCTGTTTTTAATGTACATGTGTACTGTGTCTATTTGAAGAGTTGAGTTTAGATGGACGGATCAGTCTCAGCAGGTGCACAAGCATATTAAAGACAGCAAAATAGCACCTTATATGATCTTGTTTCAGGGTCTTACTGAGTAAAAATGTTTTATTAGGGTTAATTTAGGCCATAGTCCCCCAAAAAGTGCAGATAATGTCATATTTTCATATATTGCACACCAAAAATTAGACCCGCACGGCATGAAATGAGTAGAGAAATAAATCTGCTAAAGGATTTACATGTCGAGCTCTTGAAATAAAACATTTTCTTATATTTTATATAAAATACTGCATATAATTATGTTTTAATCTCATTCTCAGAGCATCATTGTTTACTCCACTTTGATTTTGCTGCTTAAAAATTCTCTTAAATGATAATAAAAAATATAGATATTGGATCTTTTTTTTCCAAGTGGCCCTAATCCTGTTCCGTTGGTTTCCCCCTTAAAAACAGCAGTTTTATCAAGTTTATCCTCATCATTGTCTGTGATAAAGCTCTCTCGCAAAGTTAATTAGTAAAATATATCATCAGTTTTATAGCTGATGGTCTTGTTTGCTCTATCCAGTCATTAAAAAAGACATCAGTATGAGTTTCATTCTATCTCATTACCGGCTAAAATCCTTTTGTTAGAGTTTTAATGTTAATTTAATTCCCCCAAATTGACCCATAAAGGCCACTGTACTTCCATAATTCTTTCTTCTATTTAACATTTATGTAAACAAATTTGATTTTAAGGATTTCAGCTAAAAAAACAGTTCCTCTGTTTTTGTCCTTTATGAAATTAAAAGTCAAAAGTCTCATTTTAAACAAAGCAAGTTTCATTCAAGGAAATTCGTGTTAGTTTTTCAGGTTTCAATGAACTTCTATCAGAGGACATGACTCTTTGTGACATGGTCTGTGTGTGACTGTTTCCTGCTGCTACATTTCCAAACTGAACAGCGTACACAACAGTCGATTTACAACTGAAAGTTATTTGGAGATTGACTTATCAATCTCGTTTCTCTTTTGTTTCCTCAGTTATCAGTTTACACAACAGCGAGTGTTTGGATTTTTCCAGGATCCATATCTTTCTGATTGCACATCAGGTAAAAAAAACGATTCCTACTTCTGAACTGTGAAGTCAGATTTACCCTCAAACATTTCTGACTCTGTTATTTTGACTTAAAAGTGAGAAAAGCATTTAAATCAAGTACAGTAACTTTGTTGACAGCGTAAAACTTGATCTCTGTCTTACAGATCTCCCAGATGTCGTTGTGGACGGGGTTCTTCAGGGTTTCTATCCCCGGGACATCCGGGTCACTTTCACCGCCCCCACGGTCTCTGAGCCGGACTCCACTCTTCTTTTAGAAGAAGCCTGAAGTTTGTAAGATCCAAAGTTTTGAAATATCCAGTTGCAAGAGCGAGAAAGAAAAGAAGAAAAGCCATGAGGGTTTAGTTTCATGCTGCTGAGGAATAATAGCCCAAAGCGGGTCACTTTGAGGTGCTCTTAGTCCAGCAGCAGCAGCAGCTCCTGTGGGATTTGAACCTAAAACCAGGAAAGTAGTTCTCAGACTTCTTCTTTCATAATGCTCAACCTCATTTAAGCCATGAGACAGTCTTTATTTCCTATCTTGATTCACACTCCTTTTATATTTGGTGATGTTGTATACAGAAGTTTTTATTGTCTCTTATTTTAGTTTTTGGGTGTGTAGAAAAAGACTTGAACTCTAGGGGCTGAAAGGGTATAAGATGTTATCGGGTTTGTGCATTTTTATCCAACTAAGTAAAACATCATCATGCTCCACTACCTGGATTTCAAACAAGCACAGATGACAGATGGCACCTCGTATCGTGGCGTGGTTTGCAGTAAAGTGTAGGCTGTGTGTGGTTGAACTGTCCCAGAACTACTTGCGTTACGTAAACCCTGCAAAAGGCTGGTGGTGCTAGCTCTGCTATCGTTAGCCACACCAATTTGACATGTTCACCAGCAGCTTTGATAAGTAGGTTGTGCTCATTTTTGACTGTTACCTGAATGTTTTCTTGTCTTCAGGCTGGTCAAAATTTTATTTTTTGTTTTAACAACAACAAAATTTTCCACTCCAGGATGTCCTTATTGTTTACATTTTTACTACTGGATACAAACTTGAGAAAACTGACCCAAAAGTGCGTGCCTGCAGTGACCTTATCTTAGAGAGATTCCTGTTTTTTGTGGGGACTAAAGGTTTCAGGTCGAACACAGTCGACCTTTAAAACCTCGGGCCAAATACTGATGTTAGAGTGGAGGTATTTAGTAGCATTTTTAATGTCAATGTTTCTGTAGACGTCTTTTTTTTATGTCATTTTGTATCATTATGCTATTATCTTGTTGACATAAAAATATAATTAAATTTTTAACATGACTTTTGCTGTGTGGATCTTTGACTTCTCAAACAACATAAGTGATTGTCCGTCTGTGAAAGTAAACCAGGTTTTTCACAGTTTTATTTTGACACCCTTGTTCCCCTCGGCCACATTTTTAAAAAACTTTCTTTTATTCAATTCTTCTTAAATTCCTGTAACGTTACTGAAGGATTTAGCGTCACATATTTCTGAAACAGGCAGAAATTAGTGTGATACGCAAACATAGAAGATCTCATTTTGACTGAAAGACTTTAATCCTGGTGAAAGAGTTCTCAGATCTGCAGCGCTTCAACCTTAAAAAGAGTCGAGCCTCCTAAGAGACAGGGCAGCACAGTTGGTTTAAGTGCTCCTTAAGTGCATCCTGCATTCATGTGTTAAAGGGGTCGTTATCTTTTTTCTACAGATGCCACACCTCACTCGGCCTCAAGGAAAATAGTTAAACAAGTAGAGACAGGCCGAACAATCGCATGTTTCGCCTGAAGGAGAGAAAAAGAAAAGGGGTCAGAGTTGTAACTTAATTACAGCTCCTCTTTTATTTGTCATTTACCGTGGTGTTTCTCTTGTGAGACATCAAAAAGATTTGACAAAAATTAACTGGAGGATGCCGTTGTAGTGTTAGCTTCAGTTCAACTTCATATTGACTCAGGCGCTACATGGCCGAACCAAACGACACATTAAAAAGTTTCAGAAGTCAAACAATTGCCTTTCCACTAACTTTTTTTCTTCTCGCAGTCGTCTTCTGCGCCTCAATCGTAAAACACCAGTGCATCATCGTTATTGGTCCCCGGCAGCTCACTTCTGTTGTGGCTTTTTTTATTTGCATCCTTTTATTTTTGTAGTAAGTAACTTTTTTTTTTTTTTTTCCATCGCCACTTTTTTTTTTTTTTTTTGCGTTGTTAACTTCCATTGTGCCTTTATTTTTGTCTTCACCATTTCTTTTTTTATTATTTGCAGGGGGCTTCAGTCTCTTGTTTTCCTTTTTTTGCATCCCTAACTTGTGACTTCTTTTTTTTGCATCCTTTTTTATTTGCAGCTGCTTTAGTTTCTTTTTTTTCCCACATTGGTACCTTCCATTGTAACTTCTTTTTTTGGATTCTTTTGAATTTGCAGCAGTGCCGTTTTTTTTTTAAATTCTTTTTCGCAGCGGGCTTCAGGTTTTTTTAATCTTTATTTTTGCATTGGTAACTTCTGTTGTGACTTTTTTTTTGCATTCTTTTTATTTGCACGAGTGTCGTTCTTTTTTTTGCATTCTTTTTTATTTGCAACGTGCTTCACTTTCTTTTTTTTGCATCACTAACTTCCATTGTGACTTCTTTTTTTTTGCATTCTTTTTATTAGCAGCAGTGGTGTTCTTTTTTTGCATTTTTTTTTTTTTTGTCGTGGGCTTCAGTTCCTTTTTCTTTTCTTTTTTTTGCATTGGTAACTTCTGTTGTGACTTCTTTTTTTGGATTCTTTTGAATTTGCAGCAGGGCCCTTTTTTGTTGCATTCTTTTCTTATTCGCAGCAGTGGCGGTTCTCGGCCACCGTATCTACTAGTCTGCAGACAAAACCCAGCTGTGCTCAAACAGTCTATTCCTGTAATGTTTTCTCTTGGAAAATTCCCACCAGGACAGTTTGCTTTCATTTCCGGATTTAAGGAATATCCACGAGTATCATTTAAGGGGGGGAGAAAAATGAGAGGTAGATAAATTTAACACGATTAGAGGATTTATAGTCCCCCTCCTGACCTCCCTGCTCTGTTCCTCACACTTTGTACCATGAATGTTCCCTGGAACGGCGCATGCGCAGAGCGGTAACCGGAAGCTTGTGCTGCTCTATGTGCTGGCGGTCTGTGCTGCTGCTGCTGTTTCTGCTGTTTCTGCTGCTCTCTGCCGATCAGTGCTCCTTCAATGACTCGGACCGCCTCACACTTCTTCAGTTACCTCTCTCTACATCGGCAGCGTTCAGGGAGCTTCATGCAGTCGAAGTGATCGAGCAGGAAACAGGATTTTCTTCCTGATTGAGGAAACTTGAAGACTTCACGTTGACGGTACGTGCCGCTAACTCACAGTTTCAAGCTTTGGCTACTTCGATATATTCGGAAACTGAGCGAGTCTTTGACTGGCAGCCTCTAAATGAGATTGACTGTTAATCCGAGCTTCTTTCAGATTAGCTTTAATAAAGTGAAGCACAAATAAACAGCCTGTATGTTTATGTATGTGTATTTTTATGTGCCGGTGTTAGCATGTTAGCTCTTTAACTGTTTGTGTGTCCACGTTAGCAGAAACTTAAACCCCAATACTGAAGTAGAAAGTGGATTTTACAGCTGCAGTTTACAGGGCAGGGTCAGTTATGATCGACACTTTCATTATTGTGTCATAAAAACAGGTTCTGTGGGCTGATCTGAAAAAGGTGTGGTCATATATATTTGATAGTATGATAGAGGAGAGTCCATTCAGGATGTCTGCCATCTGCTTTTCATTCATTTTAAGGGATTTTATTAAATATAGCTCATCTAATTTCACTGTAACTTCCTCCTTTTGGCTGTATAATGTCCCTTAAAAATATACACGTCATGTCTGATACTCCTTTGTATTTAATTTCAATATAATTTTCAGTGTTTCTGAGTCTGATGTTACTCTAAAGTGAATATTTAATTATCATTAATACCAATTTCTATTTAATCCTTAAGAAATCAGTGAGATTTCCCTTATTTATCATGATGCTTGGATGCATTATAAACACATTAACCTAAAGAGAAACCTCAGTGAAACTATCTTCTCTGAGATGAAGTGATCAGAGATAATCGGCTTGAATCGTCCGGGAAAAACAAGAGTGTTGACCTGAAGAGTCCGCCGTAAATACTGAACGTCCACATGTGAGGAAGATAGAAACTAAATCAGACTTTTAACAGGATTAGAGTAAAATCAGCCTACAGTACTTGGAGCTTTGGGTAGTTCATGGGAGGAGTTTGATAGGGTTCAGGTTAGGACTGGGCGATTTGGCGATAAAAAACGATCACAATATATTTCGTCATATCGTCCGATCTCGATTATTATCACAATTTTTGTTTTTATTTTTTTAACTGCTAGTTTTAAAGCATCTGTACGAAAAACTAAAGAAACTAAAGATTAGTTCAACATTTTATTAAAATACAAGGTAATTAAAAAAGCTAATTGAATAAGATAAACTTACGATTGATTGCGGCTTTAAGGTTCTTACACACCGGGAACGACACAAGTACGACGCGAAATTACAAAATATTAAGGTCCTTACACACTGGGGCGACACGAATATAGAACGTGAAATTACGAAATATTGGGGGTGAATTTTGACGCGCCTGACTATACACATCAAGGCCGATGCGATTTTGCGACTTTCCTGGGGAAAACTTTTCCGATTGGCTAGAAAAGCTGGAAATGTCATCATCCGCTCAAGCCAAATGGTCAGCACTTATAGCCAATCAGAGGCGAAGGAGGGCGGGACCTTCCCTTAACAACCTACAGCGTCCCGGGTGGAAGCGAGAGGACAAAAATGGAGTCTACTTCAACTTCAAGTGATGGCGAATTGGTACTCCTTTTGCTTTCTCAAAAGAAAAAGAAACATAGCACATGGGTGCGTCCAATATTAAAAAAAGAAGAGAACTTGGTGAGTTTCACTGCTCGGTTCAGGAGCTGAAACTGGACCACGGTTGCTTCAGAACCTATTTTTGGATGTCCGTTGGACAATTTGAAGTTCTGCTGAAACAATTAGCTCCAAGTTTGAAGAGGCAGAGGACTAGACACTAGACACTAGTGTTGAGATGTCTGTCTGTCATGATAGCATGTACTGAGTCAGGGCCGGTACCAGATAAGCACATTAAACTATGGTAACAACTGTTATCTTACGTTAGCAAAGATGAAAGTTAAAAAAAAGACGTTTATCAAACTGTTAAAGCTCACAAACCATCGTCATATGAGAAATCCGACGCTATGACTCTCCACAAGTTGTCCTTCAGGTCGTTATCTTTGTAATATTTGTGTAAACGATCATAAACAATCAGCTGATCGGCCATGTTGGATAAACCGGTGAACCTGCTGTGCAACAACACGCAATCTGATTGGTCAGACGTGGACACACAGTATGCAAAACTTTAGAGAAATCAACCATGATCCGAAAAAATAAGTGCGGCAATATCGCAGGACGGGAAAACGTCGCTGATGTGAACGCTTGTATTGACAGGATATGGGTCTTAGCACTTCCCGTGAGCCTGCTTATTGATATATTAATTTACGTATGGCATTTTGGATTTTTGCTCTATCTTGTTCTTTGCTTGTTTTATTTGTTTTTATGTCGCAATGTACAACACTTTGGCTACCCCCGTGGTTCTTTTAAATGTGCTATAGAAATAAAGTTGATTGATTGATTAATTGATTTTAAATTGACTGGGCTGCTAAACAGTGAGCAACATCGAGACAGCTGAACAATACAGAATAGTGTCATCTGCATAAATATGGATTTTACAGTAAATAATAGAGGAGAAAAATGTTATTTACAGAGATTTTAAATAAAACAGGGCCAAGAATTGATCCCTGTGGGACACCTTTAGTTAATGGTAGGTAGTCTGGTTGAATATTTCCACCTTTGAGGCATCGAAATCTACCAGGAAGGTAAATCTAGAGCACTTTATACATTATGGGTCAGGAGAATGATCAACAGTATCAGAAGCTCTCAAAATATATCCAGCAGTAATTTCCATCCATCAATCAGTTAATCAATTAATAAGGCTTTAGTCATGTGTATGCACTTTTGACATGACACAAAGTGATTTACACCACATCGTACCTTACCACATCCCTTACAGTATTTTGCCTATATCCTGGAGCCACACCCCGTTAATATAGTCTCTGTTTACACAAATAATTAAAAGTAAACAAATTAAGTAAAAGATGTGTGCTGTGCTGCTTATCGGTGACATGGGACAGATGTGTGTTCATGAACATTTGCTGCACAGCTCCAGTTGGTGGTGTCTGAAATGAAACAGGACAGACCCGTGGACCCCTAAACGATAAATCAGGCACGGATCGGCTCAGGGTTGGGACATCCTTATAAAATCAAATGAAAATCCAGTTGAAATGAGGAGGTCTTGAGTCAATCACATTAGTTTAGTTAGTTGTTTATATGTGATACCTTGAAAAAAGTTTGAAATTGTCACGTCTTCACAAACAGAAACCATCAGATATTTCCCTAAGTAATCAGCTCTCAGGCAGAAAGAGAGGAGTCATTGGTTTCTGTGTGTAAACACCAAACATCACGAGTTGTTTCTTCCTTGGGTCTCAAGGGCATCTCAAGACCCCTCCTGGGTCTCACTCACTGACAACAGGTTGCTATGATCTAACAGTCCCATCTCTGAGCTCTTCGATTGGCTTCAAAGTAGGCCTGTGTGATACAGGATTTATATTTAGTGTACCATTGCATCGTTTATTTCTGATAACGAAGAAGAAGAGTCCAAATTAAAGAGCACATGTTAGCATCTTTGTAACGTTTGCAGGACTCAGTGATATTAATCCAAAAACATTTTTTCCGATATTTTTCCAGCATGAAATTGGCACCAATAATCAGAGGGTGGGTGATAATTAGCTGAGCTTCATGTGGCTGCATCAGAACAGTGTGAAAGCATGGACAAAACTTTTTTATCCAAACAGCAAACTGAGAGAGAGAGAGCAATGCCTGTTAATAATGTCTATTTATGGACTTGAAAACCAAACAGGACCGCCACACTAACACCAAAATCAGCAAAGACTGCTTTGTCCACAGGGGAGGAGCCGAAACAGACACAAACCGCATCCTGTGGTCTTGAGAAACAAAGCCATTGCAGAGGTGATAAAAGTTGTCGTTCCTCGAGCGCCCACTTTAGGCTGGCTGTAGAAACACCCCAGAATTCATAAAAGCCTGTTTTGAGAGCGAAAAATAGACGTGTTAAGGTCCCCACACACCAGGAATGAGGCAAATATAGGAATCGAAATTATTAAATATTTGGAGGCGAATTTTGACGCACCTGACTATACACATCAAGCCCGCTGCGATTTTGCGACTCTCTGGGGGGAAAAAGACGCGTCCCGGTTGGAAGCGAGAAGACCGACTCAACAGCAGACTGAGTGTCTTTCAGTTCTGATTAGACTCTAGTGTTGAGATGTCTGTCTGTCATGATAGCATGTACTGAGTCGGGGCCAGTACCAGATAAGCACATTTAACTATAATCCATAAATGTAATGTAACAACCGAGACCTAATGGTGCTGTGACAGAAACTCGATTGAGTTTGAGACAGTGAAAATACATACCGTTGAATCAGACGTCGCAACAACACGAAATCTGATTGGTCAGAAGTGGACACACAGTATGCGAAACTTAAAAAAATTCGACCGTGATATGAAAAAATAAATGCCGCAATATCGCAGGACGGGAAAACATCGCTGATGTGAACGCTGTTTTGACAGGATACGGGTTCAAAAGAATATTGAGGTCTGAAATAATTGCACGAAAAAACGGTTCCGGTGTGAAATGACCTTAAGTCTGGTTCAGAAACAGTGTCACAACCACACTGTACCAGGAAGTCATTTCTTTAACCGCCTTTTTTTATTTAATCTTTATTTAACCAGGTAAGAAACTCATTGAGATCGAGATCTCTTTTACAAGGGTGACCTGGCGAAGAGGTCCGATAAAGTGATTGACCTATTTGTTTCAAAGATAAGATTACAAGTTTGGCGAATCAAAGGCGTGGCTGAACTGACTTATATGCAGGCGGCAACTCTGTAGCTGGTTGCAAGGACGCCAAAGGTCATCCTGTCGTAGGTTGAGTCAACATTATGGCGACATTATGGTAATAAAGTTTTCAGGCTAATCTTGTTTTATGACGTCTTTGTTTTACAGGTTTATTTCCACCATTCTTTCACTGTAAGGCCTTTAAAGTGAGCTGGGACTAAAGATGAACAAACTATTTTAGGATTGTTCTCTCAAAATCGCTCTGAACTCTGGGATCACCTCAGTAAATCATTGCATCCTTCCACAGAGGAAACACTCGACATGAGAGGGATGAAACTGACTGACTCTTTTCGTTGCAGGACTGCGTGGGAGCATCATGTGGAGGAAGGCTTCTGTAGCAGCCCTGCTGGCGTTAGCTGTTGGCTATCTTTACCATGGCAGTCCGGAGCTGCCAGAGCAGGTCCTACAGTACATCAGCCTGCCAAACTTCCAGCAGCCATCACAGAGTCAGAGCGGCCAGAGCAGCCAGACCAGGCAGACCAGTCTGGAGGAGGTGATCTCCTCCGCCTGGGAGACTCTGATCAGTCTGCCCAGCCGGCAGTGGAGCAAAGTGGCTGTGGGGTGAGTCAGAAAATCAAAGTGTTGGACTGAAGGAGAGAGATGCAGGTCCTTCTTTAGTCACCGTTGCGCAGCTGGAGTTTATATTTATTTCTGCTGGAGTTGCTCTGCTGTAAACGCAGGCATGTTGAGAGGCTGTTTTCAGCCCGGCTGGTGAGGAGGAATGTGTGATCAGGAGCTCAGATGGCTGCTTCCAAGACTTGAGCTCTCGAGTGAGTTAAATTACCGTCTATACCTATCACATAGCCTACAGACGGCTGCTCTCGTATGGCCAACACATGCGATCTGTGTCATTGAGAGGTGGAGGCAGGTGATTGGGTGAGCCTCAGGGACGGCCTACCAGAGGGATGGACAGACTGCAAACACAGAGGAGGCTTGAAGGAGAGGAAGTTAAAGGGGGTGGTGATAATATTTATAGTCAAAGTGAAAAAGGATCTCGTTCCAACATGTTTAAAAGTTTTAAAAGGAAGAATAAGTTGCTGGCAGTGAGAAAAAGGAGAGACTGCATCAGTGAAAGTCCTGTTAGTAAGCACATCCATAGAGCTAAAAGTGCACTTTCATTTAACGGTCATAACTTTTGTCCAAAGGCAGATCTGGTGTGAAAAAAGATTCCCACGATGAGTAGACAGAGAAAAACAAGAAGATTTTCACACGACTGAGAAACTTTCCCTCTTTCTTTCATCACTTTTTAATCAAGCTGACTTTCATTATCATGAATTTGCATATTTACAGAACAAGCTGACACACTTATCAACACTGTCCTAAATTTGTGATAGCTGCTCGTCTTCAGGTTTCTTTTTTTCCACATTATAGAAAGAGCTTCAGGAAACATGTGCATGTCCTCTTTTCTGTTTTGACTAGAAAGCAGAGTTTTGATTTAATGAGCTGGGACAGGAAACTTCGAGGGAATGAGCTAAAGTATCGTACCAACCAAAACATGAGACGTCTTTTTTCCCCTTAAGAAATCTTAAAAAAAAACAGAGTGTGGGGTCCAAAGAGAGCCGGCACAAGAAGATGATCTTAAAAAGCGTGTTTGATTATGTTTCCAAGAAATAAATCCTACTACTCGAGGTAGCCCTATTAGTCAGTCAGGGTGATTGATGTCTGCGCTCACAAGGCAAATTGAAGAATAATATTTGTAGACACTACAGGCAGCATCATCTGTGTAGCTGCTGTGTTGAGCAACATTAATGTCCACTTAAATAATCACACATTTTGCATTTCCATTAAAGAATTTAAAAGTGTGATAGTTTTACAGGAGACCTTTTAAGGGTTAACGATAAGTACCAAACTTACTCTCAGGACTGGGCAACAGATGATTTGTTTTGTTCCTGTAAACAGCTTATGCACATTGAAACATCATTAAAGGACACTACATATACTTATAACCCAATCCTAGGGCTGGGCAAGAAACTGAAAATTTACAGATACTGAAATTGACAACAATAACTGACCTCGTTTTACAAATGTCAGTATGTTTGGTGTCAAAAAAATTGAATATACTCATAGCCCGATCCTAGGGCTGGGCGATACACCGAAATTTACAGATACCAAAATTTACAATTTTGCAACAATAACTGATGTCATTTTGCCCATGTCAATATATTCAGTGTCAAAAATATAAAAATACTTTTAGTCCAATTCTAGGGCTGGGCGATACAGCGAAAATTTACAGATACCAAGTTTTACGACAACAACTGACGTCATTTTGCCCAAATCGATATATTTGGTGTCAAAAAAATAAATAAATCAAAGTTGGTTTTGGATGTGTGTAGGTAGGCTATGGTCTCATGTCCCTTTAAGACGCTGTCCTACGTCAGAGACGTGACTCCACCCCATCCAGTCCGTAACAAAGAGGGAAAGACAGGTGAGGAGATGGAGGACGGTTCAAAAGTTGTAGCGGCTAAAGTAGACAAAGTTGATGTGGGAGGGGGTGAGCAGCTTGTGGAGTAGTTATCGTCCAATTATCGTTATCGAGGTGAACTGATCAATAAATTTGTGATATTGATCTGAGGCCATATCGCCCAGCCCTACTGCAACCCTCGTTTCTCACTTAAACTCTGTGTTTCTTACGAGCCCCTGTCCTCTCCCCTGTGTTCAGGGTGAATGCCTGTGTTGACGTGGTGGTCTCTGGAGTGGGTCTCCTCCAGGCTCTGGCTGTGGATCCTGGAGCCGGCATGGACCATGAGGTGCTGCACTCCAAAGAAGACTTGAGGGAAACGTTCATCCACTACATGGGGCGAGGAGCGGCAGCCGAGCGCTTCTTCAGCGACAAGGAGGTGTTTCAGAGGATCGCGCGGGCGGCAGCAGAGTACCCCGGTGCAAAGGTCAGACCAGATCACTCTGTGAATGTTTTAGAGGATGATTTCTCGTTGTTTTCTGAGGTTAGATTTTCATATATTTTCCTGTCTTGTAAAATTCGTCTTCTTTCAGCTGTATGTGGGAGGAAATGCCGCTCTCATCGGTCAGAAGCTCGCCACATACCCTGATCTGATGGTACGCCCTGATTAAATGAAAGATGAAGATTAAAAATATGTGTGACAGTCAGTTTGATGATAAAATCCTCGTGTTGGATGTTTCTGTCCCACAGGTTTTGCTTTGCGGCCCAGTTGGACCTAAACTTCACGAGATGCTGGACGAGCAGATAGTTGTTCCTCCAGAGTCTCTCCAGGAAACGGATGAGTATCACCTCATCCTGGAGTATAAAGCCGGTACAGCTACGATCAAGCTGCTCGTTTTCATCCCTGATTCCTCCACTCTGTACAGGATGTGAAATAAACAGCTGTTTTTATTCTGCTTTCATAACTCCAGGTGAAAAATGGGGATCAATTCAGGCACCTCAAGCCAACCGCTTCATCTTCTCTCATGACGTCTCCAACGGGGGGATGAGCTCACTGGAGACGTTTGTGGCGAGTCTGGAGGAGTTTGAGCCGGAGCTGGTCGTCCTGTCGGGGCTTCATATGATGGAGGGTCAGGGCAGAGAGCTGTGGGAGGAGCGGCTGAAGGAGGTCAGTGGATAAAAACTGGTCGTGTAAAGTTTCTCCACCTGTTGGTGTTAATCTACAGAGCTGGTGTTTTTGCCCTGTATCATGATATGTGCTTATCGTTTTTTTTAATGTGTGGAGGTGCTGAGAGAAATGGAAACTCGACAGGGTGAGACTAGGGATGGGGATCGATAACTGCGCCCATTCAATACCCATTTCAGCTTCTTTCAAAACTCGAAAATCAACTCTGCTGTAGAGTTTTGAGGGTCCCGTGAAGTAACGTTAAACCTGAGTCAAGTCCTGTTCATTAACTCAGTCGTAAACACTCAGGTTTTAAGATTTTTTGGTTTCTGGTGGTCGGTTGTTTACAAGGATGGGCAAACATGCACAAAGGTCCAAAGTGTGTTATAACAAGGAACCATCAATAAACTACCTGTTGATGTTCTTAGAAAAGGCTGTTTCTCCTTCAACAGCTTTCATGTCATGTGACCAATTGACCTAAAATTGATTTCAAATAATAGTACTTATGTCGACCAATAAGACAAACATTATTTGATCAATTTTTATTGTGCCCCTAAAGTTCTTTGTGAGCTCCTTCTGAAAAAGGTTAGTGTCAAGCCCTGAACAGGTGAAGACTACAGGTATGAAGCTCAGAGGAAGGATCCTCACAGGAGCTCAAAAAGTGACATTTTATATTTAATAATAGGGCTGGGCGATATGGCCTCAAATCAATATCACGAGTCACGTCTCTGACGTAGGACAGCGTCTTAGAGGGACATGAGACCATAGCCTACCTACACACATCCAAAACCAACTTTTATTTATTTTTTCGACACCAAATATTTTGACACAGGCAAAAAAAAGTCGGTTATCATCGTAAATTTTGGTATCAGTTAATTTTCGGTTTATCGCCCAGCCCTAGGATTGGGCTGTAAGTATATTTAGTGTCATTTAATGCTGTTTCAGTGTGCATCAGAGCATTAAAAGCCAAATATGGCCCATTGATAAGATATCTGTCAAATAAAACTCAGAGGCGATATCCTCTTCTAGTGACACACAGTGGGTACAGAGATTGCGTTAAATCAGTCCACAAGTGTTTAAAAGTCTTAAATGCAGATTTAGTCTCAAAGTTTTTTGTTGCAGTTGTTAGAATTTCCTTGACATGCACTCACTTTTCAATAAGAGATAAAAGAATACCGATATGGGCAGAATGACTTTGGTTATTGTCATAAATTTCAGTTTCTGTAAATTTTCAGTTTATCGCCTAGCCCTATTTAACACTATTCTACTCTCTCTCTCTCTCTCTCTCTCTCTCTCTCTCTGTCTCTGCAGGCTGTGTCGGCCATATCTGACATCCCCAAAGATATTCCCATCCACCTGGAGCTGGCGAGCATGACCGACAAAGACTACATGAACAGCATCATGCAGGAGGTACATGTGGAATACAGATCAGTCACCTTCACCCGTCCTTCTCAGAGAAAAGGTAGATGTGTTCCCAAACACTTGTGGAGTTCTGTGGATTTAATTAAAGTTTTTCCTTCTGCTTCCTGTTAGCAGGTTATGCCCATTGTCAGCTCCATCGGGCTGAACGAGCAGGAGCTGCTCTTCCTCTCTCAGGCTGGCGAGGGGCCTCACTCAGACATGGCCTCCTGGAAAGGCGTCCCAGACGTGGGTCAGGTCAGTGACATCCTCCTCTGGATCTTGGAGCAGCACGGCCGCAGCGACCCTCTGTCAGAAGCCGACCTGACTCGCATCCATTTCCACACGCTGGCCTACCACATCCTGGTCACGGTTGACGGGTACTGGGCGAACCAGGTTGCGGCGGTGTCAGCCGGGGCCCGGGTGGCGAGCAGTCAGGCGTGCGGGCTCCAGTCTGTGGATGTTAGCAAAGTGGAGCTCAAAGCGCCGCTGGAGTTTTACAGCTCACACACTGAGCCCAGAGAGAAGCTGACAATAAACCCAGCACAGCCGGTGACTGTGTGGCACCGAGGAAACGTCACCTTCCACATGACGCCCGTGCTGGTCTGCAAACAGCCTCTGCGGACAGTCGGTCTAGGAGACGCCATCTCAGCAGAGGGACTGGTTTACTCTGAGATAAAAACCAAGCAGCCATTCTGAGCCGGTCTGCTTGAATCTGACACTCCGTTTATCTGGAAAAGGATGCTGGGAAGGCTTAGAGACCCTTTTAAGTGTCACCTGCTGCTGCAGACGCTGGATTTTGTCAGACCTGTGTGTCTTGAAACCAACTATGTGTCTTCCTTCCCAAAGTTCCTCTGAGTCTACAAATGATGTTGATGGTATTAGTTTTAAAATCCTGCCTGATGGGTCCTCCAGCTCTCCTCTGCTCTCCTTCCTCCGATCCTCCGGCAGACACAGACACCGAGGCGGAGCTGCTCACACGCGGATCTGAGCGGACTGAGGCGGATTGACTCTATGCACTGGGCGCAGCTCAAAGTCGCCTTCACAAACTCCAAAGAGTTTTGTCGGCTCCCCTTAATTACTTTCACTCGCATACCTTCAGTATGCCGTGCCTTGAGAAAATAATAGAGTTAAATATTTTATTCTCACTTTAGAACCAAACCAAGTTAAAGCAAAGCCTCGCACATAAGATCAACACACACGTATACACACAACTGTGTTTGTCTGGAAACTCTGAAGACGTCTTACTATATCATAGGAGCTAAGTGGTATTATCTATGTTCCTCGTTTCTGGTGCATTCATGTCAAATAGTCTCTAGATCACTTGAAAGCTCATTCTCTCATAGATGTCTGACTTCTTAACGTGTAATAATGCTTCTATCTAGAGATACTTGACTTTTGTCTTTATTTGTCCTGTGAGGATAAAAATTAGAAGAGCGTAACCAAGTCTTTGTTCTGTGTTTTTAGTCAAAACACTCCCATGTTTAGGATGTTTAAGTCTGCGTAGCTCAAACAACACCTGTTACATAGTCGACATAGTCTTGTTTTTCTCTCAAACTTATAAATTCCTGATCATATGATGAAACTTTATGCTTTCGAATGCAAAATTTAATTTGTTTTTTAATGCAGATCCTCCTTTATGCAGTAAAACTCCATTAGCAGTCAGGCGCTAATAAACCTAAAGGTTCTGTCGGCAGTGAAATCTGAAATGAAATTTGAAAGAGGTCAGAGGTTATCAGGGTTACTGTATTTCTCTGTTTTTTATTGTTTTGCTGGTGCGACTTTAAACATTTTGCATCCTAGGCTTATAAAATGTTTATGTTTTAAATCATGTATCATGATTGGCTCGTTAGAAACCTTAAAACTGGCCGGAGTAACAAGTCAAGTTGATTTATTTTCTACAAAGTTGTTCAATGATGTTTTTTCATGGGTCGTTTGTTGGTTTTGTTGTTTCTTTTTCTTTTTTTTCTGACCATACTTGGGAACGCCTGAATCATGTCAGATGTACAGTATGTAACTGTCTGAGCAGTGTATTTGTATACCTCACATGGCCACCGAAGGCATGCAATAATAATGAGTCTTAATGCAAAACAAGCATACAACAAAAAGATGTATGGCGTTGTGTTTAGCAGAAGTAATACTTTGCACTAGTGGGAAGTGGCAGGTGAGCCTGCAAAGGTGAATGTAACCTTAACTCCGACCCCCCTGTCATTTTAGCAAGTACAATCTACTCCACTCTACTCATTTTTCATAGTTTGTGTCTCAAGTTTTTAACATTTGTAACTCTCAATAAGTTTCATTTACTTTCAGTTTGTCATTAAAAATCTATGGAGAGGACGTCTTGGCTTCATTAATTTTCACAACCCCTCAACCCAGACTCTAAACTTGGTGCGATTTTTTTTTTCACTTTTTAAAATACTACAAACATGGAAATGAAAGTATAAGTGATGCCAAGTATTTGTGACGCCAAACTTTAGTATTTAAATTTGAGAATAATACAACTCAATACAACTATGAAATCACATCGACTGTCATCCATCCTGACAGTCAGTTGTCTTTCTGTGTTGGAACAATAACAACTCAGGTCCAAAACAGTTTGGCAAATGTGTAAAATGTTTATATATTATAAATTTGATGGTTTGAAAAGCATTGAAACTTTAAATGCATTTAAACATGTTTAGTTTAAAAATGACACATCATGAAAAGTAATTTGATCCCAGTAACTGCAACTGCAAAACTTTTAAATTATTAATGGTAGGGCTGTGCGATATGGCCTCAAATCAATATCACAATAAATTGAGCAGTTCACCTCGATAACGATAAATGGACGTTAACTACTCCACAAGCTGCTCACCCCTCCTACATTAACGTTGTCTACTTTAGCCACTGCTCCAGCCATTACAACTTTTGTCACGTTTCTGATGTAGGACAGCGTCTTAAAGGGACATGAGACCATAGTCTACCTACACACCTCCAAAACCAACTTTTATTTATTTTTTTGACACCAAATATATTGACATGGGCAAAATGACGTCGGTTTTGTTGTAAATTTTAGTATCAGTTAATTTTCAGTTTCTCGTCCAGCCCTAGGATTGGGCTTGAAGTATATTAAGTCTCATTTAACGATGTTTCAGCGTGCATAAGCTGTTCACAGGATCAGCTTACGCACAATTCAGGAACAAAACATCATGTGTAGAGCAGAATGAATCGGTTATTGTAATAAATTTCTGTATCTGTACATTTTCTGTTTATTACCTAGCCCTATATAGTGGACTGGATTGGGCTTAAAGTATATACAGTGTCATTTAACGCTTCAGTAGTAAAATATCACGTGTAGAGTATCAAAAGTCAGCATCAAAAGGTTTTTTGACACAGAATATATTAATATGGGCAAAGTGAGGTTTTTTGTGTCGTAAATTTTGGTATCTGTAAATTTTCGGTTCCTCGCCCACCCCTAGGATTGGGCTTTAAGTATATTTAGTATCGTTTATTGCTGTTTCAGTGTGCATAAGCTGTTTTCAAATTTTGATTAGGCTCGGTCCGGCTCTGCAGTAACATGTTATAAAAAGTTATTTAACACTGTCTTGCATTACAATATAAAAATGAAGAATGTAAAACTGTTAAAGAGAATATAAACTTTTTTTTAATCACAGTGATACATACATGACACTACAGAAATGAGAACATACTGTCTGTCCTCATTTTTTTATTACCTCCTACTCTTGGATTCCTGACAAAGCGCTGTTACGCGTCTGGATCTGATTGGTCCGCTCATCCTTGCTACGCAAACCAATCAGGATATCGTGCGTCTTACCGTTGCGTGCTGAAGCCCCGCCCCCTCGTTGTCGTGGACGCAGCGCAGCTCGGAGCCCCGGAGCGGCCGCCGCTGCTGCAGTCTCCACCCCCGGATACCGCGCTCCTTCCCCCCGTATATAAAGCTACCACGACAGTCAGGCCGTCCCCGGGCTGCTCTATCTTCTCGTTGATGGTGAGGCTGTGCGAGAGAAGGATGAAGTTCCTCGTTGCTGTTACGGTCATTGTGGGATCATTGATTTTTCTCGCTTTCCCTGATGGCTCCTCGGCGGACGAGAAGAAGAAAGGCCCCAAAGTGACTGCGAAGGTAGGCGGTAGCTTGCTAACTAGCTCTCCCTCTGGATCATGGAGGAAAATCTGAGCTCTTCCTTGTTGCTAACTCGAGCTGCAGGAAAGCCACGTCACGTCCATTTCACGGGTCATCCTGCTGTAATGGTGGGTTTATGTTCAGGGAAGATAACCTTTAACAAACGGTGAAGTAATATCGATGTTCGGACAGTAAAAGGAGATTTTTACACCCGTGAAAAGTGGGTTAGCTGATAATGCCGCTAAATAACGGACCGATCAATGTAATCTCAATGAAGCTACGAGCTACTAAAGCGGGTCTGTGGGCCTGAACCGAACCGAACTGAGCCGAAGCAATTAGACAAAAATCCATCTAATCTGGACTCTTAATTTGAGAATGAAGTGATTTAGCAGTCTCCTCCCCTGCCGTCTGATGCTCTTATATTTGGTGTTGTGTCTGGAGGTTCGTCCACGTCCACAGTCACATGAACAGCTGATCCCCATGAGATCAGGAATTATTCAGATCTTTAGTTAGAAACACTTTGGTAAAATATGCATCTGTATGACCCCATTTCTAAAGGTACCATGCTTCAAAGTAGTCTGGTCCCCCTTTGTGTTTGTTTGAGCATCTGCCAAACATGACCGCAATAGATTAACTGTACTTTACTGTAAAAGGAAAAGGCAGCAAAATCCTAGAGTCCAAATGAAGACAAGTTTTCTGTCATTGTAATTGCATATGCAGTCATTGTTTTTGTTACTTTTTCAACATGTTAATTAGGGGTGGGAGAAAAATCGATTGAAGTATTTTGATTTTTTTGTTTTACAATTTTTAAGATTAAAGGTCCTTTCACACCAGGAGCATTTTTTTTTTTGTTTGTTTTTTGTGCGATTATTTCAGATCTCAATATTTTTTTCGAACCCTTATCCTGTCAATACAAGCGTTCACATCAGCGACGTTTTCACCATCCTGCGATATTGCGGTATTTATTTTTTCGTAACATGGTCGATTTTTCTAAAGTTTCGCATACTGTGTGTCCACTTCTGACCAATCAGATTGCGTGTTGTTGCACAGCAGGTTCACCGGTATATCCAACATGGCCGACCGGCTGATTGTTTACGTGTCGCAGAACAGAGTGATTTTTGATAAAAAACACAAATATTACAAAGATAACGACCTGAAGGACAACATCGTGTCGGATTTCTTATATGACGATGGTTTGTGTTCTTTAACAGTTTGCTAAACGTCTATAGCTAACGGTTGTTACCATAGTTTCATGTGCTTGTCTTATCGCCTCTGATTGGCTATAAGTGCTGACAGTTTGGCTTGAGCGTGTGATGGCGTTTCCAGCTTTTCTAGCCAATCAGAGGCGAAGGAGGCGGGACTTCCCCCAGGAAAAGTCTTCTCTGGGATGTGTTTTTTTAACCAAATTATATCTCATTTGAGAGAAGATATGTAATAATAATCACCATAATAACTTAAATGATGATGACAAAAAATGTCTTGAAAGGCACAAAACTTAAGTTTGGCAGTTTTGGCGCCCCCTTTGGACAATACAGTCTTTACTTTTCTGATCTTCTCTAAATTCTTAAGAAGAGTTTTTTGACAATTAACCCAAACCTGCTGACTAATTTATCATTAATCAATATGTTATTAAGATTTTATGCAGAAATTATCAAAACAGGGGCTGTTTTTTTTTTTTCAGCTGTGAGTCGAATTTGATGTCCAAAAAACCCTTACAGGAGCTTTAACCTGATCGCTTTGAGGTCTAACTCAACATTAAAATCCATATTCTGCTCAGAACAGTCGAACAGCTGTGTTTTTTTCTCACACGTTCAGCATCTCCCTGACGATCTGTCTTATATGTTCGGCTTTCTAATTCCCTGAAACTGGTGTGTCTGTCACAGACTCCTCTTTGAGAGTGGATCAATCAGTCCAGAAATGACAGAGGATGAACGTCAGAGCTCCACGTTTTAAAACACAATTTTTGCTTTGGTGCAGCAGCAGCCTTCTCCTCTGTTTGCTGTGATTCTTAGATGTTTTATTAACTTGGTAACATTTCATAACAACGGCAAAGCACAGCTGTCTCACTCTACAATCACAAAGAGCTGGATTTAAATAAATAAAGCTTTAAGAGGTACTGACATCTCCATCTCCATTTCTTCTTACAGGTTTACTTCGACATGAAACTTGGGGATGAGGAGATTGGAAGAATCGTCATCGGGGTGTTTGGAAAGACTGTCCCCAAAACTGTTGAAAACTTCGTGGCTCTTGCAACAGGAGAGGTGAGGACATCACGGCTTTATTTAGTTATTTATTTACAGTCAACACAGATAAAGATCGTGTATTTTTGACCATGAATATGTTAAAAAATGTGACTGTTTATGTTGTTCTTGTTTTGCTCTCGATCGAGCAGAAAGGATTCGGCTACAAAGGCAGCAAGTTCCACCGAGTCATCAGCGACTTTATGATCCAGGGCGGAGACTTCACCAAAGGAGACGGCACCGGAGGTAAGATACCCCCGACCTCCACCTGCAGACTGGAATCTGTGTGGGATTTTCTCTTCAAGTGCAAACCTGTCCCCCTGCCGTCTGATTCAGAGCCGCCCCCAGCGTTGAAAATCCTTTTTCATCGAAAAGGAAATCAAGTTTTGAGCATGTAGAGTCTGTGTGTTCGTGCTTTATCGTCTCTGAAGTGTTTATGATGAAACTACGTATAATAACCAACATGATGGCTTGTCCATTTCCCAATCAGATCAGTCATGTATCCTGACGCAGAAGCAGAAATTTTACAACTGAAGTATTTTCTTCCTTTCTTTTAAAAAAAAAATAAAAAAGGTAAGAGCATCTACGGCGACCGTTTCCCCGATGAGAACTTCAAGCTGAAGCACTACGGCCCCGGCTGGCTCAGCATGGCCAACGCCGGCAAAGACACCAATGGCTCCCAGTTCTTCATCACCACCGCTCAGACCCAGTGGCTGGACGGCAAACACGTCGTCTTTGGAAAAGTTTTGGAGGGCATGGTGAGTCTGAGAAGTCCCGGTCCCGCTGACATTCCAGGGGTTAAACTGGCTGTGATGGGAGAGATTAAAGGTTCAGATCCAGGGAAGGATTTGGCTTTAAAGTCGAGTTGTCCTCATGGTACCTTTTTAGTATCTTTTGAAATGCTTAAAATAGCAGCCGGACGAAAATAGATCCGGGTTGTCCACTCAAGTGTGTGATGCTTAAAAAGTAAAATACTCCATGAGACAGACGGATCAACTTGGATCTACATTTTAACAGTTTTCCTTTTAATGCACGTGAATCCAAGAAAAGGCGAACCCTGTTGTATGGAAGAGGATTAGGGCCACAAGAAGAGAGAAAAAATAATTACAGGAAGGATTTTTTTTTTATTTCCAATTTGAGATTCAAGTCGAAATTTCAAGATTGAAGTCAAAATTTTAATGTCAAAATGAAAAGAATCGAAGTAACGTGAACAAAGTCGAAATTTTAATCTTAAAACATTTTAAACTTAATCTCAAGATTTTAATTTCTCTTTATCTTAAAATTTTGATATTATTTACAACATTTTGACATTTTGTAATCTTGAAATTTTTACTTCAATCTCAAAATTCCAACTTTATTTACATAATTCTGTTTTTTTTCTTTTTTTTTATCTCTTAATTTTGACTCTAATCTCTAAATTTTGACTTTAATGTCTTAGGTGTCTGTACATTTTCGGTTTATTGCCTAGCCCTAGTTAGTGGCCTGGATTGGGCTTTAAGTATATACAGTGTCATTTAACGCTTCAGGAACAAAACAAATCATGTGTAGAGCAACAAAAGCCAAATATGGCCTATAGATAAGATATCTGTCAATTAGCACTCAGAGGATATATCCTCGTCTAGTGACATAAAATTGGTAAAGAGATTGTGTTAAATAGGCCCCCCCCAAGTGTTTTAAAGTCTAAAATGCAGGTTTATTTTCAAAGTTTTTTGTTGCAGTTGTTAAAATTGACAGATTCACATTTTTTAATGAGGTAAAAGAAACTGAATCTGGAGATGTTACTGGACTGTCAAGTCTTGAGATTTCGTCCTCACTGAGGTGTTTTCATGCTCTCCACGTTTGTATCCTCCAGGAAGTCGTAAGGAAGATCGAGAGCACGAAGACAGACGGCCGGGATAAACCCCTGAAAGACGTCATCATCTTCGATTGTGGCAAAATCGAGGTGGAAAAGCCTTTCGCAGTGGCCAAGGAGTGAGAGCGCTGCTGGGAGAAGACGGGACTGGGGGTTGTAAAGAGGGGTGGGTTAATCGTGCGGTCCACCTTGTTTGATGGCGGGCAGCCCCGTGAGGTCCTGGAGGAGCGGGCTGTGGGTCATTCAGTGTCGGCGGCTGCCGTCTTAAAGCACCAGAAGAGCGTTAACATTGAGCAACCATGACGACACTCTGGGTCCATTTACCAACAAGCATTCCAAGGTGCACTTACTGTCCGTGGTCGTTATTTTGTAAAAAATGGGATCTGAATAAAGGTTTCACGTTTTGTTAACCAGCTGAGTGAATTTCTTTATCGAACAAAACACACATATAAACATACGTGTGTCCTCTTTGGGTTATAGTTCAAACTTTTGACTTTACTTGATATAAGGCTGTGCAGACAATTCTGGCTCTGACCACTAGGGGGCACCAGCTGCCAAACATCTACCAGACTACAAAGGTAGAAAACTGTAGTGAGTTTAATAAGTCGGCAGTAAAAATCTGAACTTGTTTTTGAGAATTATGTCGGATTTTGCACAAATTTCCCTAATTTTTGACTGATTTGTCAGGGGATGATCTAAAGATTTGGTGCCTGCCTCATAAGAGCTAAGAAGACACCTGATCTATTCTGGTATTTTACTCATTTAAGGTACACGATGGTCCAAAAGTTTCAGAGCTTCAGTATCATCCATCTTTGCAGAAAACACTGCTCACACAGGTGAAGGACAAAACCAGCAAAGATGTTTGATTTAAGTTCAAATTTGTTCGCAGAAGGCGCCAAAACTGACAAAGTTACTTACTGGAGCTTCTGTCATAATGAATAGAATGACATATTTCACTATTTATTATTAGCTTCAACGGTTAAGATTTTTGGGTTTCAGCCTCACAAGGATGATTATAAAATACTGTTAATCAGCTGACTGATCGATCAGTCCATCTCTATTACAAAAATCACGACTCTGTACTACATAGGACTCATATTTGCTTTTTCTTTAGCTGCAGATCTAAAGTATTATATTTATACCTCTCCCATTTTTATGATCTATTTATTTAAATTCACACTTGTTAAATAAATCCTGAAACTGGAAACTTTTTATTTTTTAAACCAAAATAACTGAAACAGTAAAAGCGAGACTTCATCTACAGATGTGTTACTGCTTCAGAAGTTGAAGTTTTGAGCACCACTGCTGAAAGAAAAAACAACATTCATCATTTAAGTTATAAAACTCATGCAAAGGGAAGTTAAATAAAAATCATCATTTTGTAAAAGACACTTAGACATGTTCTTCAGGGTGTGGCCTGCAGAGGGCGCTCTAACGCCACAGTCGTCAGCCTCACAGCAGAGCTCATGTTTGTGGCTTCATGTGAGATTTTAGTGTAACAAAAAAACGAGTATTTGAGCATTCCTGTGGCGCTCTGTCTGTTCATGATTGATGAGGGCTTCAGCTGAAACCTTCAGTTTTACTCTTACTCGGTCTAGTTTGAACAGAAGTTTCTTCAGGATGTGAAAGAGCGTGACTGTATTCATGTACTTTGGCAAAACAAGATCATGTTTAATATCTTGGTACTTATTTTAGAGTTTTATTTTGTTCAATATTATATTTCTTCTCCACAAATCTTAAAGATAACTAGTTGCTGTAAAATACAAACTTTTACAGATTAACACTCCAGGGAAATCTTCCTATCCTCCAAATTTGGTTTATTTGAACAGGGTGTTCTGGCAAACCTGAAGTATTTATTGCGATGTGTTGAGAGAACTTTTTAATTCTTGAACCCTGTAAAACATTTAGAGTTTAAAATGTTTGTTACAGGATAGAGCAGGATGATCAAGAGCAAGAAAAGGTTAAATCTGTGTGAAGATGTAGATTTTTAACTCTTAAATAAAACAAAAGATGTTAAAGGGACTACTGCAGGTCCTAAAAGCATGAAAAATAGTTCTTTTTCTTTCTTTTTCATTATTTATTTTTTATTTTGTTAAAATCTGGCATCTCAGTGTGTCAATCACTTTACTACCAAAGAGGATCAGGGCCACATGAAGAGAAAAAAAAATTACAGGAAGATGATAAAGTCAAAATTTTGAGATAAAAAAATCAAAATTTTGAGGTCAAAGTCGAAATTTTGCGATCAAAGCCGACATGAATAAAGTCAACATTTCGACTTTTAAAATTTCGACTTTTAAAATTTTGACTTTAATCTCGAAATGAAAGTTTAAAAAATCTTCCTCCTGTAATTATTTTTTGCTCTCCTTGTAACCCTAATCCTCTTTTGTACTTTGCACACCCAGCATACTTGTCTGCCATGAGTCTGGAATAAATCCACCTCTGTTGTTTACATATCTAACGTTTAAAAATAACTGTCAAAGTGACGTCAAACAGCTTCAGCAGGTAGGGAGTGATCTTGTTTTCACAGCAAAGTTATTAATAAAGAAAATAAATAAAATCAGGCCTATAGATAGCCGCATAGTTAATCTATTAGTCCTCACATGAAGTGAATCCAATCAGTTTATTGATAACACACACTGTCAGCCTCTTCCTCTGCAGTCGTTTCCATCCATGCATTCGAAGTTGGTCCCTCCTGTAAGAGCCTCTCTGGAGTGAAAGTCTTTTTCTGACCACCAGCGGTACATTCATGAAGTATTTATCTGTTTTCACCCGCTGTTGACGTAAACATCCGAGGTATATGGTCTTAAATTCCAGAGCTTGTAGAGTTTCCTCTCCCTCTTTATAAAAGCCTGCGATGACAGGACCGTCTCGGTGATTTGCATTTTGGTTTCTGCAGCACACAGATTATTATCAAAATAAGACTTCATAAAAACAATCATTTTCAACTCAAAAGATTCTGCATTTTGATAGTAAAACTGCTTCTTAGAGGTCCTTGTGTAGATGCTAAATGGACTCGTACTGCAGCACTAGAAGCTACAATAGGGGATCATCAATATCCCATTATCTCATCCCATTCATAGACATACATGATAAGATGTGTTTGTTTGTGTTAAATCATCCAACACCTCATTAAAAAAGTGCATTTTGACCCACTCTAAAGGTGCATAATGGCGCCTGTTCTGTACAGTATCCATCCTCCGCCGCTAGTATCTGCTCTTGTTCCTCACTGCCACTGACTGACTGTCTCTTCTGCACCAGGACACTTCGTTTTAACATTGTCAAACACAGAAAGTAAACATCAGCCCCGCCTTCCTGTGATTGTCTGATCTTCCTGATGCTCACGTGTTGAATCCACTCCCACCTGGAGCTTCGGCGTGTGGAAACAAACACTGAACAGATAACTGCAGGTTGGGTGTGCTGCCGTGTCTGTACAGTATGTCCTGTTGTTTTACATTAAAGCCAGACTGTGGATCGCTCGCTCGCTCACTCGCACGGATCCTCGCCAAGATAAAAAATGATTTCCAGCTCAATAAATTCGACTGTCAGGAGTTTGTTATGGTGCACTGCAGGTTATTTATTGAGTAAAGAAGTCACATGGAGGCAAATCCAAGAAATATGACCTATCCCTGTGTGTAATTATAGGGTACAAAACCATAAATCTGGAGCTTTTTAACAGCTGTTACTCAACACAATGACACACAACTGACCTCTTCAACTCTGAGGAAACTTTAAAGCTCCCTTGATAAAATCCTAAAATAATCTTATTTTTTCCTGCGTGTCTGTTTTTGGAAACTGTGTCCTGAAGCATGTTGAGGCCATGGGAACAGGACTGGATGAGTTCCTCCTAAACATAACTGACCTCGAATGCTCTGACCTCTCTTCTGCAGGGAGAACGTCTACAAAAATGTGTTCCCGTTTCCCCAAACTGGAAAAGTTTGTTTGTTTCCTCACATTCTTGACTGGGGATGTGAATAACATGAAAGCAAAGACTGCAACTGGGCTGGTAGTGACCTTGACCCTCTGATAACAACCGCGTTATCTCCAGATTTAAATATTAGACTCAATAGTTTATGTCTAGAATATTACATTTGCTTTTTGAGTGCTGAGTCCCATGGTTGTTATTCTCCAAAGTTCCCTGACTGTCTCCACACACCAAGCGCGAGTGAAATCATTCGCGCGAATGAATTACATGTTAAGTCAATGCAAAGACGCAATTAGGCGAATGACGCGAATTGGACAGGAGCTGAAAATGTCTCAATTTGAGCAGATATTAGTGTCGTGATATGGTTGCTGAGTGACGTATGAATGGACGGTTGTTCGCTGATATCTAAAATGGAGGACACACTGATCGTGTCGGTGTGCTGGTGCCCCGAATTATGTGATACCTTTTCTCTCAATTACCAAAACTGGAATAAAAAGAAGCTCGCCTGGAGACAAGTGAGTGAGGAGGTCAGATTACCTGGTAACTTGTCAAGAACGTTTGTCTTTCAAGTGATCCCGCCAGTTGAATTGGGTGGGATTACCATTAAAATTACAGCTGGCGTGCGAATGAAACAAGTAAATACCATCATTCACACATCTAGATTCGAGCGAATTAGTTTTTCTCACATCACTATTAACATTTGCACAACAGTTGTTGCATTTCTCAGAACAGTTAGTACAAACCTTGCGTTATATATCCGGGACAAGGTGAATTTTAAAGTCTAGAGTCTAGAGAGGAGAGTGAAAGAGGAAATAAACGGTATACTCCTGTGTCCATGTGGCTTAGAGGACAAGAACCCTGACTGGGACTCCTGAGGTCGTGGGTTCGAGTCTTACCTTACCCAGGTCAAGGTGAATTTTAAAGTCTAGTGTCTACCAAGGACAGTGAAATAGGAGTGAAAAGTAAACCCATGCAGACACAGGGAAAACATGCAAACTCCGCACAGAAACGCCCTGACCTGGATTCAAACTTCTTGCTAGGAGGCGACAGAGTTAACCACTTCACCACTGTACCGCCCCCTTTCCACGTCAAACGGACATAATTTACCAAACCAAAGGCGCTTCAGGGACATAACTTACATATTTCTCCTTAGTGCAGCAGTAGCTCAGGAGGTAGAGCGGTCGTCCAATAACTGGAAGGTTGGCAGTTTGATTCCCCCCTATCCCGAGTCTGACCTTGGACAAGACACTTAACCCACCTTGCTCCCAGTGTGTGCCCTCCCCTGGTGTATGATTGTGAGTGTTGTGTGGTGGTGGTCGGAGAAGCAGCCATGTTTCTGTCAGTCTGACCCAGGGAAGCTGTGATAAGGTGACCATACATCATCTTTTACCCAGACATGTCCTCTCTTTAGGGGGCTGTCCCGCTCTGTCCAGAGAAGTTTATAAAATCCTTCAAATGTCCACGGTCTGCATAAAAGACACTTGATCTGACCTGAAAAACTAAAGAAATTAACTTTGTGTGGCTCTGTGGCTCCGCCCCCGCGTAGTTGTGTCCTCTTTTTGGGAAGTCTGATCATGGTCACCTTGAACTGTGACTACAAAGGCAGTTTACCACCACCAAGGTGTGACCGTGTGAGCGAATGAATGATGTATCCGATGTAAAGCGCTTTGAGGGTCTCTGATAAAGCGCTACAAAAAAATCTGACGCATTATTATTGTTATATTTACTAAAATCAAACCACCATCTTTTCTTATACTTGGCGAATCTGCTCCACAGAGAGGTCCGTTTTGAGGATTATTGACTGCATGCACAGTTGGATCTTGGCCTTTTTACTATTTTACAATTAGTTACTGTAAAAATCCAAACTTTTTAACTATATAAAGTCATTATTCAGTGGTGTCCTGTAAAGTAAGTTTTAGTTAAGTTCACCCAGAAAGAGAACCAGAAAATTTTCTAACTACTACTCTAAAAACAGCTCTGGCTCTTCAGTTTCAGGCCATGTACTTTCATAAATAATTAACACAACCAAAAGGGGACAGACGAGTGGATCCGAAAATGTAAGAATCACTCTAGAGAGTGTGTAAAAGAAGCGGAGTTTAATGTTCAGTCTGTACAGGAGCAGGAAATATAACAGAGGGGCAAACACAATACAAACTGAGGCAGATTTAGACCTGATTACACGGTATTTACTGTGAAGTACACAAAGGTCAAACATGGCTGGAGCAGCTGCTTCTAATCAGCTGGATGAATTTCAGGCATGTCAGAAATTTTGATCAGCTAACTCATGCACTGTGAAAATAAGGTTTCAAGCCAAGTCCCCATTTCCCTGTGCAACTGTTTCTGTTTCTGTTGGTGACAAGCTGCACAATGTAAACAATTATTAGACACATTAAGATCAGCTGCAACATTTTGACCACCTGTGCAAACTAATGCAAAACAACAGCTCCAACATTAGACTGTTAACATGTATCTGTTCAGGTCGGGAAAGCCGAGGAGCAGAGACAAGAGGAAGCGATTAAAATCAACCATAACCATCAGAAACAAACAACCTCTTTGAGGAGAAAAATGTGATTTTTGGTCGATGGTTAAATGTTTCCTCTGACTGCAGAGACTCCTCACCACACGGGGAAGTCCATCTTTATTTTTGGCTCGGTTTAGTCTGAAGCCAAATTACAGAGGAGCGTGTTAGTGCTATAATCAGAGTATAATTTGGACAGATTTACCCCGTGTAAAATAAAATCAGATGATCTATTTCTGTTTCAATGAGCCTTTAGTCAAGTCTGAAATGAGAATCTGCTGATAAATATTTCTTCTATAAAGGTTCAAAGTAAAAGTTTGTGAGTAATTTTTGTATTGTTTTAATAAGTTATTGAAGCAAAATGGGCTTCACGATTGCAAAACACAAACCCGGCCAAGAGAAACTTTTTGATGTGCTACAGAAAGTGGGATGTGTGCCCTGCAGTCCTTGTTTTGCCCAGATTCACTCAGGCATCCAGTGACTCACCAGGAGCAAAATATGGAAAGAATTCCCTGGAGTCGGCACAACCGTGGTCTTGGTTAAACCCTCTGTTGTTCGGTTTGGCCTCGTTTGTGGCGATTGGGGATTGTCCGGTGAAACACTGTTATTCTTCACTTACTGGCCGTGCTGGTAAAGCCGTGACGGGCCGGACATATCTGGCATAGCTTCCTGCAAGAGGCTTTGTCAGCGAGATTAGAAGAACACTGGAGAGAATCACAACACAACATGAAGCGTGGAGGTTTTTCTGTCACACCGCAGGATCAAACGCCCACATCCTGCCATCCCGTAAGGGAGCAGTGGGGCAGATTTTTGTTTGTGTCCCCATTCTGAAAATTATGTAGTAGCTGAGCGAGAAAAGCTTTATCTGGGACAATCGAATATCTGGAAATAAAGCTGATTACTCAGTCAAACTCACCAACAGTGTTATATCATCTGCAGCTCATTGTTCTAGTTTCATATGAACTTTAAACACTGTAAACCCTCATATAAGTATATGTTAAACGAAGATCAAATGAGGCTGGAAAAGAGCCAAAAATTGAGTTAAGGAGTGCCAGTGTCTACGGCTGTTTGATTTCATCCCCCATATACAGAGGCCATGGTCCTAATCTGCTGTAGTCAAAGGTAGGGTTGGTAATCTCATTTAGATATGGTTTTGTTATTCTGGTTAAAATGATCTTTATGTTCCGATAGCAATCAATACTTGAGGTGTTCTTAAAGGGATATTCCAGCGTAAAATTAATTTAGGGTCAAACACACCGTAACACCGAGTCAGACACCCCCTCGAGAGATGAACGTTGCTGACCGCTTGCTTCTCTAGTTATACCAACTTTAGTAACGACCGCAGGATAGCAATACACAGCGGTCTGAGGAACCATAAACAAACTTAAATCAAAACGCCACAAATAATGCTCAGAACAGCACCTAACTTCATCAACAGTACATATAAGGTCCCAGCTTTAGTACTAGCCACGAAACATATTTTTAACTTTGACTCATTTCTTTAGCAAAGAATCCAAAGACAACTCACCTACTCTCCTCCAGCAGCTGCTTGTTTGTGGGTAAGCCCTGACGAGTCGATCTCCGAGTGCAGTAGAGTTTTGCAGCTCAAGGAAAAACATTTATGATTATTACTTCATGGAAGTGCAATCAGACCGAGACGCTAAGACAGAAGAACTACCGCGTCTGCAGCGCAAAATGATTAATATGATGATTATTACTTAAAGGAAATGATAAAGAAATGATCATAAATGTTCTTCCTTGAGCTGCGTCACCCCACTATAGTCCGTAATGGACTGGCCTGAGGTCTCGCTACAAACAAGCAGCTGCTGGAAGAGAGTAGGTGAGTTGTGTTTAGTCTCTTTGCTAAAGAAATCAGTCAAAATTAAAAAGATGTTTGGTGGCTGTGACCCTATATGTCCTGTTGATGAAGTTAGGTGCTGTTCTGAGCATTATTTGTGGCTATAGAGTGGCGTTTTGGTTGAGGTTTGTTTATGGCTCCTCAGACCGCTGTGTATTGCTATCCTGCGGTCATTACTAAAGTTGGTATAACTAGAGAAGCAAGCAGTCGTCAACATTCATCTGCAGTCTAGTCTAGTTTCAGTCAGATTAGAGCAATAGTTTGATTTTTTTGGAGAGCCTGTAAACTTACTGACTGATGTTTTTTTCTGGAGCTAAAGTGAAATAAGGCACCAAGAGGTTAAAACTGGAATATTTCTGTGAGAACTCTCCTCATTCCTTTGCTAAGATATTAATCTACAGGCCAGTGAGACAGCAGAGAAACATGCTGTTGGACAGGTCTTGTTTTCAAGTAACATTAATGATTCTTTTGGTGCTGACAATAGAGGTCAAGTAAAGATGCAGTTTGTAAAAATTTATATTGAATATGATTTAAAAAAAAGTGTTTGCCTATTTAGATACTCACATGCAACCTTTTCTCCTTTTTTTATGGTGTCCTACAGTCCAATCATTTCTCAGAGCGACACTGAGATATTTGCCCCAGAGGCGCTCCAGTGTTTTCCATGTGTTTTGAATTGTTTTGCTGAAACTTGAGTTTTCTCCTCAGGCATCTGTCACGTTTGGCCTGGTTCTCTCTGAGCCTCTTACTCTCTGTAGCAAAGACCTGAATGGTGAATTGTTGTAGAAATTGTCGGACCTCTTTAAGCTCCTTCACAAGTTTTTGTTTGAAGAGCCGAGGCTATCCTTCCTCTCTCAGTTACAGTGTTTGGCAGAATTACAAACCTTTGAGCCTCAGTGGTTTCATATTCAGCCTCTCGGTTACTCAGTAAATTCCAGTTCTTGTTTATCATCTGGACCTCAATAAAATTCCTCACCAGATGATTGGATGTAGCCCTAGCATAGACTTGTATATTTTGAATCTGCAGAATCTTTTCCTCAACATAATCCAGAGAGCACAAACCAGGATGTAACATTAAAAGTTGTTTGAAAACATTGAAAAAAAACAAATTAAGGACTGTGTCGTGTTAAAAAGAAGGTTTAGAGACATTTCAAAGGGAGCAGCTTTAGAGTATCTGAAGAAACAATGGACGGCATGTGCTGTAAAGTGACAGGATTTCTGACATCTTGGTACTACTTAGTAGCAGTGCATGTCCTCCGTAAAAACTGTTGTTCAGGACTGTGCGCAACATGCTCACTCCTGCTTCCTACCTACTCGGCTACCGTATTAACCGCATTGTTATATACTCTACATGCAAAATTTTTGTTCTCATTCATAAAATGCTTAAATCGGGGACATTTCCGGGGACAGCTTTAGCTGGGGACAGGTCATCCAATACAGGGACTGTCCCCAGAAATCGGGGACGTCTGGTCATCTTAATGTGCTGGTATTCAGGCTGTGCAGCTCTGATTACAGAGGCAAAAAAAAAACAACCCAGAGCTGATGTGCCAGAGTGATCAATTTCATGGTCGCTACAACAAAACTTTGAATTATCAAAAACTGTTGAGACCAAAGATAAGACGCCTACATTTGCTGGTAATGCATGAAGTGGTTTTGGCCAGTTCAACAAGCCGCAACCTCTAGTCTCGAGAAATGAAGGTAATGCCAAAGTGCTAAAAACTGCAGTTCCCTTAGTGCCCTCTAGAGGGTGGCTTCAGAAGGACCGGACACCCATACACACTAAGCCAAAAATGCAGATTTTTAGAGTGAAAATAAACCCATGTACAGCCGGGGGGAAATAGCTGGGGGTTCCCGTGAAATCAGATGCACAACTTAAAAAGCAGGCATGCGCACTGTAGCTATTTAGAGGACGCCAAAGACCCGCCTTTGCTAGGTTGACCAACAGTTAGAGTCAGCCTTACCTGGGGTGACCATACGTCCTCTTTTACCAGGACATGTCCTCTTTTTGGGGGGCTGTCCGGCTTTGTCCAGGGAAGTTTATAAAATCCTTCTAATGTCCGCGGTTTTGTACGGAAGTTTTGAGTTTGTGTCACATGGATTTACTGAGTTAGAAGCGCTTAAAAGACACTCAAGCTGACCCCAGAAACTCTCAAAATTAACCTCGTGCGACTCAGTGACTCCGCCCCCGCGTAGTTGTGTCCTCTTTTTCTGGGATCCAGAATATTGTCACCCTAAATAAGGTCAACTACCTTAGAAAGGCCTCAAACCCTGCTTCACAAACAAACAGGTGACATCACTGGTACGATGTCCATTTACTATACAGTTAGTATGAGTTTAGACAGATGTGACCAATATTAAAAATGCAAAATCAACTCAACTGACTAAGCGCAGACTAGCAAGGGTTATTAAGTCTGGTAAATTTGCACAGCCCTGATTCTGCTGGAGCTGACTGATATCTGACAGACGCTGTTGTCCTTAAGACCCAGACCACTATTTTCAATGTGTCACTGGTGACTGTGATCCTTGATTAAATATTTGCTGTGATACTGAAGAACAAAACTGGGTAAAATCTAAATAAAAAAGGGCTCAGACTAAATTAGATCTTTTTTAGAGTAGACACTTCCAAGAAGCCAACCTTTTCCCATACCTGTAGAGAGGTCAGAAAAACCTGTTTTGGAGAACTTGAAAGTGACATATCTTCACTGGAATGATAGCCGTAGGCTTGTGGTGTTTTCTGACTAAAATCACAATGTTTTTAACCCCTAAAACAAAGTTTTTCCAGGTATTGTAAGCAGCCACAAAGATGTAGAGTATACATTTCTCTGCGTGGTGAGGATAACAGCCAAAGAAACCCCAATCTCTACTGAAAGGTCAGCGGCTAGAAGGCCTGCATAAAGCCAGGATCAAGTTCAAACTAACAACACGTCCACAAAGATAAGAAAACACAAACATGCAGTGTACAAGCTAGAAGGGGAAGCTGTTTGACAAGAGCAGAATAAATATACAACATGAGTCGCAGCGTGGGAAAGGTCCCCGTGGGAACTGGGCCTTATTTTTTGTCAATGAATTTCAGAGAACCTGGCTTGGACTCGAGTACAACAGAGTTTTTGGTTCCCAGCCGAGCAGTGGTGTCACATCCACGTCTTCATTGTTCTCCAGCTTCCCCTCTGGTTTCTTTTCCCTTCCTATGATGTTTGCAGAGTTGGTCATGTTGTTCTCTAAAAGGAGCTTTCGCCTGAACGTGGCCTAGGCTGCGTTGACACTCCGGTTCCCACGATCCCTTGCCCTTCCTGGAGAGTTACTGCTTGCTCACGGCTCTGGACAGGAAGACGGTGCAACAAGGCCACTACGAGAGTGCACTAATTTAAGCCTGCTGCCCTGGGCTTCTATTGTCTTCAGTGGGATTACATGGAAGACCATCATCTGTTTGTATCTCCCCTGAAGCTCATCAAATCAGAGCTGTGCGTGATTGAACCGTCTGATTCATAGGGTGAGCATGGGAACCAGTGGGAACATTTTCCAGAGAAGAAGGTGAGGTCAGGTCCAGAGGTCAAAGGGCAGCGCAGTGCTTCCTCTTTAATTTCATCCCACAAAACAGTGAGTCAACCTCAGAGTTCATCGGACAGATGATTCAGTTGTTTTTACGAATTGATGAACAACATAAGAAAGAACAAGAACATCAAGTTCAGTTCTAAAGGGTTCAATATTTGGTTGAAGTAGATAAGTCGCTGATCTAGGGCAACACAGTGGTGTAGTGGTTAGCACTGTCGCCTCACAGCAAGAAGGTCCTGGGTTCAAATCCGGGTCAGGGCGTTTCTGTGTGGAGTTTGCATGTTCTCCCTGTGCCTGTGTGGGTTTACTCCGAGTACTCCAGTTTCCTCCTACATCCCAAAAACATGCCTGAGTGGGCTTAGGTTAACTGGCCACTTTCAAATTGCCCGTAGGTGTGAATGTGAGCGTGGATGGTTGTTCATCTCTATATGTCAGCCCTGCGATGGACTGGCGTCTTGTCCAGGGTGTCCCCCTGCCATAGCCCCTGCATCTTAGAAAAGATACTCCTTCATTGGTCCTACAAGGGGAAATTTGGTTGGTTATCAGTTGGATGGTCATGAAATTCTCTCCTGATATTCATGATCTTGGGTCAAAATTGCATTACCTGTGTCATTTCAAGAGCTTTTTTTCTGCAGAGCTCCAGTAACTCATGAGCAATTCTCCTCTGAGTCGTGGGCGGAGACAGCGCAGCTCTGCACACTCCTCTTCATGCTAGCTTGCTGCCTAACCTAGCCGATGTAATAGAAGTGTCAAGTAACATAGGATCTATTCAGCTCTCGGACACTAATGTCTTTGGGGACATGATTTAAGTTAATATTATAATAAGCTTTCATACAAGCATCGCTATCCGTTAACTCACATGCTTGTTCTGCGATCGTCCTCTCTACTTTTGCGAGTCTGGCCTGCATAGCAGGGCTCCAGGGGGCGGAGCTTGGATTTGTGACATAGGAAATCTCACTGTGTCTGAACCTGCCATTTGGGTCTGCAGAAATACTCAGAAATGCAATTTTGCAATTACTTTTCTCATGATATGTCCTGTAGCATAAAAAATGAACCTATGAACATGAAAAACGTGATTATCTTCAGAGTGGGCCTTTTAAGACCTTGATGAAGTCCTGAACCTTCCTCTAGTATCATCATAACATTGACATCTGAGGTTTTTTTAGTGAATTACTTTGGTGATTCATCGTATTTACACCCTAAAATTGCTGCAGACATTTGCGTTCCCTTTAAGATGCACATTTTCTTAACTCTTTATTTTGAGCCGTCATCAGGTCCAGGTTTCCTCTTTGGTTTCAAACCATACATCATAAATTTTCATCAGGACCAAAAATCCATCTTTACCTCTCCTCCTCTTCATTATCTTGTCATCTGGTCCTCAAGATTGAAATGACAGAGTGGTTAATAAGTAAAGTCACCAGGGATATTAGCTGTCTGCCTCCTCTGTGCGCAGACCAGCTGGCCTTCATGCTCTGTACGCTCGGTGCCGGGCACTCGGCTAATTAAAGTCACTTCCCCTCCTTCCTCCTGGCCTGGACGCATATTTTCGGGGACATGATAAAACTATAAAGCTGCGTCATGGGACACTGTTAAGTGCTGTGCTGGAGACAGTAAAAGTGCCGCTGCATTCCTGCCTGTCTCATGTAGCTGGGTGAAAGCAGCGGCTCAGAGTTATGCTGACTGGCCAATTGAGGAGGTTGCATAAGAGCTCTGAAATATTCATCTTACTGTAGTGGACCTGGAGTCTGAATTTCACGTTTTTTTTGTACACGCTGAGAGAAACAGAAAACAATGTATGCATGGATGAGTTAAAGTACAGGAGTGTTTTTGAATCTATTATTCATGGAGCTACAAACCAAAAGAAGGAGCCAGAGCTTACTTTCTTTACCCCAGAGGTCCTCCACCCGGGTGATGAACGTACAGGATGGAGGGTGGAAATGGGACAGCAGGACTTATATAATGAGGCGCAGAGCTGAGGGCCACGATGGGCTGTTGTGACTTGAGGCATGTCCACTGACAGATTAGCTCATTACCCCAGGACCTGCAGACCGCCTCTAAGGCCAGGAAATGACCACCATCCTGCAGCCTGAGTAAGGCTATTGTTGCACGGTACTGAGTTGTGAAATGTGCAAACAGATAAGTGGCAGTGAACGTGATATCTGTCATGGATAATACTAGGGCCTTTTTTTCTATAAACCAACATTAGTGGCAAAAGATATCTTGCCTGGGCTTATTATGAAGTAAATGAGAACCTAAAATCAAAAGGTAGGGTTATCTTAAAGGTAGGGTTGGTAATCCGATTTAGATACTCTTTTTGTTTTTATGGTTCAAATGATCTTTATGTTCCGATGGCGATCAATACATGATGTGTTCTTGAAAAGAGCGAAACTTAGCCATTATCTACAGCAGGAGCAAAACTGGGAAAACACCAACCAATCACATCGTGTGGGTCCCACATTTTTAAACCAATCAAATCCAGACGAAGTGCTGAGGAGATACTACATTCAAATTCATGCTAGTTTTATTGTGATTACCAACCCTACCTTTAACATCTTCACATCAGCCAACAGTGACAAATCTCATCCAACCCAACGTCTCAGTCACCGAATGTATGCGCCTTTTTGTTGGCACAATTTTAAGATACAACTGCACAAAGATGAGGTCTCCTTGTAGCTTTTAATAAGGGTCGACCAAGTGTTGGTCAAGTATTACTTAACACTACGTGATGTGGTTAAAACTGTCAATAATAGATTTTTTGCTGTATATTTGGAAAATGTGTTAAATCAGATGGGATTGTTCCAATTAAAATGATAAATTTGACATTTTAATGACATGATATGGCACACTATTGAAGTTTTCGATAAAACTCACAAAAATAACATGCAGTATATTTTCCACTGACTCTCCGAGACAAGCCTTAAAAGTATAGTTACTCAAGGGAAATGATACGTCTTTATTTGTTGTTTTGAGGTGATTTTTTCTGACTGTGATGTTCAAAGTACAATTACAGGATAGACAGAAGGTGTCATACAGGCACAGCTGCTGTATTTACCGCCATTTTCTGCATCCAAAAGGAAGTCTGGTTCACTTTTACTCTCTATGTGGGAAGCTGAAACAGGAAAGTCTACTTATACAGGGTGCAAAAAACATGTTATAGTATAAACAGTGTCATAATAAGTTCTGTTCATTTAGTTTTTCCCTGGTTTTGTTATTTGAGTGTATTTTCTGGGGGTGTTCCTGTTCTCCTGTAGTCCAGTCTTGTGAGTTTTCAGTTTGTGTCTGACCCTGTTTCCCACTTTTCAGTGTTGATTTCCTGTTTTATTTTGTAGGAGTTGATTCATTGCGTTTCTATTCTGGTTTTACTTCCCTAGTTTTCCCTCCTTCGTTAATCACCTATGATGAGTTTCACCTGTGTCTCGTCTGCCTCACCTGTCGCTCGTTTCCCTGTGTGTGTATATAGTCCCTGTCTTCCCCTCTGTCCTTGTTGGTTCATTGAATGCATGTCAATGTGTGTGCGTGTGTCTGATCTTTTATGTGTGAATCGCTCGTCTCCTAGTGTTTTTTTTAAGTACGTTTTTGTTGCTTTTTATTTCCTTCTCTTAATAAATCATTTTTTTCTTCTGCATTTGGGTCTTTTTTTCTTTTCTCCGCCACGTGACATAAAGTGATAAATAGACTTTACTCATTCTCTAGTGAAATCCACATTAGATTCAATAGTATATAACAGACTAAACTCCAACAGGCTGACTATAGAAGGACCTGTATGTTGTTCAGAGTTTCTTAATTAATTAGCATGATGAGATTACTCGTGTCTGCCGGTGAAGAAGTCAGCTGCAGGACATGCTGACAGCTCCGTCTGAAGCTGTGAGACTCCTGCAGAGCTGCAGGACGGACTGAGAGACAATCAGCTTATAAAGGTGCTGAGTATGACTGCAGACAGAGAACAGCGTGATGAACTCAGCAGGTACTCAGATTCATCACGTGAGCGAGACAAACAAGAGGGCACGTGTGAGACTGAACAGTTCGGGGTGTGATGGTCTATTGAGGTTGGCTTTTTTCCCTGGAACAGGCGCCAAATGTTGGAAAAACAGTTCATGACTGACTGTTTTTCTTTTGTTGTATTGTTGGGTCACTAAATACAACATAAAATTAATTCAACCCCCAGAGCAGTATCGTATATCTGTTTTCAAAGGATTTACTTCAACACTACACAGTGTTTCATGTATTTAAAGTCCCACTCCTATCGTTTTTTTAAGTGTTCTCAGTGGTCATAAAGTCGTAAATATGAAGTTTTTAGCCAAAATGATGTTACCTGTGTCATTTTCAAGGGCTTTTCTTCTGCAGAGCTCCAGCAGCTCATTAGCAATTCGCCTCTGAGTCGTAGTCAGAGACAGCGCTGCTCTGCACACTTCACGCTAGCTTGCAGACTAACATTGCCGATGTAGTAGAAGTGGCAGGTAACATAGGAGCTATTTAAAGGGTGACCATATGTCTTTTTTTACCCCGACATGTCCTATTTTTGGGGGGCTGTCCGAGTCTGCTTTGTCCAGGGAAGTTTATAAAATTCTTCAAATGTCCGTGGTTTTTACTTAAGTTTTGATTTTGACTTGAAAAACTCAAAATTAACTTGGTGCGACTCCATGACTCTGCCCCTGCATAGTCTTGTCCTATTTTTGCAAAGCCAGAATATGGTCACCATAGCTATTCAGCTCTCAGACACTATTGTGTTTGAGAACATGATGAAAATTAATATCACAATTAGCTTTCTTACGGGCTTTACAATTCACCAACGCACACGCTTGTTCCACGATCGTCCTCTCTACTTTTCTGAGTCTGGCCTGCTCTGAGGGGCGGAGCTTGGATTTGTGATGTAGGAAATCTCACTGTGTCTGAGCCCACCATTTGGGTCTGCCAGAGATTCACAGCGATTATAATGTGAAAATACTCAGAGATGCAATTTCGCTCCATGATATGTCCTGTAGCGTCAGAAAAATGAACATAAGAACATGTAGACAACAAGAAAAACATGATGTTCATCGGAGTGGGTCTTCAACTTCAACAGTCTAAGCCTGAGAAGGAAACCTACTTTCTCATCATTACTTTGACCTATTTTAAAGTTACAGATCTTCAGAAATAACACCATGATGATGACGTTTAAAAAGTGAAAAGGAAAAGATGAGAAAAAAACTTTTAAAGCGACTGATTTCTGAGCCAAAGTACCGTCATTAATTTCTAACGGGATCCAGAGAGCAGGCGATGAAAATACAGATTGGCTTTTATAACACCGCAGTAGGCAGAGCTGTCACATATCAAAGCTCTTGATCTGCAGCGTTGTGTCGCTGTCACAAGAAGATACCTCTTTATAGAAGTAACGACCAACAGACCTCAGGACCAATCGAGTTCCAGCAGGCTTTGGCATCAGCAGGTTGGTAAGTACCTTCCCCGTGCTGAAAATCCAGACGTCTGAGTCCAGATTCTGCATTTGAAGTAGAGCATGATGTGAAGAAATATTTTCACTTTCTATTTTTGGCAAAAAGAAACAAAGACCCATCCGCACCCTCTGTTACGTAAAACACCACACGCCATGTGACTGTCAAAGAACATAAACATTTGAATCATGTGAGGAACAAAGTGAATATTTCTCCTTCAGGTAGACGCTTCGACAGGGACCTCGCCCAAAACAATCACTCGGCTTGGCTGTCCTGAAATGTACTCTCTTTTTATCTTGGTATTTCCGTATGTTTGCTCTGTTTACGCAAGCAGACATAACAACTATAAAGTGAAAAATGTAAATCATCCTTCACCTTTAAAGGAGGAACAATCTGAGCTTTAATTCCAACAAGAGTTTTCCCAGGGCTTGTCTTCTTGGTTCTGGGTTCAAGGACACACCCACACAAATGCACGCTCACATACGGACACAAAAACTGGTCAAACATATCTTCTTCATTTTCGTTTCTGGTGCTTTGTAACAGAGACTCTGGAAACCTGAAGAGAGTTTATTCAGTTATGGCGTCCCACTTCTGATGTTTCCCCCTCTATGTAACACATATGTTGTTGTTGTTTTTTACACACTGTTTATGAAAGGAAATGTGATCTTGTTATTTTTCAGCAGAGTTAAGGTGTTTTCCAAAGTCTAATCTGACCTGTAACATTTACCTCCTGGATGCACAGAGAGATCATGTGTTTACAGGTCTTGTTGTTGTCGGTGGGTCAAATCAACAAAGTCGACACAGCTGAGACCATACAGCCGATAAAATGAGTCTCTAATAGTAATAATCAAAATAAGATTTATGTTTATGCTAATTTTATTAAATATAATAAGTTTATTTGATTAGAACAATTACCTCAACTTCTGCCTGCTATACACAAGCTGTTCTAAGTTATATTAAAGACATTGCTAGTTTCCAACTCCCAACTCCCTAACGGTGCGTTCCAGTTGTACTCGGAAGTCGGGATTTCCGAGCTCCGAGTCGGAAATTCACCTGGAACGCCCCCCAGAAGTCGGATTTCTGAATTGGAAAGTTGGAGGATCCTCACACACTCGGGGTTGGTGAGGATCCAGGTGATACATGGTGAGGATGATAGGTGATACTAAAAGCTACACATCCGCTCAAAAACTGCACATTGCTGAACACTATGGAAGCCTTTATCCAGTGACACAGTTCAACATCTTTTCTCTAAGCGAGCGCCCTTCTCATGTACTGATGCAAATTATATTCTAGGTTTTACGGTAAATCCTATTTAAAGTTAGTATAACATAAAATCAGGGACTTTATGTCATTTATCTATAAAAACGGTTGCAGGCAAAGTGTTCTTGAGGACTTTTAAAAGTAAGTATATATCCTATTCCGGGTAACTTTTTGAAATAAGATCTATATGGCCACTTAAAAATACATTTCACGGGCAGACGGTGATGACGAGAGGATAAAAAAAAGTTTATTTTTGTCATTTCAGCCCTGATATAGAATCCAAATAACTTTGGATGTGTGGGAAATAAACAGCAATTAAGTAACAAACCAAGATTGAGTTGTGCTGCCAGCAGTGAAAATGTTGTTGGATGCATTACTCTGGACTTCATTCAAGTGAGCCTACACTTATAAAAGGAAGAGTTATGTAAAGAGATGCACACAGAAATTATGTTATCTAAATTATGATGGTAAAACCTCCTATCAGGCCCAATTCTTATCAAACCCCAACATCTGCCAACAACCATAGAGTGCATCTTAAGCAACAAGTTTCTTTTTGAAGGTATCTCCCGCTGGGCTCCTGCTGAATATTTCATCCTCAAAGAACAGATAGGATGTCCCATGCTGTTCACACAATCTGCCTATTGTCTGCAGTATGAGGAGATCCATGGACTAAACAAAATACCAGGTCAGGGGGGAGTCGGTCACAAACAGCACTGAGGCGACAGTTTGAAACACGAGAGATGTTTTGCTTTTCAGCCAACATCTCATGTGTGACTTGATGACGTGGTTTGGGGTTCATTAAAGTCATGTGAGGGACAGTTTGTCCCAGAAAACCAAGATGCTCACGGTCCACCTGAGCTTTGGATGGGCTCAGATTTCTGCTGCCACTGCTGCTCTACATCTGCAGCAGACAGACTCAGGACTGGCTCTTCGCTTTGATGTGTATCTCTGTTTAAGTTCATTATAGTGTTTCTGTTTTCATACTAAGATCATTTGAAATTAAAGGCAGTGAAATGTGAAGCTACAGGCTAGCTTGAATGCTATCATCCTCACTGGGATTACTGCCAAATACTCCAAATTGTAACATAAGCTTCCAGTTACCTCCCAGTTTCAAGTATTAAAGGCGAGGAATTGGCTGAATTATGTACGGATATCGAAATGGTTGTCAGAAGTGTTCGTTGACAGTGAAGCAAAAAGATTTAGGGCTCTCCCTGCTGACTGGCTGCACTATAGGTTGTAAACCGTGCTGCAAAAGATAAACCTGATGGAGCATTTTGCTGTGTTCAAGTTGAACTCGGAAGTCAGGATTTCCGAACTCGAAGTCGGGAATTCATCTGGAATACCCGTCATATTCCAAGATGGTAGCACACTGCATCAACAGTAAAGAGTGACAGTGACAGCTCTCATATTTTTTTTGATTTGTTAGCACTTCTGTTTTGTTTTTGTGAAATTAAATAAGTGGTTTATGGTGTACTGCCCAACGTCTAACTGTGAACACGGTGCTATGGTGTTTGTAAGGGTAAAATACTGTGTTATGGGTTGTTTAAGACTGGTATAGCTAACAACAGCTGACAACAGCTAACAACAGCTAACAACAACAACTAACAACAACTAACAACAACAAACAACAGCTAACAACAACGAACAACAATGAACAACCACTAACAACAACTAACAACAGCTAACAACAGCTAACAACAACTAACAACAGCTGACAAGAACTGACAACAGCTGACAACAGCTAACAACTAACAACAACTAACAACAGCTAACAACTAACAACAACGAACAACAGCTAACAACAGCTAACAACAGCTAACAACAGCTAACAACAGCTAACAACTAACAACAACGAACAACAGCTAACAACAACTAACAACAACTAACAACAGCTGACAACAACTGACAACAGCTGACAACAGCTAACAACAACAACTAACAACAACTAACAACAGCTAACAAAACTTAACAACAGCTGACAACGACTAACTACAGCTGACAACTGTAAACAACAGCTAGCAACGGCTAACAGTCGGCATCCATCTTGGTTTTCCAACTTGTTAACTGGAACGCCGTCAACTTTTGTGTAACGTCATTCCCAGCTCCAACATCTGACTTCTGAGGTAACTGGAACGCAGCAATAATGGCAACCATGATGTACGATTACTGCAAGCATCTTATTTTAATCATTATGACCATGCTGGCATGTTGACTTAAGCATGTGGCTTAAAGCATCACTGGGAAAAGGGTTACGGCCTCAACAAGACACCAGAGTCAGATTCTTGGTCTTCAATATTTTAAGGGTTTATAAAAAAAAAACCAGACTGTGAAACTTTCGACTTATATCTCAGATTACATTCACTAAGTTACATTCAAATCTCACAATACCTATGAGCTACTGAAGCTCTTGAGTGTCTGTATTATACTCTCCTATATTAAAAAGTCTTTTCACTCTTTTACAGTCAAGTCTTTGTCATCAACAGTTTCTTTTGAAGTGATGCACTGACCTTTATTTTGTTCATATAAAGCGCCTCTCACCAAGATATATTAGGGCACGTGTTTATTTAAACGTCACTATTTCTACATTCCCACTAAAGCCACAATGTGTTGAATCTTGTCACGTGGAAACAGCAGCTTTCTGTCAGCGTTTGAGGCTGAAAGCTGCACAAATAGGGCAGTAGGGGAACCACATCAGCACATTTCTTTGCATCATAAATAATGAGGCCAAGAATTTGACCCAGGCCTCGGTATTTGTTTGCCGGCTCAGTGTGACTGAATCGAAACTTTCTGATAGTCCGTCTGTTGATGCAGAAGTAGGCCAGTTAGTCTGCCTCTCTCAGTGGAGTGTGAAACGTTAATGAGCTTGTTCAAAACTGACAAATCGTGACTGGAGCATTGTGAGACCATGTGCCTCTCACTTGAGTTGTTAGTTGGTATTTGGTGGGTGACGTACATAACTTTGCTTTTCCTCACTTTAAAATCTTAGAAGTATGTTTGTGACATTTTCAGTGTGACATCAAGTGAAGCAAAAGAGACTAAAGTGATCAGTGACAAGAAATAACAGATAAATGTGGGAACGGCAAACCGGGGAGGTTTCCAGTGAAATGATTTTCTCTCACATTGAATCCTTTTAAAATTTGCATAATTTGTGTTCATATTACATTCTTATTTTCTTTCAAATAATGAGCTGAGTTGGAAGTCAGAAGTCTGAGCTGAAAATGGCGTCACACACTTTCACCATCTTGTTTCTGCCTCCGATTTTGCTTTTTTCCAACTTGGTAACTCAAACACTGGTAACTTGGGTGTGACGTCATTTTCAGCTCAGACTTCTGACTTCCAAGATATCTCGAACGCAGCATGATTATCTCTAATCTGACCAAAAGCAGTTTGAGATAAAATGCCTTAAATGGGCAAATAACACGAAAACTCTGTCTGAGATTCTGAATGAGTGTCTCCTCGGTACACGACCTTTCTTCACACACAGATCCAATCCATATATCCGCTTATATGTAATTTGTTTGTTTTGTTAGGTCCTCATCCATCCCTAATCCTGGATATAAACATGATCACTGAACAGATCAGGAGCTGAGGACAACTTACGAAAGATCAGCCAAATCTCTTTCAGTTGAGGCGTCTGTAATCAAACCACCAGGAGGACTTATATGTTCATATTTAGGACAAGAACACCTTCACTCACGGCTGGTCACTCCTCACACTGACTGCTGACCGCCTGTCCAGTCTTCACTCACCGTTACATCATGAGAGTGCTGTTCCATGGGGGTTGGCAGGTGGCACTGACCCCCATGTCCCCTGTTCACCCAGGCAAGCTGGACCGCCAACATTTGTGCTGTGATGTGCCAGGATCAAGTAGCTGGGCTGCTATCTTGTTACTAATCGGATAAGCTGTTTGGCATAGGGGCTCTTTTCCATTCCTCCTTACATAACTGTGTCTATGTTCAGACTCATGCAGCGAGTCAGGGCTAAAGCTGACCACTGCCAGGGGCAGGAAGACAGTTTAAGAGGAAGAACAGGACTTTGTGGGAACTTCCAAGAGGACGTATTAAGTTTGTTTTTCGAAATCTGCTCTCAGAATTCGTGATGAGTTCTACAAAGGTTTTTCTAAAGAGGGGGTCAAGGGTTAGAAGTCAATATTTTGGCAAGGTTGTTGGATGATTATAAGTAACCAAAATTTCAGATCCCCAAAAATACTAGCTGTGATAACTATTATGGGTGAAAATGACACATTTATCACCACAGTGTTATAGGGAATGGGTTCTTTATTTCTTGACATCCCAAAAATACAAAATACTTAATCTATAGTTGTGAGTGTATCACAATAGCAATTGTGCTGCAAAACCTAAACTTTGAGAAATCCCGCCAACAGTGAATATTAACACATAATAACAAGCTTTACATTATAAAGTTTATAAGAACTCTGGTAACACTTTATTTGACGCCTATCCCTATAACGCATTATAAATATATTTATAATGCGTTATAATCACTTTATAGTACTGTATAACTATAGTTATAAACACTCATAAATTATCATAAGGTATCATAGGTATTATAATGTGTGATAACTGTTAACAACTGTTACATTTCATTATCTATGTGGGCATTGTCAGTGAGTTGTTAACAGTTAGAACACATTATCATACCTGAACTTGTAAATCATGATAAAATGCTTTATAATGTGTTCTGATTATTGCTATAAAGCTTTATGATCATTTATGAGTGTTTATAACTATAGTTATCCAGTGCTATAATGTGATTATAACACATTATACATATATTTATAATGCGTTATAAAGAGAGGCGTCAAATAAAGTGTTACCAGAACATACAATTTGCACAAGTTTCTTACACAACACTTATGTAAGCCATTATTTAATCAGGAATTCCTTGAGTGTGAGATCTTAGTGTGAGGATAAACCACATAACTTTAATGGATGGAAATTAGATATCAGCAGAAATTGTGAAATAGCTTCAATACTTAAAAATGTCCCATAAAATGAGAAAATTCAATTCTGGGTCTCGAGGATTGTCCTCCATCTCTATCTTTTTGTGTTGAGGATGGTCCTGAAGTGTTTATGCTGTATATACATAGTCTGATAGCAAAGTCCATGACTGACTGTAAAAGGGGGGTCTGTTTACAGAGCACCACAGTCGGTCTACTCGCAGGCTAATCCTGGGATCACTGAGTTTGAAAAAAGAAAAAGCTACAATAGTGGGTCAATCCCTGCAGGGAAAATAACTATAGACTTACTAAATCTGTAGGGTGCTATTTGAGGACAGCTCACGACATTATTCCTGGAAAAACAGCGAAGACATATCCTGAGCATGAACTTTCATTGGTAATGGCGGGGAATACTGGCTGATAAACTACGCTTGAGAAGAACTCTGCAACCCTCGAAGAAAATGTTAAATAACACGTTCAAGCTTTCCAGTTATTTATTGTACCTGTCAAATACTCTATTACATGTTGTGCACCTGTATATCTGTCCTGTCATTACTGACATAGCGCAGATGCCTTCTCCTGTACTGTACATAATTTATGCTTTTATTGCACCAGACTGTTTTGTACCGTCGCTCTGTTTTGACTGTGTTTTACTGGTTAAATAAAGAACTGTACCTTCTTCTTTTACTTGACCTTGACCTTAATGCTGGCGCTAAGTGAATGGAATGAGGTGTAATCCAACATGGGCTCTGGGCCTTAGAAACTGAAAGGATTTCTGTAATAGTGTATTTAGATGGCACCTTACAGCGTCTGCATGCATGAGGTAGCAGTGTAACAAAAGGCCCCAGACATACCTGGGAAACTACATTTAAATCATGTTACGAGTCAATTTAAGTCAAGGTATGTCTACGTTATCAGAGATGCTTAAATTTAATATTTGTCTCGAGAGTGTCGGTCAGTTTCATCTTAAGTTTGCTGCATTATATAGACATTGTCCTCAAAGTTCAGCATTGGAATGTAGTTTATATTGTACTTCTGTACTTTACACTTTTAGATCTGTTATTTTTAAAGCAGAAATATAGGCTCAAAGGGTCGTTGAGTGTTAACTTAGGTTTAGCTCAGTGGTTCAGCCACATGCCTCAAGGGACCACAGCGGTGATTCTGGGTTTGACCCCCATCCTCGGCCCTCTGCCACATGTGGTTTCCCACTCCCTGTTGTTTGTTTTCAGCTGTGTCCGCCGTCCTGCCGAGTTCCCAGATGAGGGTGTTACCCATTGCCATGGGCACTTATACATCTCCATACCATCACACCTGCTGGCTCTTAAACTTTGCACTGATAAGTACGGTGGTCCTCCCAGTCTTGGGAGAAGAGAACACATGTCCACGATTACCAAAACAAATTTTCATTTGTTAGATTAGATTATAAAGTACAAAATGTTCCTCCAAGTTTTACCCCCAAAGCTTTACACAACTTAGAGGGATATTGGAGCGTAAAATTAAATTAGGGTCAAACACACCGTAACAACAACTTAGACACCCCCTCGAGAGATGAATGTTGCCGACCGCTTGCTTCTCTAGTTATACCAACTTTAACTTTAGTAACGACCTTGTCTTTTTGTCCAATAACCCCTTTCTTTCTATCATTACTTCATTATTAGTTTTATTCTATTGCAGTCAGTAGGTTATCTGTGGACCTCGTCTCTTAGTGTAGCAGTTGTAACAAGTGAATTTCACTCATCTATAAAGTGTTTCTTAATCTGCAAGTCAGGATAGAGCAGGCCCTTATTGTGCACCAGTTAACATTTCCAAAACAAAATGAATATTTACATGCTTTTAAATCTTTATACTTGTGTTCAATAATATTTATAAATTAACAGGAGTAAAGGAGAGTAAACAGGTAAGGAAACTGGGAAATAAACAGGTGAGCGAACAGGGGGCGCCATTGTCCATTTTATTTGTTACCACTAAGATTTGTACCAAAATACAACAAACTAGCTGTACTTTGAGACATCCATGTTTTAAACTAAATATATCTTAAAAAGCTTACGTTCATAAATGATGTTTATACTAACTCTAGTGTGATTATATCATCAAATGCGAGTTTTCTCACGTCACTTTGTTTACCTAAAAACAGCCTAGCTTCCAACTGTGGGTTTACCCATGATGCTTTGCTGCCGCTATATAAACCCCCGTCCTGCTGCTTCTCCTCTCAGACTCGCTGCTGACCAGCGAAGAAGTAACCACAGTTTCTGTCCTCCTCTGACCAACAGCCGCTCCGAAGCCTTCTACTGTAACGAAGGTTTACCTCGACTTACGAATGGTGAACCTGTCTGTGGAGTTTTTATCGAACAGTAACTGTTTTAGTTGTCAAAAAGGAGCTAAAGACCCGTGTTTCCTCGAAGCTATCATGCTGAACACCGAGGAGAGGTAGGATGATGATGATGATGATGATGATGATGGTCATTTTGTGCTGGAACTATCGAGAACAGATGTTAACGGTCATTTCTCCAAAAAACAGTTAAACAAACAAGAGCAGGCTGTTTGTTTTAGTGAGTGAGGGGCGAACTGGTTAAATAAAAGGTTAACCGTTTTATTTTACTCACTTTAAGCAGGAGAAAATAACGACAAAGTGTGAAAAATATCAGTAAAAACTAAGACTGTGTGTGAACTTGACCTGCAGGGTTTGTGTTTGCAGAGTGATATCAGGATCAGAGTTAGTTGACTCACTGTTTTTCTGCTGTTTATGCACTGACACAGTTGAACACCTCAGAGAAGTTCAGACAAGAGTTGCAGAACATTGTAAAAGTGAACTCTACTTAACTAAAAAAACCATCTTTTGGCATGCTGTGAGTGTACAAAAGCTTAAGTTGGAGGAAGCTGTGGTGCTGAATGTGACGGTCTGGTTATTACAGGAAACTTTTCCCCCTTTAACTGTCACTTCTTCTTCCGGGAACCTTGAAGCTGTTTTTAAATGCCAGAGATAATACGGCTGAACCAGCAACTTTTTTTCCTCATATTATTGCACTGTGTTCATGACTCATTGGTAATCTGCAAAATGGCTACAGTTGGCAAAAAACAAATAAATGAAAAATTCACAAAGTGAGCAACAATCCTAACCTTATGAGACATCAATTTGCTGGATACCAACAGAGAAAAACTGGCATATCACTTACAGTCATGATACCTGATATGATTCACATCCAAAATGCAATCTTTACAACCGGTGCAGACATAAGTAATAGACTAGCTGTGTTTACAGATTGGTTTCGGACGTTGAAGAGACGTGCAGATCAAGTCAGTATTGGGTCGGTCCGTCAAAGACCACATCTAGACGTCAGTGCGACGTGCAAAATAGATTAGAAATTTGGACATCCAAATTGGACCTTCTGATGTTTCGAATTTGGACGTCATCTGAAGACCAAATCTGGACGTCGGATCCAAGATTTAGAATTATTACTGGACCTCATTTAGACGTTAAAATGACGTCCACATTTCTACCTTATCGTCGGAAAAATACGTTAATAGATGTCATTTCAACGTCGCATTTCGCAGTCGCGAAAGAAGCAAACCTTGTCTTGGTCTGGTTGAGTTTTATCAAAGGGTTGTCATAGTTTTTAAACATTTTCTTACCTCCAGAAATAAAATAATCTTATTTTTGAAATGTGCGGTGAAAAGGTGAACCCTCAGGCTAAGATAAAAACAATAAAAAAAGTATGACTAAGGTGCCCATTTCCAGACCCTGTGCTCTTAAAAAACGTGAGAGTCTATTCCAACTATTCAGAAAAGTATAATAATGAATAATTGAGTTTATAATTCGTCATAACCTCACTCACAGTTCACCACTGAGGTGATGTTTTGTCCTGCTGTCTGTACATGTTGTTCTGAACCAGGTGGTGGTATAATGTCGCCCTCATTTTTGCAGAGTTTGACCTTTTCACACCATGCAGAAGCAGTCGAATCATGACATATGCTGCAGGTGCTGTTTTTTTTATACTAATGCTCTTCCTGCTGTGTTGTCAAATAGTCCCATAGGGAGATTTGGTGTCTTTGTTGAAGTAATATGTCTTCTGTTCGGTGATGCAGACTGAGACCCCCTGCAAGGATACATTGCAGTGTCTGTGTTTTCTTTCGTTTTGTCTGTCTGTAACAGAGGCACACACTTATTTTTGTCCTCCTGTGGGTTTATCATCCGACATGCAGGGAGGGGGGGAGGCTCCATTGATGCTGTGTGCCAGAGCAGTGACTATATTAGCTCTCTGAGTGTAATGGCTCTGTCAGCTGAAGGCATCAACTGGCCTACATCAGCCCCGCTTACATAACCACCTCTCCTCCTCTCCTCTCCCCTCCCGTTCTCTCCTTGTGCACTTCTCAAGCATCAATGAAATCTGTTTGTGTGTGTGTGAGGAGTACAGGCAGTCAGTCAGAAACAGCTGGATTATCCGACCTGAGTGTTAAGAGAATAAGCCTCCCCTTTAACTGACTGTCAGACTGATCTCTTCGGAGAGAGTCTCGATCAGAGCGCAGGGAATTGTCTTACGTAACGAAACCAGAACATTAACCTTGTAGTGTTTCACCTGACGGAGGAGTCATCACTTCAGCAGCAGACTGCAGGAGGAGAGGCTGCAAACACTTTCCCAGTTAGTGACAGACTGAACAAAGACGATCACTCTGACCTCGTGCTGCAAAAAAACAAAACTGCATTTAAGGCGTCATTGCACAGTGAACACAGTGTAAAAGACTGCTTGAAATGCATTAGGAATAGAACAAAACATTGCACTGTGCATTCACACCTTGCATATTTGAATACATTGGCCATGTATCCAAAACATGAGGTCGTTTAGATGAAGACTCAGCTGTATCTGCCCCCTACTCCTAGGTTAATTGGCTTTAACCCTGAGGTGGCTCTAAGGTCAAACTGACAGGATGGCTGCAGCAGGAGAGGAGAGCCAGGAAAATTAGCTGGAAAGAAACTCTTATGAAGAAAAAGGACAATACTGATTAAAAGTATTATTTTGATGCAGAGAAAACCTACACTTTAGACAGAGGTACTTCTTTAAAACAAAAAAAAAAAAACAAAGACTATGCATGCTGAAAAAACTATCAACTTTTGATCGTTACCATATTGAATTAGAAAAAACAATCATTAAAATTAGGTTAAAATATTGTAATGACAGTTTACAAAGCACAAAATGTATAAAACAGTCACTTTGGGGGAATTTACCCATACTGTAGCAATAAAATATTAAATCTTCAGTGTGTAGAAAGGAGATTCTTTATCTTTTAGCAAAATCTAGCTGTCATATCTGTGATCGAAATGCTCCTCTGCTCACCACCCACACATCAAGATCTGGAAGTTCTTGTGATTCACATCTGATCCTCGATTTGTCAAGTTTTTATCAATCAAAAATGTCGACCAAAAAAACTCTCTTGAGCCAAACTGACACTCTCCTCTTCTCTGTCTCCTAATGGATGCATTTTGAGCCACTTACAAAAACCTGCTCAGTGTCTGTTTGTTTGTTTGTTTTCGTGCTACTTTAGAAACTTGGTGGTGCAAGATAGTAGCCCTCTGTAGAAAAATACTCGCTCCTACTGCGTAAGAAAATAGCTGCTTTGCTGTAATCCCATACATTAACATATAAATGTTCATTAATGCTTATTGTCCCATTAAAACAAAAAATAGTAATTATAATAAATCCTTAACCTGTGTGATATAAGGGCTCATGCAAAGGCAAATTCAAATTCAAAAGGAGTTTTAGTTGATGGCATTTTGCAAAATGTCACTAAATACCACACTAGGGCTGGGCGATAACTGGAAATTTACCGAGACCAAAATTTACTACAACAACCGACGTCATTTTGCCCATTTTTGGTATAGTCGGTGTCAAAAAATATATCAATAAAAGTTGGTTGTGGATGTGCCTAGGTAGGCTATGTCTCTTTAAGACGCTGTCCCAAGTCGGAGACGTCCGTAACAAAGAGGCAAAGACAGGTGAGGAGATGGAAGATGGTTCAAAAGTTGTAGCGGCTTCCTGTTAGCTCAATTGTTTTTTTTCATGTATGATGGGCGTGTCTATCTCAGTCAAGCAAACCTTATAATTCCCCCTGATGAACACAAACAGCTGATTTGTTTTTGTTTTCAATCTCTCTCAAAGTTATGCAATAAACTCGTTGGCAACTGCTGGTGCCATCCGTCAGAGTACAGTGTAGTAGACAATTAAGCGCCGTCACCCACCCAGTGCCTGCCACCACAGACAGCTCTGTGCCAGACACACCCTTCCCGCTGTCTGATGAATGCTTTGACCGCATTTCCTGACAAAGCCAATGTTTTCAAAACAAGCAAAAGGCATGTCGGCTCAATGCTGCGTCTGTAAGACAGTGAATTATGATGTTGCTCTGCTGTTGGGACTCGTCCCTCATTTTGATGTCATACTTGTATTTATTGTTACCACATGCTTACCAAAGTCTGCCAGTGCCGACAGAACCAGAGCAGATTAAAGCAGCGTAGGGAACAGATTTGACAAGCCACAGCCGGCCTAAAAGTCAAATTAGTGCTGCCAAATTGCAGAGACTTTTGGGTTTAATTTTGACGTTGGCCCTCCAGTGCTGTCAGATTATTATGCAAGAACATCAGTTAGAAACTCCCTAATGTGGTCACACTTAACACGTGCATTTTTGGAGTCCAGCGCTTTGGGGGTTTACTCAAAAATAAATTCCTTCAAATCTTTATTAAGGGCCTGAAAATGTTACTAAACTGCAGTGGCATGAAGAAGCACTGAGACGAACCAAAGCACTCAGTGAAAACAACTGATAATAAATGGAATAGAGATGATTTCACCAGAAATGAGGGTCCATACTTCGATTTTCTGTTTAAAAATGCTGTATTTCCATTGAAGGGATTGCGCCCTGCATTTTATTTACCCGTCTAAAGCTGAATAATCGAAAACTCTGCCTTGTTAATGGACGAGCCAGAGCTTTTGTTTTCATGTACTCCACTGAATCAATATTGATCTTACAGACGAAGTTTTAGGACCAACATTTGTCCTGTGCTTGTTTGGAGATCTCGCACCGAAGCTCTTATTTTGTTTAGACCGGTTCAGTCGTTTTCATTGTCTTCTGTTTGTCTGCAGAGCTGAGCACATTTACAGTTTGGCCCCGGGGTCTGAATGGGGATTTAACAGGGGCGTGTCCAGCCACACTAAGGTTTCGGAGCACGTGTGCCTTTCCTGTTTCTGTCTCGGCATCTTTTCCGACCTGCTGCTCTGCCAAACCCCCAGAGGTCAGAGGAGGTCTGAAGACTCTCCTGTTTATTTCCTGCTTACAGGAACCTGATGTTTACATCAACAGCTTCAGCACTTTCACAAGTGCTATTTGGAGAGTGTAATACTCTTATATCTGTTTACAACTTTGGTTTAAATTGAGTCTCTTTTTACATTGCTAAGCTGGTAATTATAGTGTTGGAAGTAGGTTTATGTTTCAGTCTTCTTGGAGAGCCTACCACAGCACTTCCTGTTTTGGATGAGTCGTGTGTATCTTGGCTGTCGACCAAACTCAGCTCCAACAGCGAGGGCCAACCCCGGCCCGATCGTCCGCGTGAAACAATCCACCTGAACCGGTTCTCAAAACAACTCCCAGCTAAGGAAGTGAAAACTGGAAGTGGAAGCGTTCATCCTCAGGAATCACAAAAAAACATTTCTCCTTCGCTCACCCCTCCTCGCAGGATGGGACGATGACGCACTTGGCATCTTCGAGCCTCATTGCAAAAACAGAGATGATTAAATCATCAGCAGCAACAGCAGCAGCAGCGTGTTAATACAGCCCTGACTTCTCAGTGTGCTCGGCCTTCATGTTGCTGCATGTACTTTTTCACACCCATCAGGTCGACCTTTTTGAAAACCTAACCTATATTCTGTTTTTAGTGCTGCGACCTCGTGACCTATCATGGGGGTCTAAAGGCCGCAGCTTGAGTGGCATCATGGGACGAGCAGGGAGGGGAGAGGCGGGGAGGGCTGCTTGGAGTGTGGCTGAAATGTCAGAGGACCAAAGTGTTGCCTTTCAAAACAAGCTGGCATGCGGTCAAGGACGAGCTCTTATGTCTCTCTCTCTCTGAATAGGGAAGATGGAAAAAGAGAGGGAGGTCTTGACATCTTATCGAGCGTGTTTATCTGTCTCCATCTGTGTCCAACCTGTTGTCCCCGATCCAGTCTCTATCAGGTTTGTTTATGACACAGAAATCAAAGGAAACTCTTGGCTCTCTCGACTCGTCTCTGTGTGCTGCCAACATCCTCCTCCTCCCTACAAGCATCGGTTTGGGAAGCTTGTCACTGATACATATTTTAAGTTTTGTCTCCTGGGTAGGGCTGGGCGATAAACCGTGTGATGACGCTCGGCTCAAACAGCGTATCCCCCGGGTGGGCTACGCAATCTTCGTACGCCCATAGGCTGAATCAAGTGTCAATCATAGAAAAGATGAACCCCCTAATAACTTTTAAAAACGGAGATTCACAGAAAAAGAGGACTTGGGCACGAGCCAGTCTGACAGTAACTACATGTCAACATCACAACCAGGGGGGAGAAAAATTTATGTTATATAAATTTCTAAAGTTGGTCCACATCTCCATAAGCTTTGCAAGCAGAGGCAGGATTTATGACCTATACTGCAGCCTGCCAACAGAGGGTGCTGTTCTCGGAGTGGCTTCACCCAGCGAGGAGGCAGACGGCGTCTATTCTATATACAGTCTATGATTTAACTGCACTGCTGTTACTGTTCCGGTTATGGAGAGTGAGAAGACACCGGTAGATCCACGGTGAATGTCCGTCGAATATCCAACCTAAAATTTGACCGCGGTATTCACATGAAAAAACATTTGTTGCCTCGGCTCATTTTTCTATGCGCACATGTGCCCGTAAATACGTTTTACAATTCGCACACATCTATTTTAAGTCACAAATGCGAGTGAAACAGACGCACTGTCGAGTTATGTGTGTGAAGGTAGGCTATGGTCTAGACGCTGTCCCACTTTAGAGACGTGACTCCACCCCATCCAGTCCGTGACAAAGAGGGAAAGACAGGTGAAGAGATGGAGGACTGTTCAAAAATTGGAGCGGCTGAAGTAGACGAAGTTAATGTGGGAGGGGGTGAGCAGCTTGTGGAGTAGTTATTGTTATTGATTTGAGGCCATATCGCCCAGCCCTACTCCTGGGCTTTGCTTCTTTGTCTCTGCTGATCCATCATGCATTATTTTTAAACATATTCTGCATGTTTGCAGTGAGTGAGTAGAATGGTTCTGTTCTCTTGTGCAGTTTCATCAAACTAAAGGAGAATCTCTTTATCCTCTCTCTCCAGCTCGGCTAATTTTGCACCAGTCAGCTCCGTGTCATGTGACAATAAAGACAGCAGTGAAGCAGTAAAAGACAGTCAAATCTTTATTGAAAGTTGTTTGACGTCACGCTAACATTTGATTGTTTATGCACGCATCGGCTTGTGGTGGATAAGTAATAAAATCATGTTTGCTGGAACATTTGGTATTCAAACTAAGATCAACAGCTGCTTTTTACAGCAGAAACTCAGGTAAGGTATGAAGTTGAAGAAGGAGAGGTGCTTTTTTCTTTCTAAAACTTCCTGATGAGACGGGGAAAGAGTGCGTGCAGTCGCTGCTGCAACATGAACATGCATAATGAGCTTTGTTTTCCATTGCTCACCCTCTTGGCTCGTATCTATGCAGATCAAGTAGCCCAGGTTACCTGTTGGCTCTGGAGGGAAAATGTGGCACATGACTGATAAACCTGCCGTCTATTAGGTGACAAACAAACCTGTCCTCCTCGCTGGTTCAGTTCCAGATTGTGAGACAGTGTGAGGTGTCAAATTACAATAATGTGTAGAAGTCTTGGGGCCGACTGTGGAGGATATTGACTCATTTAAAGGTTAATATTTGACATCATGACAATCCCCAGCCGTCATGTCCAGGCCTGTCTGGTATCGTAGGCCAGCTGCCATCGTGTCTGCTTTAAGATGCACGACTGTAACTCAAAACGCTGAAGATGTGTGTTCCCGAAAGCCTCTCTGAGCTATTTGCAGAGGTGTTTACAGATCATGTGCTTGTTTATGATGCATGCCTTCCACCTCACGCACAACCCCGTCAGGAGCCTCCTGAATGCTGTTGTGTGGGACTCTGGTCATAAACAAAAGTCTCTGTGATGGATTTCCAGCAGAGTCAGCGAACTGAAACTTTGTTTAATTCAGTCGTTTTCAGAGCGCGTCCTCATCACATGCTTATTGGTTTCGTTTACGTAAAATGATACGAGTTTGTTTAGACTGTGAAAATAAAGAAACCTATATTTAGCCAAAAAAGAAGAGCTGGACCAATCAGGTTCAGGTTTTAGTTACAGTGAGTCTGTCGTTTTTTGGAGTGAGAAACTTGAAAAGACACAAACATGACAAAGTTTTAATAAAATCAAAGACTTCAGAGGCTGCACTTCTTATTACATGTTCTTTCTGTTATGAACTCATCATAAAATTGCACTTAAAGCCGTTGGATTAGTGCTGCACTTCTACAGCAAAAAAACTGAGAGATCAGCAACTCGTGCTACAGTCTCACTTCTGCCTTTTGAGTTGTAAATTCCCTGAGGGCTTTTCTGGTGAGCACACGCGAGCCCTGTTTACACTCACGGCTGAATGCATAGGCTCTAATTAACCCGCTGAGAACATCTGCAACCATGTTACACATTTGCAGGATTGAATTGTGTATTTATCACGAGGGATGGGAATCACTAGTGGCCCCACGATATGATATTATCATGGAACTTTGGCCACGATACAATATTATTGCGATTTTTTAAAAAACATTTTGCGATACAATATATTGCGATTTATACAAATTTTTCAACTGTTGAGCTAATTTAGCATTTGTCTTTCCTTTATGTTTGTTTTGTTTACGCTGTACATCTTGCAAACCTTGTATTTGTCGTACTAACTTTCTCCTGCTCTATGATGTCACCTCTGCCAACCTCACCGGACAAACAGTTGATTTCATTTTTCTGTTGTTATAGATTTGTTTTCATGTTAGCAATTAATTTGTATCGGAGTGCTGATATCGGAGATTTAAGATGCAGGCCGATATAATCAGATATCCGTTTTTTTTTTTTTTTTTTTTTTTTGCAGATACCAGACCGATATCCAATATCAATATCGTATCAGGACACCCCTAGATATATCGCCAAACAAAATATCGGGATACTATACTGTATCGATGATATCATGGTACTATACTGTATCGATGATATCATGGTACTATACTGTATCGTTGATATTGTGATACTATGCTGTATCGATTATATCGTGATAATATGCTGTATCGATTATATCGTGATAATATGCTGTATCGATTATATCGTGATACTGTGCTGTATCGATTATATCGTGATACTATGCTGTATTAATTATATCGTGATAATATGCTGTATCGATTTTATCATGATAGTATGATGTATCGGTTATATTGTGATACTATGCTGTATTACTTTCTGTTCTTAAAGTCAGTTCTTAGATGCACTGAGGTCTGTTTATAACAAACTTGAACCTTCGCAGGTTTCAGGTTTCTTTATCTCAAAGCATAACAAGGGTTTTGAATGCCCCCCCGATACGGCCGAAACAAAGGATCTTGGCTTCCATGTTTCAATAATTTCCTGAATTTACAGTTTTATTAGAGTTGCGAGGGGGAGAAAAAGGAGCCTGCAAAGTTCAGTTCAGTGACTCTTAGACTCCTGGAAACAATGATTCAACCCCTCAACAGCTTTTGAAGCTGCCAACACCAACAGTGTGGAAACGGTTTAGCTTAACAAACTTGGCAGCGAGTTTTGCAGGAAGTGTACGGTCAGTGTGCACCAGGAGCTCGTAAAGCCTCTTTATGAATCTGCTGGGAGAGAAAAAGTGGATTCAGCTGACCTGAGAGGAGTTCAAATGTCTTTTGCCTTTGGGTTTGTAAGGTCAACACATAAACAACACAATGTCTCTGTAATGTTGCACTAGGGATGTTGTTGGCTTGTTGCAGCGTTGTCTTTTCCGAAGACAAAGAGAAAGTTCAAAAACTGTTTTTTTAACTTTAGGTCAAGTGCAAAGCGAGTAACCTCTTCGTCTCTCTCCTCTTACAGTTCGTGGTTAGCTGGGTCTCGGCTGACCAGCTCCATCCCTCAGTCTCCAGGGCCTCTGTGGTGCTCCTGATGCCCCTCACCCACTACTGAAGATCCCGGGTGGGCGAGGGACGGTCAGGGATCACTCTCTCGGCGTGCTACTACACAAGGTGACTGTCTCACAGAAACACAAGAGGCTCCATGGTGACAGTCTCAGCACCACAATATCTAAACAGGGATATACACATTTTTGGAGATTAAATGAATTTGATGAGATTGATGGTTTCGCAGATTAATAGCAGCAGAATGAAAGCCTGCACGTGTTCTGCTTCACTGAGAGCACTTAGGGTAATAATTATGTCAAGTGCTTCTCCTCCACAATGAGTTGTACCCTCACTCTAAGAGCTTTAGAACCCTTTTAATCCGTCTGTGAACTCTTTCTGTGCACCTGCAGTGGATTCAATTCATTCATTGATTCACCAAAGTTCCTCTGAGCCAGTTTTGTTAGGTGGCGTTTACGAACACGGTAAAGAACATCCCAAAGTTCTGAAGTAAATATCTGCGATTGATAAACGTCTGCAGCGCTGTGTGTGTTTTCGCATGTGCACACATGTCAGCTCGTACCCCAGACATGTGACTGACTGTCCCGAGGAGATTTAGAGATTTAGGATCAGACGGATCAGTCACAACTGTCATATCGACGTCCTCATCTGTCCTCAGCAAGCGAGCAAGACCAACCTCTGTCTGACTTTAATGCTCTTTCAGATTCAAACTCTTTCCCTAGGGCTGTGCGATAAACCGAAAATTTACAGATACTGAAATTTACGACAAATATTTATGTCATTTTGCTCCCTACAAGCATCGGTTTGGGAAGCTTGTCATAGATACATATTTAAAGTTTTGTCTCCTGGGTAGGGCTGGGCGATAAACTAAACTTTACCAATATTTACAACATTAACCGCATCATTTTGCCCATGTCGGTTTATTCGGTGTCAAAAAAATAAATAACTATGTTAGTAGGTAGGCTATGGTCAGAGGACAAAAGTTCTGGCACAACTTCGCCAACTTCTGAAGTGTTTAGAGGGAAAAAAGGCCTTGAAGGGATCGAAAGAGCTCCAGCAACACTTGTAGGAAACATCGACCAATGCGTTTTGCCCGAAAGTGTCAAATAAGGCGGTTTTCCTGAGCTACAAGTGTTGCTGGAGCTCTTTTGTTCCTTGTTCCTTCAGACATCCAGTCTGTAACAAAGAGGGAAAGACAGGTGAGGAGATGGAGGACGGTTCAAAAGTTGTAGCGGCTGAGCATCTTGTGGAGTAGTTATCGAGGTGAACTGCTCAATATATCGCTATATTTATTTGAGGCCATATCGCCCAGCCCTACTCTTTCTTCACTGACTTTTTAAACCAACCATAGCTCGCTCCTACAGAGTGTAAGTCGATGTTGGTATGACTGCTCTATTATTTCACGTTTCTTTTAGAGTAAACGCAGACTCGCAGCAGCAGCAGCAGCAGCAGCAGCAGCAGCTGTATCTCTTAAATAATCAGCAAACGCGTGAACCGCTGCAGGGCGCCAAACGAGGCAGGAAACAAAGAGGCTACTCATTTATAATGTGGACTTCAGTGCTGTTGACACAGAACTCGTGCTAAGCTGTCACATGCATTCAGAGAAAATCATATGCCAATATAACAGTAAGTTGATAAAGACGGAGGTCAGAGGAGATAATAGTTACAAGACAGGACTCCTCTGCTGTCGACGTGATCCTCAACGCTGCTGCTGCTTCTTCTTCAGGATGCCCAGATGACTGTAACCACTTCCTCTTTGACCTTCGCTCCTCTAACACAGCTTCCTCCTGACTGGACACAACGTTCTCTATCTGGTTTATTCACTTTTGAGTTCCTGTTGTTGGATGTGTACACCTGAACTCGCTAATGCAGTGAAGTTAATGACAGAGCACATGTTTTAACAGCTGAACGTCAATTTCACTTGTTTTATATTTTAATCTGATAATGGAAAAGTTTAAATCTGCTTCTGTAATCTTTAAAAGTAGAGATTACTTTGCAGAGAGACTAAATGGATGACTTTGATTTATAAATCAGAGTTTTCTGATCACAGCCTGTTCTTGTTCCAGTCTGAACATAATCCTTAAAAAGCAAAAAAGTGATGAGAGATAAGACGAATCTTTCCAAAAGTGAACATCAGTTTAGGATTAAACCGTTGACCTTTAAAAGAATCTGTCAAAGACGAAGTTTTAAATCACAGCAGTCAAAAAGCATGAAGCATATCTAAGAGTCGCTGAATTTAAAAGTGAAAACTCGACGCAGACATTTGATATCATCCTAAACTTTTACGCATGATCCGTCATCACTACCGCAGCTACAAAAATCCACTTCATCTCCGATTCTTTGCTCCATTAACCAGATGAATGTGTCTGTCTGTCTCATCTGTTATCATTCAGGATGAAAAGTTAACAGTGACGCAGGGCGCTCCAGGGAGTGGGAACCCCTCTATTCTCCGCTTCCATTACCAGCTAAGCGAGCGCCGCTCGGCCTTCTGGGATACAGCTCTATCAGGAGACAGCTTGTTCCTGGAGATCCCCGCTGGGTCGCTCGTGGAGGGGAGCAAGGAGGGGTAAGACCCTCAGTTTGAAAATCATGAGACCTTTTTTGACACAGTGTTTAATTGGGCCAGACCGATATGGATTTTTTGGGGCCGATACTGATGATTAGGGGGGAAAAATCTGATTACCAATGAATCGGCCGATTTTTTAAATTTTTTATGAAGTTATAAAAAATATATATAAACTGTAGATATACTGTAGGCTACTGCTCTTCACGCCGACAGGAAGACTGACTGATCAAACTTGGACCAGAAAAGCGTTTTCAACCCCCGCCCCGCCGATCGGTGCCTCCGCGTCTTAACTCACGTTACTCATTTCCAGTCCGGTCTCATCTGGAGACATGCAGCTGCCTCAGTAAGAGAAGTAGCTCGATCACTTAATGTGTACTGATGTTTATTCTACCGTTACTGGCACGGCTAACAGTGTAGCAAGGCTAATAGCAGGTGGCTAACTCTAACTTTGGTGCTTCACCGTTAACTCGGTGTGACCGAGACCAGCACAGCGGGGAACATGGTGAAGTGGGTCAAACTGAAACTTGTTGACTTATTTCACCAACTGGTTTATTTCCCGTTGAGGCGGACCACTCTCCTCCGTGCGTCCCTGAGCTGCCTGCTTCAGATCCGTCACTCTGCTGTGCTGTGAGGTAGTTAGTGCATGAAGATTGTCATGAGGTCGCTGCGCCATCTACAACATTTTCGAAGTGAAACCGAATCTTATTCTACGCATTTTATTTCTGAAAATATCTGCAGAATCGGCAAGTTTGGCCGATTACTGATTAGTCTCAAACAGGCTAAAATTGGTCGATTTGATCGTCTCGCCGATAAATCAGTCGTGCCCTAGTGTTTAATAACGATAGTTACACTGTTATTTACGGTGCAGGGTTTGTTCATGAACGATTCGGACTCCAATCCTGCAGAACCGCCGTCTAAACCCACAGAACCAGTTTAATATTAACATGAGAGAGATGTATGTCGCCTGTTCTTCCCTTTGAATGAATGAATAATCTCGTTTAGTTCTGCTTTTCCTCACCATAAACAGACACTGCTGATTCAAATATCAGAAATTCACTGGTACATCATTAGTCTGAACACCTTTTGGGTCTCCATTGTCCTCCAGAATCTGTTTGCGTGTCAGTCAAAATGAGCGCTAATCATTTTCCCGGCGTTGTGTTTGAAATCGATGTCGGGCCTCAGTAACCTCTCCCGCTGCAGGCACAGAGCCCACACCGTGGTATGAGCCGCCGCCGCTGCTGCAGCTGCCACTGCATTATTATGTAAAGTTGCAGCTCTTATGTAAAGAGAAAAAAATAAAAAAACTTTGTGCGTCATCATCCCGCTCTCTGTTCACCGGCTGACTCTCTCTCTCCCTCTCTCTCTCTCTGTGTCTCTCTATCTCTGTTCATGTCCTCCTCAGGCTAACGGCTCTGCTCGAGTTCGCAGAGGAGAAGCTCAAAGTTAACTACGTGTTCCTGTGGTTCCATAAAAACAGAGAGGATCGATGTAAGTTCTTATTTTAACGTTACAAAAATACATTTTAGAGGCAGTTTTTTATACTGAACTAAAAGCAAGAACAAGTTATCTGTGGACCCAGTCAATAGTAAGGATTTTTCCCTGATATAGAGTGTTTTTATGCCGGGATTAACCAGCTACGGCGCCCAGAGGCCAAACGCTATTGTTGGGTTCCTGTTGACTGAGCGGTGCTCTGCGTTTGGACGAGCAGAAAGAGAGGCAGCGGCAGTTAACAGCTTTCTCAAAAGTCAGCAAATAATCCCGCCAACACAACGCCTCGAGGCCTCATGACCTAACATGTTGGTGATTGTCATTCCTGCACAAACTCAAACGTTCAAACAGGATTTTAAAGCTTTCCTGGAAACTGAGCGCAAGAACAACTCAAACACCATCCAGCTCCTGCTACGAGACTTAAGAGTCTGAAACTTATCGCCACTTTTCTCAGCTGCTGTTTACGAAACCAACAGGATATACCCCTCTGTGTAATAACAATTTACATGACAGAGCTCTAACTACATGTTTATCTTCTGGTTCAATACCAAAATGATACCTGAGTGTGTGAGATCATGTGTGGTGTGATCCGTGAGTGTAGTTATTATGTTAATACCATGTTTTGATGATACTCCAAAGAGCGTCATGAGAGGCAGCCTGTGAGTTTGAGTGACGAAGTCTGGAGAAGTGGTCAGAGATAAGTGAAGACTGCTCTGTCCACAGGGGGCGCCAACCTTGACTCAAACTTTAAAATTACTCCTGCGTGATGTATCTTTTTTTTTTTTTTGGCATATTGCCGCCCCTGTTATACTTTCCTAAAATCCGTCTCTCTAGGGGTAAAAACTCGGAACTCTGCTCAAAAAACATCTAAAAAGTCGCGGGGGATTCATTTTCCAAAATATAGGAAATGGCAAATTGGCAAAATATGATATGATTATTAATAATCTGCATTTTTCAGATCAAACTGAAAAACTAATTTGTTATTTAATAAATACACAAACTGGGTTTTTAATCAAATTCTGTTTTTAGAACTTTTTTTGTGAAATAATGATTAAGGTCCTCACGCACGGGGGCCGACGCAAAATTAGGAAATATTCAGAGGCGAATTTTGACGTGCCTGACTAAACACATCAAGCGCGGTGAGATTTTGCAACAGCAGACTGTTTTCAGTTCTGATTAGACCAGATAAGAACATTAAACTATAATCCATAAATGTAAGGTAACAACCGAGACCTAACGGTGCTGCGAAAGCAACGCAAATTGAGTTTGAGACAGTGAAAATACATATGGTATGTTGTATTTTTTTTCCCGTCCTGCGATATTAAGGCATTTATTTTTTCGTATCACGCTCGATTTTTCCAACGTTTTTATTGTCACTGTGCAGAAAAAGCAGGGAGCATCGTGTGCAGCTGATCTGAGACCCTCCATGTTCCTGCTGTCGATCCTCTGACCTTCTCTCACTTCCCTCCTCAGTGTCCATCATCAAGACGTTCCACTACATGGGCTTTGAATTGGTGAAGCCGGGTAACCCCATGGTACCCGCCCGGCCCGATCTGGCCTTCATGGTTTACTCTCTGGACAACAGCAGCTCAGACGAGGAGTGACTGCCACACAGGCTCCTGACACCTCCCTCACCCACCCTGACTCCCCTCTCCCTCCCTCCCTCTCTCCTCCCCCCTCCAATAGAAACACCGTCTGCCTCGATGTCGCTCTGACCCAAACCCAACCTTCGGAATCGTTCATCACTGACTGGGAGGTGTCTCTCTCTCTCTCTCTCTGTCTCTCTCTTTGATTTTTGTTAAATAGACTTTGTGATTTAAGGAGGTGTTTTTAAAGCGGTAGGATTCCCAAATGACGCAGACACAGACCCCCGCCTCCCTCCTTCTCTCCCCCTCTCAGAGGAAAACTGCAGATCGGAGAAACGAGGAGCGGCGTAGCTTGAACTGAGACACCCACCCCCGTGCATCGTTTTATTTTTCTCTTCTTGCTTTAGTGATTCCTTCTTCTCCATCATCTGTTTGTGCTACCGTCAACAGGACACAGGAAAACTCTGCATATCTCTCCTCTGACAGCTTCAACCTTCGTAGGAAAAGAGACTTTGTTTTTTTTTTGTTTTTTTGTGTTTTGCTGTAAAACATGCAAGCGGTGCAGGATGGGGTTTAAAAGAGGAACTTTCTGGGTTAGATTTTAGCCAAAATCATGTTTTTGTTTTCTGATATAAATGATGGTGAACGCCTGATGTGTTACATTTATCCTTAAACCGTTCTTGACAGTTCTTCCTGATCTCTGTTAAGGTATCATTCCAGCACATGTCATACACTCTCTGTTGTTTTTCTGCTCTTATCTGCCCAAAACAGCCTCCACTTCTGCGTATAAAAATACCCCCGTTAGTTCCTGTGTCACGGCTGAGAAGCGGCACACATGTCGAGCGTCGCAACGAGGAAGCTGCCAACTCGCTGAGGAGGCAGATATCTTCTACCGCCTCTGAGTAATGATCGGCCATGTGTTGTTGACGGGCCGAGGAGGACACAGCCGCTCTGTTTGTTGTTTTCATGTTACCCATCACGTGTAGAATCGAGCGCTTCGAGATCGAAAGAGGAACTCGGCGCGTCGTTTCTTCGCATTAAAACGACGTTTGAAGTTAGTGAAGCCGAAGCCCCGGTTTGAACCTTTCACGAGTCACATTCAAGTCGAGCTGAGAGTTCGTTTGAGCGGAAATAAATAAGTAATGATTGTTGAAAACATGCGAAGGTTGTTAGACAGCATTCATGACTGACCTGAGGGTGTTTCCAGCATCCTGAGAGAATCCATTTAGTCGCTTACATAACAAGAAAGATTCGAACCCGTCCCTAATTTGTCGCTAAATTGAGATGGTGAGACACGCTTGTTCCACACGAACTAAGAAACCTGCTCTGAAGCGTGAAATTTAGATAATCACAATTTTGATATTCATCACTTGATCTGAAACAATCGAGTTTTTTCATCCTGGAAATATTTTCATAACAATGTCAACCTCTGTTTTACAACCTTCTGGGATTTTCCAAAGATCTCCGAACCGCCCTGTGACTGGAGGAACGGTCGAACACGAGAGACACACACTGAGCTCTGTGAGGCTTCATCGGTTTTATTCCCCTACGTCGGCTGAAAGCTCGATTAAAACGGGGCTTTTTGTGCCTAAAGAGAAGAGTGCAATGCTAATGATATATTTTTTTTTTTACTCTTGAGTCTTAGAGAGGAATGTCTCCCACATTTCATGCAGATTCAGACCCTTATGCGATGAGCTCATCAGAGGAGGGCGACAACAACAACGACAACAACGACAGCACTTCAGGTTTTTATCAAATATGCAAATCGCAGGAGGAGGAGTCCTGATTTCTGGTCTCGTGGTTTTTAGTACTTTGAACAAAAACGCCAAAGAACCCATCGTTTGTAAATCTTCAAGTCGTGCTTTTGGAATTCAGCTCATTTCAGCCCTAGTTTGGTATGTAAAGCAATATAAACCTACATTCCCCATGCCAGCCGTACTACCTGTAACACCTCAGAGTGCAAACATGATAGTGGACTGTTCCGTGTTGGTGTTGGGATGGGGTGGGGGCCTTCTTCTTCTTCTTCTTTTTTCTTTCTTCTTCTTTTTCTGCATGTGTTCAGAACATACGAGTCTTCATTGCTACTGATTGAGCCCTGACTATAAGCTGTTAGGAAATGTCAATATATGAATTTTTTTCTCAGAGGTATATTTTTATGTATGTATATTTCTCTAATGTTTACTGTGATAGTCTAGGGATCTATTTTTTGTTCTCTGTGACGATAGTTTTAGCGAACATTCAATGACAATCCACACTTGTATACTTTGGAAATTTTTGTCTTGGGGGGGGGGGGGGACAATAAAACTTGTTATCTAAGCGGCTGCTCTCTGTTTGGTTTGTCTTTTTCTTTTCTTTCCAGGGATACATGTGTGTCCCTGTCACATGCTGTCTCCGCTTGAGGCTCAGTGAAACGAGTTTAGCTGATTTGTTTTTACCAGAAAACGACCAAAAAGAACATCATGCTGCGCTGAGGTTATAAAACTGACCAAACCAAGCTCGTGGTCTTGGAATTTTGATAGTCACAGCAGCTGAAGGCCATGGAGGCTGAATTCGGTTTGGTAAAAGCGAAAGAAAATTGGTAAATAAGGGAAATAAACGTGATGGTTTTTTTTTAGTTTAGGGAAGTTATGTCTCAGCTGGTTGCTGACTCAGGCGTTAATCCCCACCCGGCTCAGCTCACAGCACATTAGAGCTCACCTCGGCCTCACGCCAAGGACTGAAACCTCCCGAGTCAGTTGATCTAGAGATCTATTTTCAGTGTCGGGCCAGGATGGACTCAGCTGGGCTTTATCTGTGTCTCTAATACAGACACAACCTGTTTTTAAACCTTTGTCGTGTCCCGAAGGAGGAGACACGTCATGTCAGTTTCTGTCTTTTTCATAACAAGCTGTAAAAACATGCACACCTTAAATGAAATAAGCAAGAGAAGAGAGTCTCCAACTTGGTCTGTTTGTCATCCTCAAAGTCATCCAACTTCAACATGCAAATAACCCTACCAAGTTGGTTCTTAAAGGCACAGTAAGGAACTTTCAATCTCATAATCTCAGGCCCGAACTACACGTATATGGATATTTATTTATCAGGATATTTTTGTTCTCCCGTCTAAATAAATGTATCTGTCCACACGTGTTAGTTCTCAAAAATATCTGCGTCCACACGTAGCCTTCAAACTCAACCCTATCTGGTACCGCTTAAAAACAAATCAGCAACAAAGCTAACTGATTGGCCGATGAATCGTAACAGCGTGATGCGTCATGCATTGTTTGCGGAAGCTACGCTAGTGTGGCTGACTGGTGGATGTAATTGTATAAATCAATGTTCACTTGCAAGGCTGAAATTAGCCCCAAAAGGGCAAAACAAACGTAAAGAATACCCTGTATGTCCGCCATCGTTGTTGTTGTTGTTTTTCTTTTGAATTCGCATGCGCGAGCTGCGGTTTGACGTCATCGATCCGTAAAAGTCCAATCCACTATCCACGAATCCACTATGGTTACGGGATACAGATATTTTTTTATTTCTCCACTTGTTTTTTCGGATTCAGATTTATCCAGTTTGAGTGCTCCAAACTCCCGTTTTGGTGCGGTAGGGAGGCCTAATCGGACATAAATATGTGCGGTTTGAAATATATCCACATTCGTGTAGTTCGGGCCTTAATATGAGAGTGGAGCTCTTTTGAGATCAGTGAAAACTCCTCACAGTGCCTTTAAACTTTCACCAGGTGAAGCTGGAACCCAAAGACATTCCTGAAGTGTTTACCTGCTCAGGTGAGTTCTTTCAGGGATCCTGCACTGTCAGGCTTCGACGGTATTAAACCTATTAAAAGGTGCTTCCCAATGGTAAAAATAGACGTCATGTAATCTATGAATGAAAGACATGAGTAAACAAAGAGAGAGATGTGTTTTTCTTCAAAACGAGTCAATGTTCTGTTTCTTTTTGCGTCATTGAAGGGCACCTAGACGAAGACGTCACCACACAACAGTGACAATCTGAAGTCCCTCACCAGAGTCGTGTCACTAATCTGCAGGACCAAAAGTCAAGAGGCAGATACTCCCCTCTGGCCTTAATCTGACGCCGAGGTTACATAAACTCACCTCAGATTGAGGCTGATTACGACATGATCTGCACCCACAGCGGGACGTTTCTCAGAAACTGCCTCTCTCCGTCCTGCCATCTCCGTTTCCTCTATCCGGTGAGCAGAGTTAAAACCAGCCAGTCAATGGCTAATCCGCTCTAAAGAGACTTACTCTGCTGGAGCCGCAGGATCAGCGCTCCAGTGGAAACCTACTTTTCTCTCATTCTGCTATTATCTCATCATGTCCTGACATACCTACAGCTGATGGAGTAATCCAAGAGATTCATGATGAGGCTGTTCTGTCACGCCACGAGATCTTTATCCTCAGATCGTATTCTTCATTATTCTGGGAACTTTCTTTCTTTCTTATGAGTGAGAATCAGAGATTTTTCCTCTAAATAATCTCCTCACAGTCGCTCTTTCTCCTCGTATGATCTTTCTTTGTGGATGGATCAGTGGGAACTTCAAATCAGTGTTTACATCTGCAAAATTTCTTGATCTGTTTAAAAATATGAGGGATCAGAAAACCCACTGTTGTTATCTGAATCCACTGTTTATATGGGTGCAAAATCAAATATCCGATCATGATGTTCAAGTTTTATTCAGATTAGAAGCGATGGACACGCGAAGAGTTGTCTGATTTTGCTAAAACAACCACAGAAGAAGAAGAAGAGTTGTATTTACGCCTGCGCTGTCAACAAACCAACAAACGCAGTAGTGGCTTCATTCAGGACTTTTTTCCCCTGTTAAATGTTGTCACTAGATGGCGCCCTCGCGTATTTGCAAAGGTTGCACCGTGTGTGCAGATGTGACATCATTACGCTGTGTGTACGCCATGTTATGCTGCGTTCGAGTTACCTCGGAAGTCAGAAGTCCGAGCTGAAAATGACGTCACACCCTAGTTCCCTAGTTACCAAGTCGGAAAAAAGCAAAATCGGAGGCGGAAACAACATCTACGAAAGTTATTTCAGCGCTTGCCTTGTCTGACTATAAGGCAAGCGCTAAAATAACTTTCGTAGATGTAGCCATCTTGTTTCAGCCTCCGATTTTGCTTTTTTCCGACTTTGGTTATCCCTTTTGGCTGTGAAACGTCGTCATCTGTCGTCTGTCGGGTTAGGAGATTCAGAAGTGCGATAATGTTCTGTAATGTTCTGTTCGATGTACAGAGCCGACAGTCCGCGTTTGGCTTGAGCGTGTGATGACGTTTCCAGCTTTTCTAGCCAACCAGAGGCGAAAGAGGCGGGACTTTCCCCTGCCATCCTCTGAAAAAAATATCGCTGGAGCAGACACGGCACCTGCGGTTGTGTTTTATGCCAGGGTGTTAATAATGAAACCTCGTGTACTGACCTCAATAAATAAAGAGTGAAGATCGAGTCAGGTAAGAGAGTCACGATCGGATCAAGTGTTCACGTGGATGCTTTCAGAATAACGATCGGCATAAACCACCCCTTTCGATCAGAATACAATTTCTTTCCGATTGAGCCGAATTGGATCAAAATCTTTCGATCCACATATTTACATGACGCATTTTTATTCCAATCGGGCCTTTATTCCGATTATTTGTGCCCATGTAAACGCAGCTCCTTATGTGATAAAGATAATTTGACAAAATTAAGTTCTTGACCTTTAAAAAAGCAGCTGACAAAATTATCTAACGTTTGATTTATTAGCTGTCCTTGAGCCTTTGATCATACGATGTGAACGTCGTCAGCAAACGCAGACATCTAAAAGTCGCCCGGGGACATTCCCCCGCATAAAAGCTGACACTTCTGAAACTCAACAGAAAAACCACGAGATCTGCTGGAAATCTTTTGATGGAGAAACTCTTAATATCAACCGTGAAATGTCCTCTGACAAAGACCTTGTTATGTCATTCTGAGTGAATCTGTATCGAGAGAGACCCAAAATAACCGTTTGATTTCACAAGTGAAAACTTCTGCTGTGTTTCCTCAAATTCTCACTTTTACAACTCGACATGCAGGTCTCCTTTAAATCCAGTCCAGTATTTACCTGTTTTCTCTCTTAACCATTGAATGTGCATACAGTTAATACATTTTCCTAAAATTCTGCCCAGTGTTTACAGCATTAATAAAACTTGATATAATCAAACATTCGCCGGTGCTATTTAGTAGCTTTTGGTACATTTTGGAATATAAAATAAATTTGTAGGTTTGCTTTACATCAAATATAGTGAAAATGGGAGTTTTTGCTTTTAAAACACACCTAATCAACCAATCAGCTTTCAAACCACACCTGTGCGATCAATTGGCTTCCTAACAACACCTGAGTGTTCAATCAGCATAAAGGGACTCCAAGGAACAGGGCGATTGACCACACTGAGAGGGACTACTCTTACCATGCCAAAGACAAAGGAAATCGGTCTTGAGCTGAGAAAGAAGATAGTTGAGGCTCATGATAAGGCGGAAGGCTGTTCTGCCATTTCAGAGCGTTTCAGTGTCTAGAACCACCGTATGTTGCATCCTTGCAGTACAAGGAGATGTGGTGGAAAGCGCAAGATTTCAAGGACTCTTGAGAGGAAAATAGTCTGAGATGTCAACAAGAACCCCCGGACATCTGCCAAGATGATTGTCGCTGACCTGGCCTCCTCTGGAGTTGTGAGGGCTCTTCATCGTGGTGGGCTTCAGGGCCATCGTCCCAGAACAACCCCTTACGCAAAAATCGGCACATCGCAGCCAGACTGAGGTTCGCCCGTCAACATTTGAAAGGTAAGATGAGTTTTGGACGTCTGTGCTTTGGTCTGATGAGACTGGAACTGTTTGGGCACATGGATGTTGCTTATGTTTGGCGAGGAAATGCCTTCAACCGTAAGAACACAGTTCCCACAGTTAAACATGGTGGTCGGAGCATCACGTTGTGGGGCTGTTTTTCAGCCTCAGGCACAGGGAGCCTTGTTCGGGTGCAGGGCGTCATGAAAAAAGAATATTATGTTGAGATTCTGAGGGATAATATGAGGAAATCTGCTCGTAGTCCAGGCTTAGGTCGTCACTGGGATTCCAACAAAACAATGACACATCAAAATTGGTCCAACAGTTCCTAAACGACACCAAAACCAAGGTCCTAGAGTGGCCCACACAAAGGCCAGATCTCAATCCTATTGAGAATCCATGGCGGGTGCTCAAAGTGAATCTCCATGCAAAACCACGCAATTTGAACCAGCTGGAACAATTTGCGATGGAAGAATGGGCCAAAATCCTTTAGGAGACCTTCACCAACCGAGTAAAGAACTACTCTAAGAGGTTGTTGTCAGAAAGGGTGCACTATTGACTATTAATGGCAAGAGGGATAATAATTTTGGACATCTCATTTTTGCTGTTTCTTGTTTCAACTCAGTGCATCAATAAAATATCCAAATCAAACTTTGTGGACATCTTATTTTTGTTATTTTGGAAACAAATATACTACAAATGCTTGTTGTTAACGGTCATTTCCATGGAGAAATCCGGAGTTTTGTCTGATCTCATGAGGGGAGTTCATAATTTTGGCCTCAACTGTAATCTTGTAATATCGGGCTGATGGAGTCAAGGTGCAAAAGTGACCGAGCTGGTGGAGCAGTTGGACTGATATGACACCTGTCTCAAGGCGCCCTTTTGATTCGGTTTCAAGGTCCCTCTGGTTCTGTTGTGAAGTTCGACTGAAGTCTGATCTTCTAAAGCATCTAATCACTGAGAGATATCTGACGCGAGGGTGTGTCTGTTGATATAAAGACCTCTCAAATCTTCCCTCGTGTCCTCACTCCTTAGTTTTCCCTCCTCTCCCTTTGATCCTCTCTCCTTCGAGCAGTTATTTCTCGATTTTTTAATCTTGACAGAATTATATTCCTAATAAAACTCTTCAGCTAAATGTCTGTATGACAGAGAGTTTCCCCCTAACACGACACTGACCATGTCGAACTTCTTAATTATTGCATAATGGTGGTCTCCTGTTTTATAACAGTTAAAAGCATGCGGCGTGCAACTGACGCAGGATACATTAAGACCATCTGCTCAGTGCTGGGGCAGATTTAGCACACACATTAGGCTGTAATCCCTCTAATATTGATTTCAACTGTTAATCCACAGAAATGTAGCTGTAGGATGAGGTCGGAAACATCTCTGAAACGCTGAGTAGAAAAGAGCATTCGTAGTGAACTCGGATTCAGATTTACTTAAGATTACTTAGAGCATTAATCCGAACCCTTTGACGTCATTTTTTATTGAAAACTTGTGGAAAAATACAAGTTTTAAGCTGCCTATTTGGCGGTGAGGAGGTATAGTCCCTAAAGCAGGTGTGCTGCTTTAGTTCGCATCCACTCTTCCCAGTTTCTGCCTAACTCTTACCTCCTCACCATCCTTTTCTAGACAAAGGCCATAATAAATGAGCAAAAATGACCAGTCTTGTCCACGTAGATAGTCAAACATTTTGGCTTTTCACAAAAAAACTCAGACAAGAAATCTTAAAAGTTCCTGTGAGGAGTCTAAACTTAGGAAACAGACTGAAACTACAACTGAAGCCTCTAGATGAGCTCACAAGTCTTTGTAAGTTGTTATATTTTGTCTGTTCAACACCTGCTCAGTGTTGGCTGAGGTAAATAACTGCGTTGTCTGTAAAGATTTCAGAGATTTGAAACGGATAAACAGAACTCAATAAGTGAAATAGCAAATTCAGTCATTTATCAACTGGATTTATTCGTAGAAACAAAAAAACGACACACCTGAAAGCTCCGTTTTCACCGTCTCATTCAGACTCACATTCACTCTCACACTCAAACTCAAACTCGTGAAGGTCAGCGTCTCTCTACTTGTCCTTCTCCTTCTGCTCCTTCTCTTTCTTGTCTTTCTCAGCTTTGGCCTCCTCGGCTTCGTGCTTCTTGATCAGCTCCTCCACCTCCTTCAGCTTCAGCACTTTGATGCAGGTCTTGCCGTTCTCGCGGGTCAGGGTGGCGATCTCCACTGAAACAGATTTGCGTATTATGAATGTGTTTTAGAAGGCAGCTTTTGCTTTGGAACATGTTGGCACAAAGACACTGACGCCTGGCGATCACCTCATAGACCTCAAACAGGTCGACCGGGTCTTAAAGCTCGCTGACTGCAGACTCACCCTTATATTTAAGATAAACAAATAAAAACCACGCCTAGAACAAACAGGGCCATTGTTTTCTGATGTTTCTTAATGTGGTGAAGTTGCTGAGGAACGGTTTGTTCTCGGCCTCCGTCTTTGTTTTGATTTGAAATCCTGCAGCGTCGCGAATCTTGAGAGTTTTAGACTTGAACTGAAACAGACTGGGTGACTTTATCGTCTTTGAGTGCAGCTGGAGTTTTGCATTTATAATCATATTTGATTCTTTTTGTTTGTTGCTTCCTCTTCCCTCCGTCCGATTATAATAAGGTTTGTATAAATGGAAATTTGCCCTCACATGGTTGGTGAGGCAGTAAAAAGCTCCAACATGTACGAGTGTTATCTCTGCCTCTGTCTCTCTGTATTTATGAGGATCATCATGATCCTTCAGTCTTCTGGAAAATTATATTTGACTTTAATCCTGGAAATAACAGACATTAGATGGAAAAGTTAAAGACAAAGATAAGAGTACAAGCTGACTGACTCACCTCGTGGCTGAGGCGGCAGCTGACGAGACACAACAGTGAAGTGATGTAATACCAAAGTGTCTGCCTTCGCATGACTGCCTGTTTTCCAGCCATTCCCTTGCCGGAGGCGACTGCTGCTTGTTACATGTATGTTTTTGTCAAGTTGTCTTTGTGCCAATATTATAGCGGTTTGAGTTTATTGAAATTATTATGTTGGTAATTTGACTTTTTCTGTCCAGGAAAGTGTTTATATTAGAGTCTAAAGGGGCTGCTGTCTCTGATATGGGTATTTTAGCCGACTATTTATAGCCAACCGTCTCAAATTTGGGTTCTAAGATGGACAGTGATTTTAAATTCGACAGGCAAATTAGCTCAGTAGTGAAATAAAGCTTTTATCATATGAGGCAGCTGACTAAGGCAAAACCATTCCTTGTACATAAGCATGTTGAAACAGGAATCCATGCTGTTGTTACATCTCGGCTGGATTACTGTAACGCACTTTATTTTGGAGTCAGCCAGTCCTCCCTCTCACGTCTCCAGTTGGTATAAAACGCAGCCGCCCGGCTCTTAAGTGGAGTACATGAGAGGGAGCACATTCCTCCCATCCTGGCCTCCCTCCACTGGTTACCCGTGCATTTTAGAGTTCATTTTAAGATTCTTTTATTTGTTTTTAAATCTTTAAATGGTCTGTTTCCATCTGAGCTTCTCCACCCCTGCTCGCTCAGTGCCTCAGGTCAGCTGATCAGCTGCTCCTGGAGGTACTGAGGTCCAAACTGAAGCTCAGAGGGGATAGATCTTTTTCTGTTGTGAACGAGCTCCCCCTCCGAATCAGACAAGCCCCCACACTGTCCATTTTTAAAACTCGTCTTAAAACCCGTTTTTATTCATTGGCTTTCAACCCTGCATGAGACTCTGCTCCTGTTTTAGTGTTTTATGGTTTGTTTTTAGTTATTTGTTTCTATGTTTTTAAATGAGTTTTTAAAAACATTGAAACTATATTTTACTTTTTAATATCTGCTTTTATTTTATCCACTGTTTTAATTGTTTTTTGATTGTTTTTATGTCTGCGCTGTTTTGTCTGTTTCTGTACAGCACTTTGTTCAGCTGTGGTTGTTTTAAAGAGCTTTACAAATAGAGTTGAGTTGAGTTACTGTTGTGTTTAACTTAATTAAACAGTAACTGAGGAGGTAAAGACAGAAGTCATGTTCGTTATTTGTTTGAAGCTGATATCGGGAAAAAGCGACAGCCTTAGCGTGGGATTTCTTTGCTGACAGTCGGCTCACAGATCAGTGGATGAAATCCTGTAAAATGTTCAGTGTGTGCACTCGGCTTAAACCCACACCTTTCTCTGCGGACAGCTTGCTCACATCCATGGTTTTGTTGAGGACTTTGATGGCCAGAGCGAGGGCTGTGGAGAGAGTCATCTCGCCCTCCTTGTAGTCCTGTTTTAGCATGGAGACTGCAGCCTGTGAGGGTTCACAGGAACAAAGACAGACCGTGTTAGAAACCACCCTGACTGCTTAAAAAAAAAAAAAAAAACACTTTCCTTTTTGTTATCAGAATCTGCAGAATCCCATCTGCTCTGTTTTGTGAGGACTGCATTTACACCCGGGTTCATCCTCATCTCTCAGATATCTGATACCCGCTCCTGAACGCCTCACTGTGTGGAGCACAAAACTCCCACTGTCAGGATCAGGTGTGTGTTTCCTCACTGGAGACCCCCAAAGTAAAACTGCGTGCACTCAGGGTTCTGTAAGCTATCCTGGACAAAAACGCTCACACAATGCTCTGGAGCTGCTCGGCTACCCATAATGCATTGTGTGCCGCCCCCTAGAGACCCACTCAGATTAACAAAACCATCATGAATCAGGACTTACACAATTAGACGCCCCAAGAGTCAGCACTATGTAGGCCACAGCATGTCTGTTTACCCACAGCCTACACTTCTTTTGGTAACAGCTGTGTTTGAAGAGCAGCTGCGCCCTCTGGTGTCAGTGAGTGGAACTGCAGGTTTCTAATTCGGCCTACTTCAGTGTTAACTCATCTGTACAAGGTTCAAAGATTTAGTGAGACTCACAGCGCTGTTGTTGCCGATGCAGGTGGCCTTCCAGCCTCCGTAGTTTCCGCTGGGGTCGCTCTGGTAGAGCTGGAAGCCGTAGTGTTTATCCCAGCCCATGTAGAGCAGAGAGACTCCGAAGGGACGCTTCCCTGTGGAAACAGACACACACACATATTCAGCTGGAGTGTTGATCATGATTTTACTTTGAAATTTGAACAAGACTTCATTTGAAACTTGTGAAACTCTCATTTTGATCTGATATTCAGTATGTTTACATGACACTCAAGAAAACCAAATTATTGCCTCACTCCGATTAAAGGTGGGGTAGTCAGGATATGAGGAAGTTCCAGTTTTTAGGAGGAATCTTGAATGTAAACTCTACCCCTCCAAACCAGTTTTCCCCTCAGCTCCTCCTCTCCCCTCCCTCTCTGCTCCAGCAAGCCCCGCCCACAAACAGACGCTCCTGCTCGCTCGTATCGTTCCAATTAAATTCCGATATAATGCAGATAAATACTTCAGATCATTACAAATGGGGCCCAGTCAAGGTGAAAGTCAAAAGCATTGGTGCTCCTGTAGATGCCAACAGACTACCAGCAAACACAATGTTTGCAGGACTTCTACAACGAGGATACAGGGTCTACAGGGTCCATAAGATCCCGAAGTAAAAAGCTGAGGCAAACACTTGAGCGAAATGCAGGCATAGTAGTATTTTTATGTCTTTAGATAAATCTTAACTGTGCGATGATATTTCTTACCTCCAAACTGGGTGTAGGCTTGTTTGATGTCACACAGAGCCGTGACCAGCTGCTCACACGGCATTGGCTCCTGATACTGCAGCAGGTACCTGGAACATCAACGATCATTTTCAAACAAGAACTATTTGTAACAAGAGAAAATACGAGGACCAAAGTCGGACAGCAGCTCACCTCTGTGCTATGAGCCTCAGCTCGTTGGTCAGTACGTTCGCATCTGATGTGATTCCCGCCACGCTGCACGCCATGTCCCTGCAAAGAAACAGGAAGAGTTAGGAGAGGTGCACATACAGACGCTACAGAAGCCCTCATCACAGCAGTTTCAGCCGATCATGTCATCGTCTTCTCTCTCCTCCCTACAGTTCACCTCTCACCATAGCTTTAGAAAAGATAATGACTCACTCATTCAGCTTGTAGATTTTCTCAGAGAAGAACACTTCATCCAGCAGCTTGTGGATGTTCCTCCTCTCAGCCGCCAGCAGCACGCCATCATTCGCTAAAATTCCCAGGCACGTGCCGGCGTGCCCGATGGCTTCCATGGCGTACTCAACCTGATACAGCCGCCCTGCGAATGACACAGACAGTATAAGGTAAACATAGATGCCTTCACATAATACACATTGTTTAATATAGAGACAGCACTTAAAGGGATATTCTGACGTAAAATTGTCAAACACGCCATAACGGGTCCCAACCACAGTACTAGCCGCCAAACAGCGTTTTAGTTTAGCCTGATTTCTTTAACCCTATATGTCCTGTTGATGAAGTTAGGTGCTGTTCTGAGCATTATTTGTGGCTATAGAGTGGAGTTTTGGTTGAGGTTTGGGCGTGGAGATGTAGACCACTCTGTGTTGCTATCCTGCGGTCATTACTAAAGTTGATATAACTAGAGAAGCAAGCGGTCAGCAACATTCATCTCTCGAGGGGGTGTCTAACTCTGTGTTTGACCCTAAATTAATTCTACCCCAGAATATCCCTTTAAAATAACAAAAACAAATAGAAGAAGCTCACTGTTCAGCTTACAGTATTATCACTGACTTTATTCAGAAACTCTTACCCTCAGGGGAGAAGATGGTCGTCCGTGAATCATATCGCCGGGACTGAATGTAAAGAAGAAAACCGATTAAATCAAGTTAAAAATGATCGATAAGAACAATAAAACACAGACAACAATGTTACAGGTGTTAATTAAATATATAGTTGAACTATAAAGAGAAAAATTGAGCTTACTTCTGTAAATGTACTTTAATTATAACTATAATTTAAGATAGATGTAGACAGGTAACAGTATTTGATGATTTGTTTTTGTCCTTCAGTAAATCTACAACACAGACAGATGAAATAATGAAGGATACTCACCATGTTTGTAGACTGTAGTCAGACCCTGTGAGAGTGGAAACACAAATAAATGAAGTTTAATGAGGTTAAAGAAGATAAACAGAGATGATAAAGAGAGTTACTGCGGAGTTTAATCTCAAGGCTGTGAAAGTGAAAGAGAAAACAGGCCGGTCTGAAACCAACAGATTTAGGGAAACAAATGACCGTGAAAACACTTAAAAATGTCCGTTTTTAATTTCAACAGAGCTGTTTCATCCTAACTGTTGTCGTTAAAAGTGTTTTAATCTTTAGAAAACATGAACCTGATAAACAGACACGAAGATGAATCGACAAAATTACAGACACCGATTTCTCTGCTACTCTCACACCTTACATCCACACACAGTCTTTACTTTTGATTTTTTTTACACTAACAGACCACAAAATTCTCATTTCAGTTGATTAAAACCTCGTATTTGTCTTTATTTTCCTTTATTTTAGGAGAATTTATCTCTTACCGCTCGGAGCTTGCTGTACGGTGCGCTTTGATGACGTCAGCTGAATTCGTGCGTCATTTCGAAGCGACTGTTTAGTTTATTTTCTTTCTACGATATTTTTAAGTTTCCCTCAGTTAACGTTTATTCATTCAATAAATTATTATTTTTTTGGTTTGTAAATTTTAGTTTTTATTTGTTGCATTTATGAATAGAAATTGAATCGTTGTATGTGAAAGATTTATCATTAGATTGTTATTTTTCTAAAATCGGAAAAACTGTATCTTTGTGGAGGAAAAGAACTCTGTGAGTCCACATCCACCTGTTAGTAGGTTCTACTCTCACTTTTATACAGGATTAACCATTCTCTGATTGATTACCTGATTGTGTTTTTATTTAAACTTAAAAACTGTTTATTTCCACGGAGCATCAAACTGATGAGTCAAAGTAGATAAACAGCTTCTTTGGTTATAAAGTAAACCACAGTACAGTTAAGTTTAATTGATCTCGTTTGTAGTTTCCTTTCACTTTACAGCTCATACAGTTTGATTGTTTGTGTTTTTTTCTGTTTAGCTAGATTGTTTGTCTTTAGTCATATATTTACCAACTGTTTCAGATGCATCACTTTTTAGGTAGCTGTATACTATAATTTAATAACAGTCGTTATTCTATTCTATTCTATTCTGTTTACCATTCTATTCCTACCACTAGAGGGCGACCTCGCCACATACAATAACTTTCATTTATTCTATTCTATTCTATTCTGTTCCATTTTCCAATCTTATCTCCTCTATTCTAGTTTATTCTTACCACTAGAGGGCGACCTTGCCACATTAGATTAGATTCAACTTTATTGTCATTACACTTATTCAGAACAGTGCAACAAAATGCAGTTTATCATCTCACCAGAAGTGCAATAGCGCAAGTATCAAATATTATTTACAACATAGATGATAAATATATAGGCATGTCTATCTATCTATCTATCTATCTATCTATCTATCTATCTATCTATCTATCTATCTATCTAATGTGTGCTTTAACAGGATGAGAGTTCAAGAGAGTGAGTGCTCTGTGAAAGTCTCTTAGCCTGCTGGTCCTGACCTGGAGGCTCCTGTAGCGGCAGCCAGAGGGCAGGAGGACAATAACAATACAATAACAGTCACTTTACTGTTCCATATTACTCTGCTCTATTTTTCATTCTTTTATGTTTTAGTCTGGTCTATTCTTACCACTAGAGGGCGGTCTTGTCCTGTCTGTTTGGTGACTCAGATTCAGAGCTCTTTGAAACAGACCCTGTCATGACTCAGTTTCAGTTTTTCAGAAATGCTGAGCAGAGCTGATTTATTATTCGTGCAGTAAATCAGCTCAGCTCTGTGGAGTTCCTCTGTTGGGATGCTGAGTTGTACCTGACCTTTGACCTCTTTCTGCGGAGAGTTGGTGGTGTGTGGGGTCGTTTTTCAATCGCTCTGTGTGTGTTTAGGTCTGTCCTCTCTGTTTCGTCAGACTGAAGACACACATGTGGTTAGAAACACATGAAGAGACTGAACAGACTCATATTTAAGGTGTTTTTTTATGTTGCAGTAAAGTTTGAAGAGATGTTTTTTTATTTTTCAACTTTAAATCTTCATCATGGATCTGATGAATGAGCCACCTGTGTCTGTTAGAAGCCAGTTCAATCTGCTTATTTTCCTCTGTGTCCTGAATTTTCCCTCAGAGGAAATACGACCACTGACAAATTCACAACAACTTAAAAATCTGCTCTTTGAGATCAGCTGATAAATTCCACCCACCAAATAAACTCTTAATCTGAGTTAGTCCAAGGTGAAGTTTCTGTTGATCGGTAAACTTTTCATATTTGAGAAATCACAGGATAAGAATCAGCCAAAGCAGCAGAGTAGAACAAACCTCTTTGTTTCTGTTTGGACTTTTTCCTCTCGCTTAAACAGCCCTGGATTTCAGCAGCCTGGCAGCTTACCTTGAGATTATCAAAAATAATCACATCCTCACATTGTTCTCTGAGGATTGGCGCAGGGAAGTTGAGAGTTGCAGCTGCAACACCTCAATAAACAAGCGTAACACCGCACAGTTTATTCAGAGAGCAGGAGTGTTTTGATTTGTTTTGTTGGCCCCGAGTATCGGCCGTGGAGCTGGCTCACAGACCTCTCTGGATCAGTCTGAAGACAGAGTTTATAGCTCCTTCGTCGTATTTCTCTTTTACAGGCTCAGATACAGGTCTTACATTGTTCCAGCTGCAGACTGTAGATTTTTAAAAGTAGGAGGTGAACACAAAACGTCTATTCTCTAACTTCTTAGAGTAATCTCTTTAAGCAAATCCAGGCCACATACAGGCTTACTGCTGAGTGATTGATGTGAACTATGCAATCCCCACTGGCATCTTATTGTTTGGTGTTCCTGAAGTGGGTTATGTTTTGTAATCATTATTTCAGCTGAGAGCCCACTACAAAGGGATTTTTTTCCCTGACTCTATAAAACTCGACACGGTGACTAAAGATGTCCAGGATGAAAGGACCAGCCGTCAGTCTTCAAATCAAGTAATACTAGTTTCTTTTTCCCATGTGGATGTTAACGCAGAGGAAAAGAGCCTGTTACACCCGATTACTCGCCTGCTGATTAAATCTGTTTGTTTAATTTGATATGCTAGCTTAGCTTCTGATCTTTTTTTTTAGCTTAGTAAAGATGAAGATTACATGAATCACAAAACTGCTAACAACCTCACTGAGTATATGCTGAGTGGACTTTTCCTGCACAAGTATCCTGCATGTGAATACTCCGTACGCTCACACCATAGACTGTATATAGAATGGACGCCATCTGCCTCCTCGCTGGGTGAAGCCACTCCGAGAACAGCACCCTCTGGTGATGGGCTGCAGTATAGGTCATAAATCATAAATGGTTGCAATGTTGACATATAGTTACTGTCAGACTGGTTTTTGATCAAGTCCTCTTTTTTCTGTGAAGCTCCGTTTTTGAAGGTTATTAGGGGGTTCATGTTTTCTATGATTGAAACTTGATACAGCCTATTGGCGTACGAAGATTGTGTAGCTCACCCGGTTCGCTGTTTGAGCCGAGCGTCATCACAGCGACTCTCTCGCCAAATGCGTACAACGCTACTGCGCAATGTTAGTTTCAGGAAATGAAGAAAAATCGCAGAAATACCGAGAACTTTTTGGCTTCAAATCCGTTTACAGGCGGGAGGCGGAACCAAGTTGTCCGTCGTCAGTGGCGGTTCTAGCCCAAATTACTCCCCAGGCGAGCACCCCTCCAAGTGCACTGAGCTGCAATATAAGGTTTAAAAGTTTTGGCTTCACTTGGGATCTCTGTTGAGTCATCCATCATTTCAGACAGTCTATGGCTCAGACTGGGACTGTCACAATGTCAGATTTTCACCTCACTATTATCACGGCTATAAAATACCACAAAAACAATAATATCGTGACTTATATGGAAAACAACACAGTGATGAAAATTGAGAAGACAGTTAAGCACCATAATGTTTATGTTCATAAACATGACAAGTCCATAAATTTTACTGATAAACACAAATATATTACAGGCCATCATCCATTTCGAATTACGTTTAAATGTGTGATTGATTCTCATCACTGGCTGTGTCACTGAAACTTCTTCAGAGATTTTTACCACAATATCAAGATCTAAATTTGGTCTTGGGTGGGTTGTATCTGTTGGAGTCATTTTGTCTGTAGAAAACTAAAGAGGAGGTTGCTTGACTGAGAAGGTGGATCTTTGTTCTCCACATTATCCAAACTGAGTCAGACTCAGACAGTAAATCGGTCTCTTCCTCAAAGTGTTTCTGCTTGTTCCTCGGTTATGTAAAACGCAGCGTCACCATCAGATTATTAATTCTGAAACTGGAACCATGGAGGAGCATCAAAGTGGACATTGAAGTCACCGTCTTTGTTTTGAAAGGTGTGATGGTATCAGGTAACCTTTTCATTTTATGGTTAAGATTATCTCCTAGATTGTCACGGGCTGATGACTAAACATAATTATAGCAGGATGCAGACTTTTAATTCTGAAACTGAAACCATGGAGAAGTATCACATTTTAAGAGTTTCTCAATCTAGAAATGTTTTGCATGCTTTTTTTTTAAATATATATTTTTTTAGTTCATTTCCCACATTCTGAAACCATGCTTTTATTTTGAAGTATAAGCTACTTCTGGTAGATTGTGAGTTACATAAAAGAATGAAGAGTAAAAAGAAGGGTAAGAAAATGGAAATGTACAACTAGTATGCTACCTGAAGAGACACAAACTCCAACAGAGCATTTGAAAGTACAAAAAAAAAATAAGTAAATAGATTAAATAAAAATAAAAAAACATTGGAGAATTTTAGTTTTTCAAAGTGCTCAGTCATCTTTTAGAGATCTACTTTTTTCAGGTCAGTTTCAACTGTGGTAACCAGAATAAAAGATCGTTACTAAGCACTCATGGTATTACCATTTACGAAGTCTTACCACAATATCAATATCTAGACCTGACAGCATCACCATTCATCAATCTATCAATTGATCAAACTCTATTTATATAGTAATTTTCATACAAGCCAGATACAAATCCACACAGTGATTGAAAACAAAACAGTTAAGAGCGGGAATGTGAATGAAATTAAAGACAGAAAGTGGAAAAAATCCGATTAAAAAACAGGATAGGTAGAGACTAATGCACACCAAAAGCAGTGAATTTTGTGTAGTTAAAACATTAAAAGATATTTTTTTTAAAAAATGGGTTAAAACATAAAAGAAAAACATCAAATTTATCATTTAAAATTAGTAGTCGGCAAACATTTCACATTTAGAAACCTTAAGCTGAGCACTCCGGCTAACTAAAGGTGGGATTGTGAATGTTTGTGTCATCGAGGTTTGAGTAACATTCTTGCTTTATTGTAATTCTGGAGTTTTTCACTTCGTATGTGTTGATGTATTACTCGTTATGTTTTCCTCCGTCTGCGTACAGCTGTTGTTTTCTGTTTTGAGGAAATGATATGATCGTTTTTTCATGGAACGACCTTTTCTGAAGTGATCGTCTTTGTTTTGAAAGGTGCGATGGCATCAAGTACTGTTTTCATTTTACAGTTGAGACTATCTACTGGATCGTCACAGGCTACATGAACCATGGAGGAGCTTCAAAGTAGTTTGAGCAGGTGACGCTGTGTCATCTCAGGTTAATAGGAAGTTTTACGGGTTTGTATGGACATGTATGGACACCCACACATTTCACACACACCTGAGTCAACTGTCTATATTGAGAGACAGATTGTGTAACATAAGAGTGACTCCTCCATTAATAGGTCTATAAACTGGATTTAGAGACTGTAGTTGAAGGTGACACGGTCAAACGCTGGAAAATACCAGGAAACACTTTTCAATTTCAAACCAAAGAGAAATCAGTCTTTTTGATTCCTGACAGGCCGACAGATGATGAGATTTTCTGACACTTTTCTATTCAAACCTTTGACTCCACATCAAGAAAACAATGAGCTGCCATCTCCTCCCACTGTGAGATGTGAAGCCAAGATATCACCTTTATTGGGTGCTGAAAAAAGTGATCTGGCTGGTGGAACTGTGGGACAGATGTCACACCCTTCCCAGTGACCAAAACACACTTTTAACTCACTGATGAAATGTCGAAGATCTTCAGGTTGGTGAAAATTACTGTCGGACAGATTCTTGTTGCAGACACTGACGGCTATAGAAAGTTTAATAAATCTAGAGTTTGTATTTTTACGTTGTCTACTTAAAAACTAATCAAGACTAGACTTCTCCAAGAAACGACACTTGAACAAATATTAGCATAAGAAGTTACTATAACAGGAAGAATTTCTTGTATTTGTTTGCGGCCTGTTTCCATTCTGTATGTGAAGCTAAACTAAATTAATACCAGCAGTGGCCTTTAATTTGCTGTATTAAAAAACCCATTAAATGTTTTTCCAAATGTCAAACTATCTCCTGACTGTGAGATTTTGAACCCATGTGAGTTACACTGACCATATTCTGAAACCCTCAAAAAGAGGACACTACTACACAGGGCAGAGTTGTGCGCTTGCATGCAAATTTTTAGGCTCATTCGGCTCAGATCGAATGATTTTTATGAGCTTTTATCTCAGTTAAACCCATATTCTGTATTACCGAAATTTAAGAAAAAGAAAAAAAGACGACCTTATATCTCATCATCTTTTTTCACTGGCGAAAACGGGCTTCCATACAAAATGCTGGACATTTGAAGGATTTTATAAACTCCCTCCAGTCAGGGCAGACAGCCCCCCAGAAGAGGACATGTCCGGGTAACGTGAGTAAAACTTGCTAACAAATCCAGTCTTTTTTTCACACATGCTCTTGTTTTTTCAGAAAAAAAGTCAAATTACCTCCTGACTTTGAGATTTTGAATCCACGTGAGTTAGGGTGACCATATTCTGAATCCCCCCAAAAAGGACACTACTATACAGAGCAGAGTTGTGTGCATGCATGCAAATTTTTTAAGATATTTCGTCTCTGATTGAGTGTTATTTATGCGCTTCTATCTCAGTTAAACACATATTCTGAATTCCCATAAAGACAACTTTTTATCTCATCTTTTTTTTCTTTTCCCTGGCGGTAACAGGCTTCCATACAAACCCCCCCAAAAGAGGACATGTCCGGGTAAAAGAGGACGTATGGTCACCCCACGTGAGTAAAACTCGCTAACAAATCCAGCCTTTTTTTCACACATGTGCTCTTATTCTACAGAAGAAAATGTCAAACTGAAATACCAGGAGGCCCTTATGTTGCTGCTTTCTCTGTTTTTCATCCCTTCTCAGTTTTCTGGTTGACAGAAGAGTCATGTTGCCCTCCTGGCTATACTCTCCACTATTTCAACCTTTTCCAGTCCATTGTCCTCATCAGCCCACCCTCTGCCCTCAGCTACTGTCTCTGTTATTTTACGTGAAGCTCCTGTCATTCTGGACGCTGACGCCTGCCTAGATGTGCACGCCGAGGGCCCCTCATCGCGGAGTTGGATTCCAACTTTCAGGGCCGAAGGGAGGATTTCCTTTTCAAAATGTCTGGCTGGTAAATATGTCACCAGGCTGGAAACCGATCCTGTGAAAAACAGGTGGGATGTTTTCAAACTCGCCACAGGAGTGTGTGCTATCTGTTTCTCCCCTCGAACACACACACACACACACACACTTGAAGATACACAGTGTCGATCTCCTGCAAAGCTGAGGTATTGTCTGTGGAGAGAAAGCAACCCCCGAGCGGTTGATCTGATACCTGCTGAATCTCCTCTAATTAGATTTACCAAAGATTCACCGTGTGTGTGTTATTTCTATACACCTCAAAAAGAGTTGGATTTCACTGAACAGCCCCACGGTGATAAGAAAAAACGAAACAACACTGACCTTTCGACCGGCAGACTCGTTTTAACGAGGAGGTGTGGTGTGTGAGTGTTGACTCAGAGGGACCTGGCTGTCAACACACGACTCAGAGAGGGAAGAACCTGTTACTCACTCATATCATGAAGTGACAGATTCACAGCCCACTCAGTCGTTTCTGTAAGTAAATGTTCGCCTGATGGTGAACACCTCCACATTTACACGTTTTGAAGATATCATTGAATCCATCAGAGGACTAAAAATGTTTCCCTGATGTGTTTTTTTGTTACTGTTTGTTGGTGGAAACGCTGACAACATTCAAGTGACAAGATGTTGAAAAACAGCTCAAAATAAGCCTGTCACAATATCAGACTTTTATCTCCTGATTATCAAGAACAAATAAAGGAAAGGCAAGATAAGAATGGAGCGACACTTTACTTAGTAGACTTAAAGACTCCCTCAGATGATTGTCTACATGTTCATATGACATTTTCTGATGCTACAGGTCATATCACCAGAAAATTAAGTGCATTTCTGAGTATTTCTGCATTTAAATCGCTGTTAATCTCTCACAGAACAAAACGGCACCTTCAGATTCAGTGAGATTTCCTATGTCACAAATCCAAGCTCCACCCCCAGAGCCCCGCTATGCAGGCCAGACTCGAAAAAGTAGAGAGGACGATCGCGGAACAAGCGTGTGTGTAAGCGGATTGCAATACTCGTAAGAAAGCTAATTATGGGACTTTAACTAATAAAGGCAGTAACCCTTTATGCCATTATTCAATTGTGTTGTTTTAATCAGCTCTATGACTGTATTGCCGATTATTGACGTCATGAAAAAAAAAAAAGTGTCTTTTGACTTTAGTCGTGACTCCTCACCCAGAGTATTTTACTCAATATAGGCTAAGTCCCCTGTCGAGGGGTCCTCGCTCAAACACAACATAGTGAAAAAACACAGACGTGATCGTAAAAACACTGTGATTGTGATATTTATTTACAGCCGGCCTTCCAAGGTGTCATGCAAAAATATTTACAAAAGTGTAAAAAAAAAGAAAAAAAAAAAGAAATACCATTTACAAAATGTACAAGGCAAAAAGGAAAATACCAACAAGGCAGGTATTTTTTTCTCACTCAAGAAAACAAAATCTAAAAACAAACAAAAAAACAAAACAAAACAAAAAATTAAACAGCAGCAATTATACAAAAGTCAGTTTGGCAGTAGGCTTCCATACAACAACCTCCACACTCAGA